TCGCGCCAGGCAGAAGAGATTCACTTCTCTCCATTCTGCTCATCCGTGTGCTGGTGGACAGGGCGGGGGGCGGGGCCCTCTGTGCTGATGGGGAGCAGGTCACACTTGCTCCTAAACCCCGTGTGCCACTTAGACGCGCTCCTGGAGTTACACAGCTCAGGGGAATATTAATGACAGGCGTGAGATGAAAGATAATGGCTGCTATAAGAACGAAGCTTAATTCTTTGCAAAGAATTGGGAACAAGGAATCAAACTGTTGAATATTGTGGGAAGAGTAAACTTCAAAAGAATGTCAGACATAGCACAGAACTCTGGAAGAATTGGATAAAATGGCTAAAAACAAATCTGGAAGAGGCTGGAGTTTGGATTGGTTAACAAATATCTCTGTTTTCGCTCCACTTTCGGAAACCACATCTGGCTACTGTCCAGATGCATTGGGTGTGATTTATGCTGAAAAACAGTGTGACACCAAAGAAGGACCTGGACTCAGAGGAGGACTCAGACCTTAACCCAGGGATCAGATGATGAATACACTTTTACATATTTGAAATAAAACACCAGAGGCACACAATTTTTAAATTTTTTCAATAGACTCTAGTTCTCAACCCATCTACCAAGTGTTAAGGACTCTCTGAGAACTCCTGAGTCTGCTCGAAGCAATGCCTCTGTCTTCCAAGTGGAGTTTCTCCATGACAAGCAGGCGAGTTCCGCGGCGTGGGGATAAACTCCACGCAGAGCTCCAGCTTCGCACTGGAGAACCGTCTCACTTTGTCCTGACACTAATAGTTCTGAGTGCTACCAGCATGAATCACAAAGTCTAAATGCATACCGAGTAAATTCGATAAGCATCTAATCTCTTCCTTATACTCTGTGTGCGAGAACAATCCTTTTACTCCTAATTGTGCAGAGCTTTTCTGTTAGGTCAGCTGGAACGTCGGCCACAGGGTGCAGGCTGGCGGCTGCCTGATGGAGCCCCAGGCCCCTGCTAGGCCAGCGGAGGCCTGAGAGGCTTCGGGGAGATGGGAGGGACCCAGCTGAAGGACTGCAGTCCATGCCCCCCACAACTGTGTCACTGCCTGACTGTGTTCTGTCGGAGACGGTGTGAGGGCAGCTGTTGGATGGTCTTTTGGGGAAGGCTCCTTAGGTACATATATTTTGATTATATTTTTTAAAAAAAAGAAGGGTGACAGAGAGCTGGGCAAATCCTTCTCCATCCTGTTCCCTCCCGACAGGCACCAGGGCCTTGCTGGAGGAAGCACAGACCAGAGGCCGCTGAACAGGACGGGCACCTGAGTCCCCCAGGGACACGGTTGGCCACCGGCTGCCTCCGGGCGCTTCCTGGGTGTGGACAAAGCACCAGAACAAAGAAACTCCTCTCACTGCAGCCAATATTATTCCGGACAACTGTGGCTTTTCTTAACTCGCAAAAGGTGACTTTAAACCATCAACTGCTTCTTTGCAACCCAATCGTTGTATTATCAGAAAATGATTTTAAAAGTTGTACCTTTTGTAATGTCTCTCCACGGTAAGCCGAGGGAAGACTGTTCTAATCGAGTGTCTGAGGAAATCATGTTGTCAGAGCTTGCCCGGAACTGCAGGCAGCCTGTCCCCAGCACGTGGGGTCCCGCTGCCCAGACCCCCCCAAGGGCCCCGCCAGGGGTAGGGGCCAAATCCTGGGAACAGCGTTGCTGAGAAAGACCAGTGGGCAAGGTTTCCTCGCCGTCTCCATGAAAGCACCTATTTTTCTCTTGGTTTCCGTGCAAAACTCATTGAACAGAAACGTATTGAATGTTGCTTTATGGACCTTTTGTGAGCCATCGTTTGAAAGGAGCCGATTCTTTTGGGAGCAGATTTCTCAGACGGAGAAGGAACTAATGGAACAGGAAGACGAGTGTTGTCAGGACACCGCCGAGCTCCTCGGGTCCGGCACTGGGTCTCAGACCCCGGGGATCCAGGCATTGCCCCCGACCCCCTCTGCACGGTGGGCGCCCCAAGGCCCGGGGGACTGTCACTCAGCCCTACACTTGAGTTTTATGGGGAACTTCCTGTGGGGAATCACTTCTTAGCAAGAACAGCCTCTAAGAACAGCAGCATTTCACCTCCGCTCCCTTTGGACTCTGGTCACACAGGTCACACCAGGTAGAGGAAGACAATGACCCCTCCCAAATGATGGCTTCTTCACGCTGAGACACTCAGTTGGCCACTGAGGTTCTGATTCGTTGTACTTTCCATTCTCACGACTCACAGGAAGCAAGAGCAGTACTTCACCAACTGGCAGGATGACTGGGCCCCCAGAAGGCTGAGATGCGCTGGGCCAGGCCTGGGCTCTCCCAGTGGCCAGCTGAGAGCCTGTGCCCACAGGACCTCGGGCCCACATCGCCACTGGAACTGACCTGGGTTCACACAACACAGCTCACTTCCCTTGGGTTACCAGGACACGAAACATTAACATTTTAATGGAGAGATGACTTTTGGAGCATTTTAATAATTAATCACTGACTCCATGTAAGGGACAATCAGCTGGGATCCAGTGACGATACTGGTGGCAGTCACAAGGCAGGAATCCTTGTCCCCTGGAGAGCAGCAGGAAGGGCCTCCAGCTGCTCCTGGGTCCCCAGGTCACCCTGGGTCCCCGAGCCTAGAGCCTCCACACCCCACGGGCTCTGCAGCCTCCTCCTGCTCTCGGCGGGGACAGCAGGCCCACAGGTCACAGAGGAGCAGGGGGCCCAGTGCCATTGCTGCCCGTCACTCTGCAGAGTTTCAGGCCCGTCACAGTCAAGCAGATCACAGGAAATGGGGGACAGCTGGGCGTGGCCCCAGAGGCTGACGATGGAAAATGGCTGCGCATGACGAGTCTGCTTGACACGGTGAGAACACGGGTGACCTGCAGTCACACGGGCAAACTCTGTTTCCACTCCACTGCACAGACACCCACCCGTGAAGGCGGGTTTAGAAGAGTGGGGGGGCTCCCGCTGGGTTGCTCATCGTTCCAGCTGTTTCCTGTTTTCAGAAGCAGCGGCCGCCTCCCCCAAACCACTCAGGGGCTCAGGGCCAGGGCCTCCACGGGCCTCCAGCTCGAATGCCCCGTGACCCGGCACGGGGACCTCGGAACCCATGAGCCATGCACTAGCCTCCCACCTGTTTCCCGGCTCTGCCTCAACTAGGAACACGTGGGAGAAAAAACTTGAGCAATCGAGAGTCCAAGTCAAGTCCTGATTTCATCGCTAAGTAGCTGATGGTCACGTTCGTGTTCCAGATGGTTTTCTGTGAAACCAGGGATTCACCAGCGGTTCTCAAGCCGCGGTGAGTGGAGGTCACCAGGAGAAACCCACCCCCCAGGACACGACGACCGCGTGTTGGGGGCTGGGCCTCTGCATTTCCACAGCATCCCGGGAGGCTCTGATGCAGGTGGTCCCCACGGTGACCCCATGGCAGTCACCCCAAGGCCTCTGCTCAACAGCTCCCCCTGGTTGGTGGGACACAGTCTGAAGAGACACGGATTGTGAGGGCTGAGACCTGGGGCCCGCAACACCACAAGCCCCCAGGGTTCACCTTCCTGGACACCAACAGACACCCGGGCCCGCCCCCCCAAGCCGCTCCTTCTCCCCATTTCCGGGCTGCAGCAGGCAGCACGCCTGCGTGGCTCTCACTGCTGGGTCCCGGGCCCCTCCGGGACCATCCTGAACTGCCAGGGGAAATCACCGACTATTCTTCCCGATTCCAAGGACACAAGGCAAAGCCCTGGTAGGTCAATCAGTCAATTGGTGAACTGCATAAAAAAGAGTCATTTTCTTGACAAGACCCAAGTTTTTGTGGAAAAGCTATCATATTTGTAAGATCCAAACACAGAGGCAGCCATTTCAACGAGAAAAATGAAAAAGGGGGCAGCATAGCACAGTGGTTAAAAAACTTCAGGCTCGGTCCTGCCTGGTGTGGCTCAGTTGGTGGGAACATCGTCCCATAAACCAAAAGGTCATCGATTCAATTCCCAATCGGGGCACATGCCTGGGTTGCCGGTTTGGTCCCAGTTGGAGGGTATGCGGGAGGCAACTGACCGATGTTTCTCTCTCTTCCTTCCCCCCTATCTAAACTCAATAAGCCTGTCCTCCTCAGGTGAGTATTTAAAAAAACAACAAAATAAACCCCCTCAGGCTTACTAGCACCTGTCCTGGGTCCACGCTCAGCCTCCCTCGTCGCCAGGCGCAGGTGAACTACAGGCCACTCTGCGCTCGGAGTCAGCGAGGTCACGGAAGTGTACTTTGCATTGGTGAACTTTTCAGAATATGGCCACGCCCGCTGCTTCTCACGCCCCGGCTGCCCAGGACTCCGTGCTCCCTAAATCCACGTGTCCGTCTCTAACCAACAACTCAGAGACGCCTCGGACTCCGTCCGCTGCTACCCCAGCCCTCGGCACACACCGCGTCCTCACGCCTCCAGCCTAAATCACACCGGCCAGCTTGTTTTACTGGTAACAGCACTTAATTTCCCAAAAAAGGTTAATTTTTTTCTTGTCCACCAAAATTCGATGGGAAAATTTTGCCCTAAATGAACGTGTCTATGTAGACGGTGCACACAAACACACCAACTCTTGTTTTAGTCTCAGCCATGATCTCCACGTGTTTAGAAACTGCTGAAGCTGATGAACTGAGGTGGGTTTCAGCTCTGAGCTGCACAGGCCGCACCGGGTCCTGGGTAGCTGGACAGGCCCGGGGCCGGTGGGTTTCCCGGCCTTGCTCTTTGCGGTGTCTGGACCGGGCTGGAATGTGAACCCAGAACTGTATCACCGAAAACTCTACTTCTTCCTCTGTTATTACACAACACTGCAGAGGTTGAAAGGTAAAAAGAATAAATAGCTTTACAAAACACAAGGGAAGGAGTTAATATCGCTAAAAATCGCAGAAAAAAGCTACTCACAAAATTATACAAATTTATATATAAACATCCCTTCACGACTGTGTATGTTCTGGACAACCTAAAGGTTTAGAAGACAAGGATTTATACTGACAAGAGCCAAATTTAATGTAGAAAAGTTACAAAAGGAAATCAGAATACAACATCATCTTTCCATCCCTAAAATTTACATCCATGAGATAATAGAAGTCTGCAGGCAGCCATTAACCATTAGTCAATTTCCAGTTTCTAGACATATTTCATTTTATTAAATAACTGTTAAATAGAATTTTTACAAAGCTAATTGCATAGAGAAAGGCAGCCCCCAGAACTCTGTGTCTTTTTTCTACGTGGTCCGCCGCTCTCACCTGGAGAGCCAGTGGGAGGCGCAGGGACAGAGCGGGCCACCGGCACCTGGCGGACGGCTCCCGTCTTCGGGCGACGGCGGGCACGGAGCTGGCTCCTTGACCGCTCCCCTGCGTGGCTCGCCGTCCAGCTGCCCCGGCCGCAGGGCAGAGCGCCTCCATCCTCACGAACAGGCCAGCTGCTGAACGAGGTTTTCGAGACATTTCAAATAATAGGCCCTTAGAGGGTTTTCTTCTGAGTTTGCACAGGCTGGGAGAGAAAAATAAGAGCATGGAAGAGCACGGTGATTAAACTCAGTGTCACACCTGGGGGCCCAAGTTCCACTGGACTCCTCAAAGGACCGGCACGAGGACCCTTCGGTCGTAAAAAGACAGGGCAGTTACAGGTTAGCCAAGGAGTCCACACTGAAAACATCGCGTCTCCGTGACGCATCCCCTGTCTGTGACCCACACCCTCCCTCCCAACACAGAAACGCCCACCTCCGCTCCGTCGGTCAGGACCCTCCTGGTCACAGCGGGAAACAAACAAAACAGAAAACCCACGACCCCTTGGGAGAAAACCGCACTACAGAAACATGTCTGAGCCCAAAACACGGTCGAAGAACAACACTCCCTGAACACCCGTACCACTTAAAGCGGACACTGCACTTTAAAGGGCGGATCCCGCCGGGGGGGGGGGGGGGACGGGGGTGATGGGCTGTTCGTGGAAGGCTGACTCAGCTGCCCGGGTCAGAGCGAAGTCTTCTGGCCGAGGTCAGCTCGGATGGGGCCCAGTGCTTATCACCCAAGAACACAGTGCGGCACAGGGGCCAAGTCTGGCGCAAGAAAAACGACTTGGAGAAAGACTGCAGACGTCTTCGAAGGAACTACTGCGTTACTTTAAAACGTCAGAATGAAAAGCATGGGCCAAATGCTGACACACCGTACGATGCTTCGACTGACAATCTCCTCCAATGTCACTGTCAAACAGCAGCATAGAAAAAGCTTGTTTTGTCATGAACTGTCCAAATATTTCATTAATCGGGGCATTCACTTAACCTCTTCCAAGTTGAACTGCGGTCTCTCACAATGAAACTTACTTTTCTTTGCTAAGGAATATGCTTCCTCCACTCTTCTTTTTATCGATGGGTTTCTCAAAGTCGTTTTCGCCTGGGGAGAAAGAACATGGGATGGCCCACGAGTCAGACCTGTTTCCACGTGTTTCGGGTCAGGACGCAGTCACTGCGCCCCTCCCTCTCTGACTGGGTCCCTCCTCGTCTGCCCCCCTGTCCTTGCTGCCCCGTCCTTCTGACCGTCTCCCGAACCTCAATTCACTGTTTTAAATGCTACACCTTCGTTTAGTTCTTTCTCACCCCCTCGGACCTCGGGGTCCGGGTCCAGCGTCCTGCATGACCAGCTGGCCAGCAGAAATTTACTAAGTGACGCCAGAGCGCGGAGCCCTGGGGCCCAGGGTGAGAGGGGTGGCAGCAGCCCCTGTCCTGTGAGCATGAGCGCTGTCCAGCGGGAAGAACAGCTGCCCCGACAAGCGAAGAGCCCGTCGGGGACACTTGTCTGCACTCACACTGACACCCGGCCACCCCTGAATCACCAGGCGTGCACGGGCCTTTCTCTCAGGAGTGAGACGTCTGCACAGAGAGACAGACAGGCCGAAGACAGGGCAGGTGCGAGTCCCACCTGCTGCCCTGGGGACTGGGGCTGGGACCGGGGAACTGAGCTTAGTCCAAAACTCAGCAACCACCTGCACCAGAGGAAGGGAGGTCCTGTGACTGGATAGAACTTTGGTACTTGGATTCATTTCAAGATGCGTTTTTCCATGACCCTTCTTTGAGCATAAGTAGCCTATAACAACATCCCATGATACGGCAAGGCAGCCGACACGAACAGGGAAAACTCACTCCAAAGGGGGGGGCCCTCCTGCAAGGAGACGCGCGGTGAGAGGGCCAGGTGGGAGGGGCTGGCCGGCGGCGGTCGGCTCCCCGTGCGGGTGCATGCACAGCGCACCACGGCCCCGAGCTGGTCTTGCCCGCGCTGACGCTCCACAGATGCCCCTGGGTGCCCGAGAGGCTGGTGCCCTCCCCCGGATGTGACAGACCCCACAAACCGACCTTTTGGTAATTGTGGGTCAGAGCCCACAGCGCGGCGGCACCGATCCTCTGGGTGTTCGGACTCTCGCTCTCCAGACAGGCGGCCAGCACACTGACGACTTTTTCTAGTGATAAACACAGAAAGGGTTCGGTCCCAGACATGACACTGTGTTCTCATCTCAGGGGTCGGACCGCCTCTCCTGCCCCGCAGCACGAAGGAGGACACCTGTACCAGGTGCCAGGACAGACGGGGCGCGGCCTCGCTGCCTCTGACCCCTCCCACAATGGCGCGTCCCCTGACAGCACTGGAGGGGTGAGGGACTTGCAGTGAGTCGCACCAGTGAGCTCTTCAGTTGGAGCTCACACGTCGGTGTGCAGGAAAACAGATTTGCTGTGATGAATGATAAAGACTGTTGTGCGAACATACCCACAGCACGGGCAGCTGTGTAAACCAATAATCAAGGAACAGCGAGAGGTAGGCCTTTCGCAAAGGACCAAATGCTGTAGAGGACCGTGCTTTGCTGTGGTCGTGTGTGCCAGAGGGAAAGCCACTCACAGCAACGTTCTGGACACTGGCCTCTGACTGGTCTTCCATCCCTTGGGTCTCTTCTCGGCCACCCCGGACGCTGCCGGGCCCAGGGGTGACTGTGCTGAGCAGCGCGGCTCCCACGAGGGTGCGAGTGCTGACGCTGCTGCTCAACAGCCGGCCCAAAAGTGCAAGTATGAGGTGTCGGTTACTTTAAGTTTAAACACCTCCACGCGGCGAAGCCATTACCATGTTGGACAGTGAAGTTCTCGAAGCTGTTTGGTTGCTACTTCAAATCTCTCCACGTTTCAGTTTCCTATTCCCCGTAAGTGTTCTTAAGGTTTTCATTCATTCACTACACAGGGTATCCTTGAAGCTGCTTCCCAATCTGTGTTTTACAATGGCAACATCTGAGGTCCGACAGCTTCTCGCTCCTGTGGCCCTGTTTCCTGACAGGCTTGGTCTCCTTCAACCGTGCACACGTAAACACTTCTGAAAACTCACACGTGGAGGCTCCCGGAAGGTTAGCATGACCTTGTCCTCCACACATCGGAGTGGACGTTCGCTTCTGCACTGTCGATCGAGGGCCAGCTCGAGCCCAGGTCACGGGCCTCCTGGGCCACGAGTCTTGGGGTGCGGAACTCTCAGGGGCAGTCTGTTGTGCGCAGTCTCACATGTGTTCTTTTCTTTATTGTCCCCCAGATGCGGGTTGGGGCACCAACTTAATTCTGATCCACCCTTTTCCTGAAAGGCCAGTTCTTTGGAGTTCCAGCTTCACACAGGCAGGATGGCCCCCAACCTGCCTGTCACGGGGAGTCTTGACTCCCGTCCCCGACACGTCAGTGCTCCTGAGCAAAAGCCCGAGCACACAGTGACGTTTCTGTGTACTTCTCACCTCTCTGGACACAGACTTCCAACCAAAGCTGGCTGGAAGCTCCCCGCCACTTTCCCACCCCTGAGGCGGTCTTCCAGGTTAGTTTTAACCTGTGCTACCTGGAGGGTGGCTGCTGTTTGCAGAAGAGACGCGGCCTGACTTGGCCAGAAGCAAGGAGTCCTCGGGATCCACTCCGACAGCCAGGCCAAGCCCCGTGGCCCCATCCAGCGGGACCACTGGAACCAGATGGGCCTGAACCGTCTGGGCGGGCCGACCAAAGCCAATGGTGACCCCCGCCTGGCAGGTGGCGAAGCCAGTGGGCTCTGCTGAGCCCGTGGGAGTTTCTCCAGGGCTGAAGCCCCACCTGGTTTGTCTCTGAGGACAAGCGTCACCCCGGCTCACTCTCTCTGCTGCCCACTGTACCTTCCCCAGAGCGGGGCTTAATGAACACCTGGCAAATTATTCACAACGATGTTGTGTTTCAACCTGAATACAGCCCGCTGTGGACCACATGTGTTATGAAGGCCATGCAAGTGCGTTGTGTGGCGTGTGAGAGGCACTCACCGTTGGCCAGGATCCTGGGCTTGTGGGCAGGGCTGAAGCAGATGTTGTGGAAGATGAGGAGCGGCAGGCACGGGCCGCGCCGGGGCCGGAACCTGCTCATCTCCGCCAGCAGGTCCAAGCAGCCGTCCAGCCGCAGGATCGTTTGCTGCCCGTCCTCCCCAAGCGACACATTCAGGAGCAGCTTCAGCCAGAGGATGGTCAGGGGGCTGAGATGCTTGTTCCCTCCTTTTGGCAATTCAAGAGACAGAAAGTTCTGCAAGAAGTTAGTCTGTGGGTAAACAGAGAGAACGTTATTTTCTTCGTCCCTCGGAGACCAATTAACGAGCCTTCTGCTCTTTTTCCCAACTTCAGTGTCTCCTTCCTCCAGAACCTTCCAAATGCTCCATCTACACTGTTCCCAGGTATAAGTGAGAAAGTTAAGGAGGACAAAATACTACTCAAATTTTAATTCTCAGCAATACCTTTCTGATGATGGATAAAGTAGTTACAGTCAGTTCTTAATTATTTGGGATAGTTCAGTTTGGGGATTATTTCTGGCCTGAGTCTTCTCTGTCTTCTGGCACTTCCACTGCTCATCAAAAGCTACAGTGTGTGTGTTGGGGGGGGGGGCACAAAGAAGCAAAACCCGCTGCCGGCTGCCGGCTGCCGGTGGGGACCAGGGCTTGGGGGAAACCGGTGGGAGGGCTCCGAGTAACGAGATTCCAGTTCTGAGGTACATTCCAGTTATAAGCCACGCGACTGTGGAGCGCAGCACAGGGAAGCGGTCGACAGTGTCGTAATGGCTTAACTGCGTGGGGGACAGAGAGGCCTACAGTCACTGTGGTGGCTGCGTCGTAGGATGCATCCACGTCAAATCACTGTCAGACGCCTGAAACGTGTACTAGGAAGTAACAGATAATGTGATCCCATTTAAATTTTAGGGTTCTTTTGAAACTCCCTTAAATGGAGTTCAACTGAACAGCTGTACTAGAATTTATTTCGACCATTCAATCCCTTTTAAATTAAAATCAGCGCAAGAAGTCAAGTTGGGGCACTGGAGTCCCAGGGGACTGATGAAATGACCTTTTGTCACACGGCAGTCAGGTCCGACTCAGAGAAAAAGGGGCCATGATTTCATAAACCATTCTGACAATGTAAATTGAACTGAAATTGTCACTGCTCAATTTGCTCGTTTAAAGACCAATATATTACTTTTATGATCTCAAATAAATGTAAGACAGCTGCCTTTCACTTCAGAGTGATAAAATATAATCCAAAGCTAAGAAGATGAACTAAAAGAAATGGTCTGATCCAATTCTAGCTTCTGCAATTCCCACGTACCCACTTCCAACTGGCTTTAAACAAAGGGAACCTCTCAACATTTTACCACCCTTTCAAGTCACATGTCTTAAAATTGAGTAAATTAATCCGAGAAGCTGAGGACTGGGTTTTCCACCCCTGCCCCTGACGGACAGGGACCTCACCTCGCCGCCCCGCATGGACGGTGTGGAAGAGGACGTGGAGGAGGACGTGGAGGAAAGCGCAGGCGAGAGCGCGGGCACTTACTTTCTGGATCACGGCTCTGCAGTCGTGCGACAGGACCAGGTTCGAAAGCAGCAGGAAGACTGTGTGCTGGCCGGTGGAGCCCCCGAGGGGCGCCGGGGAGGCCAGCTTCAGCACACACAGCATCAGAGAGCTCCCGGGGCCGCCCCTGCACAGGGCCGGGGCAGGACACTGTCCAGAACTTGACCAACAGAGAGAGCTGCAACCTTAAAAATAACAGCTTGTCACGACGGCTTCTCAGGTTCACCGTCTGGTCCAAAACACCCCGAGTGGTCCAGCCTCTCAGTCTGTGCAGCGACGGCCACTGAGCTGTGAACTGCGGGCCGGCACTCGGGCTGGTGCTGACCACCCAGCGAGCCTCGTGGCCCTGCTGGCCTCGTGAAGGCCCTGTGATGGCAACGGAGCACTGCAAAGCACTAGTTTACTTTTTAAAAAAGAAAATAGGCATAAATATGGGTTTTACATAGCTCTTAAATAAGACATCTAATTAAACAGGAAAAGAAGTTTAGAAATGGGCGGTAACTTGGTCTAATGCCTTCATTTCCTAGAAGAAGAAACACAGTAATGCCAGGGCGTGGGGACAGGACAAATGCCACAGCCACCCATGTGGGTGAAGGACATGGCTCAGAGAGGCCAGTGACCCGTTCACGTCACACAGCTCGCAGGCTGCCACAGCCAGCAGTGGCACCCCCGGTTCTCCAGACTCTCGTGCCTTCTCAGTAAATTAAACCACTGTCTGGGAGTTGTCGAGGGAGAAAGAGGATCATGAAGGAACCGGAAGTGGTGGGGCTGGAACGCGACAGAAGCGGAGGCTGAGTAACTGTGGAGGGCTAGGTGCAGAGCGGGGAAGGGACGGACTCACGCAGGGCCAGCGCACTGAACAAACACACTGCTCTCCCCGTGTTCGCACTGCACAGCAGTGTGCAAACACCACTGCTCCCACTCGCTGTTACATGAAACTGTCACGAATGAGGCGACTTTGCTTGAAAGCAAACCAGACAGGAAAATAGAAAGTTTCTTCCTCAGTTTAGTTACCTGATCACATTCTAATAGTTACACCACTTTCAAGTATGAAAGTAACACAGATAACAGTTTCAAAAGATTAATATTAAAGTAAGTGGATTTTTTTGCTCAATAGTTAGCCACTGATTCTTCTTTACTCCTTCCTTCCCTAAGCCCTAAACTGAGGGGTAAAGGGGCATGCAGAGTAAGTGGTAGGGACACGCACCCCCCGCACCCCACAGGGAAAGGTGCTGGAGCTCCAAGGCCACAGACAAGCTGCGGGGACCCACAGACGAACAGCTCCAGAGAGCACTAGGCTCGTCTCGGCACTGCGTGGGGGCTACGTGGGCTCTGATCTGCTCTTGAGTTCCAGTCCTTTCTCTGTACACCTTTCGCTCTTTGGAAAGCCCAGCTGCCACGCTGCCGATGCGGACAGAGGCAGCGGGCAAACTTGCCACACAGCAGCAATCCCGCCCCACCTCCCCAGCAGGTGTCCTATTCCCCCCCACTCAAGCAGCCTTTTCGCACACCGTCTCACCTCTCCTCACACCACCTCCTCCCTGCCTACACTCACCCTCAGCTGCTGGCCTCCACAAATGCATGGCCCATAGTAGGTGCTCAATAAAACATCTGGCCCAGGAATGAAAGGAAGAAAAAGGCATCCAACGTACCAACCATCACCAACCCACTGTATGCAGAATGACCTTTCATTAAGCCAGTGCCCTGCTCTCAAAGCTATTAAACTTTTAACATTTCCCTATGTTTTAAGGACTGACATCATAATTTCACTCTCTCAATTTTCCTATGACGTTCAATTTCCCACTGACAGAATCGGGCCAGTTTCTCCCTCTCTGTGCCCTGAGCTGAGTCACGACTTCTCGACAACATACGAACACACCTGCCTGCTCTCAGACACCTACGAGGAAGCATGCCGGTAAGCAGGAGAAACGTGAACCATGTGCTGGTTTTGCTAGCCCATTTTAACAAGAGCACAGGAAACCAGGATTTCAGCGCACCACGTCACTGAAAGGCACGCCAGGCTCATTACCGTTGGGGAAATCCGCAGTGTAGACACAGAGCAGCTGCAGAGCGATCTGCATCAGTGAGTCGTCCACCAAAAGCCAAGGCCAGAGGGCATGCAGCACAGGCACGAGGTGGGCTTCAAGCGCTGCTTCCTGTTGTAGACAGGAGGTGAAGGCAGCATTGGTTTGAGTGCAGGAAAATATAACATGAAATCCAACCCAAACAGCAGTCCCCAATGCCAGGAGGCAAAGGCGAAGTTCATCCGCATTTAGATGAGTGCGAGCTGCCATAGAAGCCCTCGCCCCAATGGCCCTGGGGCCAGACCAGCCTCAGGAAGTCCCACCCACCACTGGGAGACTGGACAGACACCTTAGGTAAGAAATGGAGCAAAGCAGCTTCCAATGTGTCAGTTAAGCAAGACAGTGAGGTCTTCCAACACGGAATAAACCGGGAATGCTCTGATATGGTTAAGAAATGGGATTTTCTGCTTAAGTAAACACTCTAATCAACTCTGAGCTCTCCCTTCTGCCCTCTCTCCGTGTGTGTGTGTGTGTGTGTGTGTGTGTGTGTGTGTACGCACACCCAGTGTATGGGGATAGACAGAAATAAATCAGTCGGGGGCATGGTAGTGTTTTTAAATCATGGCTCAGCGCCAGAGCAAGCAAGCCCCTGGGAGGTTCTGGGCCGAGGCACTGAGGCGGGCAGGGCGCCCCGGAGGCGGGCAGGGCACCCTGGAGGCGGACAGGGCCGTGCTCAGCACTGGCGGGCAGCATCCCCACACAGAGGCAGGAGGCACGCTCATCCCCTCTCCTTAGGGATACAGACACCCCCACTCACTGCCCTGGAAAGCTGTCTGGCCGCCAGCCACCTCTGAAACTCCTGTCTCAAAAGACATACGTAGCCATTGGCTCCATCTCAGCAAAAACAAGTGAAACGCCTGACAGGACGGGAAGGGGTGCACATGTGTCTGAGCCACACAAAGTCAAGGTCTTGGGGATAAAAAACGCAAGCATGACGGGGACTGTCATCGGTGCTGAGGAATGAGACGGCCAGGGGCATCGATTTTGAGAACAGAGGTTGGTGACCAATGGACTGTGCAGCTGAAAAACTTCGAGGGGTTTCTGTTTTCCTGCCCACGTATCTCATTCAGAAATCAAGCTGCCCCCTGCCAGGACTGCTAGGAAAATGTGAGAAGGGGCTCTACTCACCTTACATTCTCCATTCTGATAAAGACAGTTCCGTAGCAGCTGCATGGCGGTGCCTAACTCTTTCGCGAAACCACCCTCCTGTTCAAACAGAGGGCAGTTGAGAGACAGGAACACAAAGGCACCGTCCACATCAGGGCCGCAGTCCCCGGTCCTCTGGCCGCAGTGCAGAGGACCTGACTGCGCCTGACCCCATCACTCCAACGGGACCGGGAAGCTCCTGCGCTCTGAAGGGGGACCACCTCTCAAGAAGCACGCCCCTCACGAGGAAGTGACTTGTTCTACCACACATGGAGAGCCTGAGATGCTCAGTAAACTCCCTGTTCCATCTCAACAAAGTGACTCGGGTACCCACTGGGGCTCAGGCACCTCAGGTGTCCGCCGGCCTTCATAAAGGCGATGTCAAGGGCCTTGGCCGAGAGGGTAGGCAAGAACCTGAAAACCACGGCAACACCCCGCATCAATCAACTGATGAAACCGGCTCTCTCTCGGTTTCTAACCCAATGCAGCTGAAACTGGTTACTCCACAGACGGCCCTCCAGCGGCCTTAGCTGCATACGTGAGTGTGCACTTACACATTTATAAATACACACACTTCCACTTCCTCAAGGGGCCTGTGTGGCAGATCTCTGTAACCACGGGTACGACTGTTCGCCATCGCTACTGCATCCAGATCGTGTTACTTCCAGTTTCCGTACACATGCGATCTGAACACGAGCCCGGCGGAAGGACGGGACAATCAGACATTAGAAACGTTCGCCCTGCAGCCGCCAGGCCGGGCCAACCCTGGCTTCGCTGATCACTAGATGTGCGACTGTGTAGTCGTGCGCGTGCCCGGGACGATAAACGGGAAAGGGTTAGAGCAGTGCCTGCCGGGGTAAGTCAGAGCTCACTCCTACTGTGCCTGTGCTCACTCGGAAGATCTGCTTTTGGTGGTACAGCATCGCACACACTGCAGAATGTAAGAGCAAATATATGCCTTTCGTTTAAAGATCTTCAAAGGAGAGCTAAGACTCAACACAAAACCCCCAAACTGCTAATGTGGAAATCCTACTATTTCTGACTGTGCCTTCCTTCTAAATCAGACCCTCGTGCGAACCCAGTGTTGGTGTCCTGTCACGAGGACACTGGCGAGAGGGCCTCTCCCGAGGCCGCGCGTTTGTCCCGGAGTTCCGGAGCCCGCTACCTTTTTCCTCAGCGCTGCTCTCCCCGGCCTCAGGGAGGCGAGGTTCAGCTGGGCGTGGACATGCTTCATCTGCTCGAGGCAGCTGTCTATCAGATCGGCTGGAAGACAAAACCCAGACTGGCAAAAGGGCGCGCCACTTCCGAGGGAGTGGAAGCCACACGTATCAGACTCTCGGAAACACACAGTGCACTGCTGACCCACTCCACTGGAGCATTTTCAGCGGGCGAAGAATGAGTCAGAGGAAACAGTGTACGGGAGGTAACAGGCTAAGGCCGCTGGTTCCCACTCGGCACGACACTCCCCGAGTCTGAGTTCCGCTCTGGGACAGGCACCCTTGGTCCCAGCAGTGACTCGCATCGGCGACCCATGGACCTGACGGTGCTGATGCCCTTGTACCACTCAGACCTGGGCTCTCGAGTTCCGGATGAGACACCGCAAAACTCAGGGTGGGAGGTGGGGCTTGGAGTCTGTATTGAAATACAGGATCTTCTAATGCTGCTGATTTCACCATCAAAACTATGTTTGATTTTCCGGCCATGTAACATATGCTTGTGGTTACTAATATTTCATTACTATAAACTTAAGTGGTGTGTTACTTCTTAAGCCTCTATACTATTTAGAGATTTTCAGGAGTAGAAAGCATTGTGCACAAAAAAAATTACACATATGATCTTACCATGTTACAAGTAATGCACGCTTAACCGTTTTTAGTGACCCTGAAAATACATTTAGAGTCAAAGGAAATTAGAACGGACAAGCAGCAGCCCCTGACCCCACGGCAGGCCCCCCACAGGGGCTGCCCCACGGCCCACCTTTCAGGGCGAGCCTCTGCGCCCGGCGGCTGACAGCCAGCAGCGCCAGCAGCCCTCGCCCCGCCACGCTGCGCAGGGCGTCTCCGGGGGACTTCCCTTGGTAGCACTGCGGAGAGAGCAGAACACCTGCGCGTCAGGGCCCGAGCCCGCACCCCTGCCTTCTCCCGCCCACCCGCACCCCTGCCTTCTCCCACCCACCCGCACCCCTGCCTTCTCCCGCCCACCCGCACCCCTGCCTTCTCCCGCCCACCCGCACCCCTGCCTTCTCCCACCCACCTGCACCCCTGCCTTCTCCCGCCCACCCGCACCCAGCAGGGTGTCCGTCGCCGCTGCTACCGGCACAGGGTCCTGTTGCTGAAGAAGCCGGGCCGTGACCCGCCCCCCCCCCGCCCCCCGGGTGCGCCTGCTCTGCACGTGTCTGCCCAACCCCCCCCACCCCGGCCCATGAAGACCTGACCTCGCCGCCTCCCCTCCGCGCTTCCCAACCGGATGTTTGAGCTCTGAAGACTCGACCGGGTTCGGGTGGAATTTCTCGTGCTAAGAGTCTCGTGTGGAGACACGTACACATTTTTACTACACTGTCAAAGGGCGTGTCAATGCCGGCGTCAGATCAAGAAGTTCCTCATTAGATTTATAAATATCACTTAACTCAAATTCCATGACTTTTCTTTCTACATCACTTTTCAAAATAATCCAGCTTTATAATATCCTGATTAAAATTAGGCTTAAGTGACAATTTTACATAAAACACACTGCAGCATAATTACTAGATGCAACCCCACTCACAACTGGAGCGCACACTTGGCGCCGGGGAGGGGCCTGCGCAGTGGGGCAGGACCCCCGTCTCGGTACCTCGGGCTGCGGGTCAGACACTGAACGCCTCGGGACAGGGATGCACATGTGATAAAGGTCAACTGTTCCCAGATGATGACATCCCCTGGAGCACACCCTGCAGTCCGCAATGGGAATCCTGCTTGTCTACGAACTTGGCAGGGAAACTGCCCTTCTCCACACAGACGTACTGACACTGCGTGCGTCAGTGAGGTGGGAAGCAGCAGACTGACCTCTCTGGAAAGCACCACTCCTCTGCTCCACGCAGCCATGAAGGGCAAGAGCTGAGAACCCTAGGTGCGGCTGTGCACACAGATGTGTCTTTGGTTCCCTTGGGGACTCTCACTAAACTGACAGGAACGGAACGCACACAGACCAGTCCAAGTTCAGAAATGGGAAACCCGGGGGGTGAACAGCAGGTGCATTAGCAGGCTGGGACCCTGAATCCCCGGCACAGGGATGACCTGCCCGGGCCGAGGAGGCTGGGCCGCAGGCGGCCCTGGCAGGGAGCTCGGGGAGGACTGTCTGAAAGCCACTGACGAGCAGCCACACGGCCGAGTCGCCCACCAGCCCCCAGTCCCGTGCGGAACTGCCACTCTTCCTGCCCAGCTCTCCCCAAGCACCGGAGGCTGTCTCCGGAGAGCAGGAAGTGGGGACTCTGCACTGGCAGAGATGGGGCACGTCTGGGGGGGCGTGTGAGGCTGTGCAAACCAAACCCTAAAATCCCAACTCTCTCTTCTCCCCTTTGCCACAGGCGCTCGGCAGCTGGGGTTCCCCTCCAGTTGGGAGGACCAAACTGCCTCACTGGGGAACGCAACAACCTCCAGAAGACAGGGTCACCCACGACCCAGCCGAAGCCCCTCCCAGGGCCGCCTGCAGGTGGCAGGCCCCACTCACGTGCTCAAGGCTTCCAATGTGGACACACGGCAGGCAACCAAGGTACCGGAACTCAAAATAAAACCCTACCCAGAAAACAGAAGCGAACATAGAAAAAAGGGAAGAAAAGAGAGGTTCTCTAGGAAGAAGAAAAATTCACAGGGGCTCCCAACATACAGAGCACACCAGGGGCAGGGAAGGTCAGGGCCGTGATTAGAGGCAGGCGAGAACCCCCAGGAGAGCCAGCCCGGCGGACAGGGAGAAGGCTCTCCATCAGGAATATGGGATCCACGCAAGGCCAGGAGACAGGAGCCTGGTGTCCGAATGCCTTCAGAACGCTCTACAGCAACAAGAAGTTCAAGGCAGGAGGCAAAGCCTTCTAAACCCTAAAGCGAATGATTTCCGCTCTAGGGTTCTCACTTGATCAGGATGAAAATTCAGTGTTAGGGTGGAAGAGCATGTTCAGAAGATCCCATCCCAAAAAGCCTGCTATGCACCTTTCCTCTGGAAGGTGCTGGAAGAGAGACTTCCCAGGTGTGGCCCAGGAAAGGAGGACAGGGGACAGAGGACACAAGGAGATGGCAGCAAACAGCGAGGCCTAAATCCCCAGGGAGAAGGCTAATAGCAATCCCAGGGTGACACTGGGCACCTCGCGGTCACGAGGAACTGAGAGTGATTCCCTCTGGAGGAAAATGAGGCTGAGACAAGTTCGGACATTTCTGAATCTACCCAGAGGAACAGGGAGATTATCGGTGGTAACAGAAAATCAGCAAATTGAAAAATGATACAATTACCACTAAGAAAAAAGAAAGCTGTGCCGGAAAAGGAAAGTGAACGTTGTGTGCATTGCTCTCACCGCACGCTGCGTAATCAATGGTCAGAGTGAGCAGGTGCAATGCTGGGGGACCAGGAGGGAGCCCGCTGTGGCTGGGTGGGGGCTGGGTTGTGGGAAGAGTTACAGTCTCGTTTTCCATAGCAGGAAATCAACAGGCGGGGTCCCAAACCGAGTAACTAAGGCAGGGAAGTCGTGTTATCTATGTATTTGCAAATGAAGCTGACGGAGTAGCTCACTAGAGAAGGCAAAACTCCATTAAGTCAAATGTATTCCACATTTTAGGGTCAAAAGCCCACTAAGAGTTTCTTAGAGGATATTCAAATGCTGGCCCTTGGAAGGCAACTGCAAGGCTGACGTGGCCCCCGGTGAACGTGAGTCTCACGCCCCTGCCTTCCAGGGTACTGCTACAGAGCAGCCATTGAACCGATTCTCTCTGCCACGACACTCCAGTCGCAGCCATGGTACCATAATTTGCTAGAACGGAGAACGGAATCAGGAGAGGTCCAGTGATGTGCCGAAGACCACACATCAAAGACAGACTGGCGTGTATGCTGCTGCTTATAACACATGGCACGACCCACGGCTTACGTGGACGCATGTTATTTACTAACATATGCTATTTCATGTGGTTAAACAATATTCTAATTCCCCTATCTTATAGAAGGCAGGCCAAAGAAGACAGTGCTCGCAGTTTAACAAGCCTTCCGACGGGTGCTATCTCGTGGCTGTGTCTCGGGCACGGTGCCTTTCCTTACTTTGAGCCTTGCCCACGCCCTCTTAACAAACACCCCATCTTCACAGCTGACTGTTTAGGCGACGAGAAGAGTATGACTTAATAAGAAACAGTTTGCATCCTTGGTTAATACGCCCGTATCCACACTGAGTACCTCACGCATTGTGCAATCAGAAAGACGTGGAGGGAAAGTCAGCTCGTCATCAGGAGAATCACTGCGATGCCCCAGACTCGTTTTCCTTGACCCAGAAGGTAACAGCAAAAGGTTAAAAACAGTACCTTTTATAAAATTACAAAATATTAAAGAAAAACCAGGGCGTGGTACACGGAACACGACCCTGGGGCACCGCTTCCCTGTGCACCGCACTTCAATGCGGCTCCCGGTCCCTGCGCGGACCCGTGGTTGCACCCGTGGTTGCCAGAAGCCCAGTCCCTTGAGACCCAGCACCACTGAGGAGCAGGAGACAGGAGCACAGGGCCTTGCATCCCCAGGCCCCGGAGGCCTGGCTGCGGGGCCCCTGCCCTCCGGGGAAAAGAAATCAGCCTGCACTGTGAGTCAGCTCCCGGAGGAGGAGAGCACGTGGAGGAGCGCCAGGGCCCTTCCCGGAGAAGACCATTCCGCCGGAGCCAACGCTCGGAAATTAATGATGCTTTCGGGTTGGGCTGGAGGATTTTTGTCTAGGTGTGAATTTGAGTTTCCCTGCTTAGTATGTATTTTTAAGTACATTTTTTAAATCCTCACCCAAGGACATTTTTCATTGCTTTGAGAGACAGACACACAGACACTGATGTTAAAGTGACAAAGAGCACTAAATTACTCATCAGGGGAATAAAGCCTGTTGTTCTGACAGTGAATGAGATCAGCGAACAGTGTCCAGTTTGGGTTTTAAATGGAGAAAAACTGAGTGGAATGAGGATAGTAGCTCGGAGGAAGCTGTGTCTTCCCAAAGAGAGGGACGTACAGAAACTCTTGGAGGACTTTGTTTCCCTAGAGACCCAGTGTCTGACCAACGTGCTGAGCAAAGGCGCCGTGCCGGAGAGCAACAGGGAGAAACCATCAGGCCCCCTTAATCGGGCTCCTTATCACTGCCTCGGAGGCAGTCCAACCGGTTGGGCCGGAGCAGCGGCTCCTGCAAAGCCTGTGACCCCTCCACGGGCAGGTGTGGGCCAGGCCATGCAGCTGCCCTGACGCTGTCGGCCTCGCCCGAGTTCCAGCAGGGTCAAGGCCGGGGGCAGCACGCGCACGTGGTCATTCTGGGAAGGTCTGCGAGAGCAGGGCTCGCACAGGCAGGCCGGGGCAAACCCCGCCCTGAAAGCAGGCGTCCTGATGACCGCACAGCACGTGCGAACCCACCCGCTGCGAGTCGGCCTCTCCCAGCTCACAGTGAGAAGACGGCAGGCGTGAAGCCACAGGGTCGCTGCAAACAAAGTCTTAATGCCAAAAATCAGTACCTCCTAGTGGTAAAGACAACTGTCTAACCCAGGAAACACTTCCAGCTGTTTTCACTGTCACCCTATTTATAAACACAGTGCTTTTCTAATGTTTCTGATGAAACAAAAAGCGTGGTTCATATCTGAGGATTGCAAAAAACAAGTGAGAATATAAAGCAGGCATCCAAGCTCAGAAAGAGGGCGTTTCCTCAGAGGTGACAACCAGGCCTGCTATCTCATACACACGACCTCCTTAAATATACACAGTTCATGTACCTACATCAAATGTCACTTGGGTGAATATATTTTCAAAGATGGAAACTGTCTTTAAAATGGAAACAGACTGTGAATAACACCATCACCCTTGAAACACGGCCAGTGGCCGTGGTCATGATATGATGCACTACTCTGATAAACTGCTTGACGTAGATCACTAATATTTCACTTTGAATTTCTGTACCATATTCTGGTCCACACCAGAGGGTGGGACTGATTAGGAAATAGTCAATTTATCTACATATAAACTCTTGTATGACTTAGTCATGAGTATTATTTTTTTTAGGGTCTATGTATTTATTTTTAAAGAGCAGGGGAGGAGGAAAGAGAAAAATATCAGCGGGAGCAGGCAACATGGATCTCTGCCTCTTACACGCGCCCTGACCTGGGAGGGAAACTGCAACCCCAGCACGTGCCCTGACCAGGAAACGAACAGGTGACCTTTCACTTTGTAGGACGATGCCCAGCTGACTGAGCCACACCTATGGGGGCAGTGTTAATTACTTTTTAATTCAAAAGATTGAAATTTTTTTTTTTTTACAAAACTAAGCCTGAAAAAGTAAAGTTGTAAAAACTCAAGAAATCACGCACCTGAATCATGACTTCATTAAGTCGTTCGAGAGGCTTCTCACTTGCCGGTGCTTCGTCCAGGAGAGAAGCCATCGTTGCGCCGTGACGGGAACTGGCTCCATCCTTATCTCGAAGGCGCCGCTTTGCTTCTTCGGTCAAGAGGATGGAGAGGAACTGCAGGCTGGCGGTGTAGAGCGCCGGGCAGGTGGCGGACAGACCCGCACACTCACAGAACCTGTCTGGAAGAGAGGACAACCCGACACACAAGTGTCTGAAAATGACCTCAAAATGAAGTGGGTCAGACTGCTCTGATTTTTATGGAAGTGAAGCAACCAAGGGTCACAAGAGCAGGTCGAGTGTTTGGGAGGAATCTGAACAGGACTGAGACAGCAAGCTGAGTCAGGAATCTACTTAATGTTCACTTCATCCTTTTTACATGAGTTTTTATGTGAATGAGTCTGTGTGTGCACGAACGCACACATGCATATCTGCCAAGACCCAGAATACTCCTTGTACGAGGGATGTGGATAAACGGCTCTTGATCCCTCTGCGATCTACTGGATCCACAAAGTCTCTAGGGTTCTTAACTTTTCCATTTTTATTTCAGTGCTAACCTAAAAAGAAGCTAAGGCAACTATACACTACATTATTTAGATTTCCACCCCATAGGTGTGACTGTGTTTCCCCTTCCAAACAAGTTGATGCTGAGTGGTACCCAAAACAAGACGGCGTGCAGTATGGCAGGATCGAAGGGTTCACGGCCATTCCGCTGGAGAAGGGTGTGAGGGACGGACATGCAGACACAGCAGAGCGGAAAGAACGGGCAGACCCACTCAGAAGAATCTACACTGAGTCAGCCATTATTAATTCCCTGCTGTGAGCACTGATTCATACAATCAAAGGAACATTTGCTGCATTATGTTAATTTTATTCAATTGCTAGCACAGGTTTATAATTTTGTTGTTTCATTTATATATTATTTCAGACTCATATTTGTGTAAGAGTTCTAACTGGGAGAATTTCTACCTAGATTTAGGTTACAGAAATGCTCGTGTTCTTCAGTAACCTAAGAAAAATAATTTGGTCAGCAGTGGATTCCATGAGAATTATGCTCATGTAAATTATATCTAAACATTAGTCCAGTTTGAAAGTTTGAGCAAAGACTGTTACAGATCACATAAGCTAGAGTAACCACAGACATCTTGAATGTGTGTGCATGCACAGCATAGCAAATAAACAAAACCACCCTAAAACATCTCCATGTCAAGGAATGTCCCTGATCCTTATTAGTTACGTTTTCATCAGCATCACAATTACCAAAGCCAATCATTTATGTAGTAGGCTATTTTTGATTAGCACCACTATTATATAAAATGGTGTGTGTGTTGTAGAAAGATTTTGAATTTAACATGTCTTTTATTTTATCCCTAGAGAAACAGTGCCAGGTCAACAGGCTTAAATTGGGGTCAGCACCCTTCTCTGCAAAGGCCCTGAAAAGGTAGGTATTCTAAGCTTGTGGGCCGACCTCGCTGGACCAGTTGGCTCAGGTGCCCCGTGCATCCCATTAAACATCTTGCTTTAACTTATTAGTGATTCAGGCAGTGACACCCTGTGCATGCAACAGGAAAATCTCCATCTCAGCCAGTCAATCAATCAATCAATCAATCAGTTTCAACTTTTACTTCTTTTAATAAAATAATGATCTCTAAATGGATACTATTCCCTGTAGGGTAAATGCAGAACTCTTAACTCCAGGTACCTAACAATTCCATTTCTTGTTAAACATATTTCCCCATAAATCTTACTTCAGAACAACTCTCTGGTTACAAAACATATCACACATTTAACTTACAGAATGACCAAATGATATAGTGTGGGGAAAAAAGTCAATTAAATTACTGATAACTTAGAAACTTAAATTCAACTCTGAAAATTAAACTGGTTATTTTTAAAAAGTAACCAATGTCACTTAAAATATTGATATAAAAAAAGCTTCTTGCCATGCTAAAATTTAGAAGACCCTTTATCAAAAATTAAAGGCAGTAGTTATTTAAGCAGTTAAGAAAATATCTTATAAAAATAACTACACTATATCCTTGGCGCTTCTGTTGAGAGAACTCGCTGCATGAGGAGCCGTGTCTTGAGACCAGACACCACCTTCACTAGAACTCTCCACGTGACCAATGCACAGGGTGCCAAGTGCAGGTTTGCCCACGTAAGCAAGTGCACGCAGGCGAGGAAAGAACAGTTCCCACACCAACCAAGGTGAACCTCTCTCGCCGTTTTATAATCACGGCATGTGTACCTGCAGAACACCACAGGCTTTCCTTACCTATGTTCACCTGAAAGGTGTTTCAATTTTTCTAACATACACTTTGGGGGCTCCTCAAGGGCACTGCAAATGCCTGGAAGTGAGCGCCCGGTTCCTCTTTCACAGGCCATGCCGTAACTGCTCAACTTTAGAGAGGGCACATGTAGGTAAAGGTGTAATAGAGATCGTCCCATCTGAATCAGCGGAAGACCCCGGCCGGATGAGTGTCCCTTACCAAGCACTGCCACCCAGTGCTGGGCCAGTCCTGTGGTTATGGGTGGCAGAGAGGCAGCTGCAGCTTTCCTCAGGAGGGCGGCCAGGAGGTTAAATAAATGTGTCCACGTCTGATAAAACGCCAATACTAACTCGCCATCTGTTGAGTTAATCAAAACATGTCAAGTTATGAGTACAAAGAAAATGGGCCTTTTAAAATACAAAATTCATCAGACACTTCATTACACTTAAAATAAGGTGTGTACTTGTGAAACAGAGCCAAGTATAATTCAGCATGAATTTACTTCACTTACTTTCTCTTTTACAATGCTTAAATAGGTCTTTCCTCCCTCTTCCTACAGACAAATAAGTGCACTCACAAACCCCCCTCACTCAAGCAATTGCAACAATCACGGAGTGTGACAAACTGAAAGTGAGGCCAGGACTTCAGAAGTACTTATTGGCACATTGTAAACAGATGTCAGTGTTGTGCTGCTTCTATAAAAGCAAAGGTTCTCTGGTTCCCTTCCCCCTCCTCCCCCCCCCCAGCTTTGTGGAGGGAGGAAAGGGGCAACGATGTGCCAAGGTCACCACGCAGAAGAGGCACGTTTCTCTGAGGCCCCAAGGAGGGCTGCCCCACAGGGAAGAAGGTGCTGCTGAGGAAGAGGGTCCGCAGCTCTGCCCCTGGCTGACGTCCCAGTTCACCTTCTGGGGGGTGAGGTGCAGCTGCTCCCTTCCTCCGCTCGGCGCCTGAAAGCTGGAGGCAGCCACTACATCTCAGGGCTGCCTTCCCCACAGACACCACCCTCAGGCTCTGCCCACGTCTGTCCACCTCCCCCATCGGGCGAAACTGGGACGTCCTCCCTGGTGTTCTTCAGCACCCATCAGGCACCAGCTGCTTCAGGGCGTTTGGAGAACAGCCCTCGTCTTTCTCTACTCTTTTGTTATTGCCAGTTCTCCAGGAGTCTTTTCGGCATATATTTTCTCATTACCAGCCCTGTGAAATATTAATTCTACAGATAGTGTATCTGTTTATGTACTATCTGTGTGCCTGCACTTCACACATAAAAAGAGTAAGTATAAAGCTTACTAATTTTATTCAACACAGGCTTAAGGCAGCTAAATGAAATATTTAAGTTGCAAGTTAAATTAAAATTTAAAAAACTATTAATATTTAACTTTATAACTATGCTTGCTGAACAACTTCTAATGTAATTTATTCATATATCAAATGTATCAAATTATATATGAACATTACAAATCATAATTTTTATAAAATTACTCAAAACTTTTATTTTTCCAGAAAAAAACTTAATTTCTTTTTTAAAATAATTTTATTTAGTTATTTTTCAAGTACAGTTTTCTGTCTATTTCGCCCATCCCAGCCCCGCCCCGCCCCGTGCTCCCCACCTCCCTCCCATTTCCACCCCCCTTAGTTCTCATCCCTGTGTCCTTCCTATTTGTTCCTCCAAATCCCTCCCCCCCTTTCCCCCTTAAATTCCCTTCCCTCTCCCCTCTGGTCACTGTCCCCTTGTCCTCTATTTCAGTGTCTTTGTTTTTATTCTGCTTGCTTGTTTGTTTTGTTGTTTAGCTTCCTGTTAAAGGTGAGATCATATGGTATTTGTCTTTCAACTCCCGGCCTATTTCACTCAACATAATGCTTTCCAGTTCCATCCATGTTGTTGCAAAGGGTAGTAGCTCCTTCTTTCTCTCTGCTGCATAGAATTCCATTGTGTATATGTACCACACTTTTTTGATCCATTCATTTACTGACAGGCACCTAGGTTGCTTCCAACTCTTGGCTATTGTAAATTGTGCGGCTATGAACATTGTGGTGCATAGGTTTTTTTGAAATTGATGTTTTAGGATTCTTAGGATATAATCCTAGCAGTGGAATTGCTGGGACAAAAGCCAGGTCAGGTCGATTTTTATTTTTCTGAGAAAATTCCATACTGTTTTCCATAATGGTTGTACCAGTCTGCAATCCCACCAACAGTGAACTAATTTCTTAAAAAACATTTTAATGCACTTTTAATTTTTGCTAGATATAAGAAAATAACCTTTAACTTAACCACTTAGTAGATATACATTCAGATGTCGCTGACATTTTTCTCTCCAGCACCTGACATAATTGATAGGTTAAACACTTTTATGTAATTAAATAACAATACACCATTTTCATTTAATTCTCAAATCCCAAGTCACGCCAAAGGCACAGGATCAGCGGTGCGTCCACAGGGCAGGCAGTGGCCGCCGAGGTGCGCAGGCCGCTGCCACGAGGCGCTGGCGCCTGCCCCCCAGGGAGCTGTCTAGTCTCGGCCACCAGGCCTGCAGCTCCAACCTGGTGCTGTTCTTGTCTGCCTTCCAGGGGCTCCACTTCATGCTTCTCAAGTGACACGCAAGGAAACCCGACAGGAGAATTAGATACTAAGGAACAGATTTTACTGGGCAGAGGTGAGCTCTGGCAGCCACTGACTACTGAAGAGCTAGAACACTTCCCCTGGCCCTTCCCCCGATGCAGTTTTTGCTATGGGCCTGTGACTCCGCCCTTGTGGAGAAGGCCCGGCCTGGCTGGTTAGCTCAGTCAGGACATCGCCACCTGGAGCACTGGGATATTTACAGTGTCCGTGAGACACTGGGGACCTGCGTGGCTGAGCATCATCGAACATCTCTCTTAACGGACCTCAAACCAAGCCAACCCATAAAATTCAAAGGACCACACAGGAATGAATCGACAAGCAACGAGAATTGCCAAATGATCAATTACTTCATTATAAACTATTTTAGACAACTATCACATGTTAATTTTGATAAAGATACTACTTTTTCTATTGGTCTCCACTACTAAGTATTATATTCAACTTTTCGTCAGTTTATTTTTCCATCATTTCAGACCCAGATGTTGTACGCTAGCCTTGCTTATACTTATAATTGGAGTTGAGTCGCTGGTGGGTCTCCTGGCCTTAGCCACAGTTTATAATACTACTTGCTAAAGCTCTTCCTCACATTCCTCACATTCCATAACAAACTTGACCTTTGTGTAAACTGTCGGTGCAGAGACAGCCCTTGTGCCCACACGGACTGCCCTGAGGTTGTCCCCTGGCACCTCTTATCGCACCCGAACTACAGAACACACCCTGAAACCCCCCAACACGGGGAAAGGGTCACCTGAAGTATACCTTGCAGTGGTATCTGGTGCAAAGGTTTTCCCTTCTGAACCGGGACAATAAAGCTTACCCAGCAGATGGTTGGTGCGGATGGTGAGAACTCTGATGACGTTCGCAACAAAAGGTTTCAGAAGCTCGTCCTGAAGCACGAGGCCGGGGTCCACCACCGCGCAGGACTGCAGAAGCCGGGACAAGGAGCACAGGTACTCCAGGAGGAAGGACGCCTGCCGGGAGGACGGGGAGTGAAGCAGGGCCTCCTCCGAGGGGAGGACACGGCTTTGTAAATATGGTAACAGAAAACTAATAAAATAGTAATCATAACTTTCAAAGACCTCAAATGAATGCACGGCGGACGGGCATTGTTTTTCTCGTGAGCAGCACACCATTAACTATTGTATTGACACTACCAAACAAAACGACATTTTTTAAGTCAACCGAATTTCCATTTAGAGAAAGCAAGCCTCAGAATTTTTCAAGTAGCTAAATTGTGAAATCAATATTTTTCAGAGAAGCAGCAAAGGGCATTCCAAAGCCATAAAGCCTATAATTTTGTACAAAAAAAAAAAAGAAAAATTACAAAACACTCTTCAAAGGGCACAACTGGGGGTGGGGGCGGGTAGCCTATTCGCCTAATTATTGCTACAAATAAAATGCAAATGATTGCATGTCTGCCCTCAACTACCCTTCAGTATAAAAATACTACTCTTAATTACAAAAGAAAAATTCACTCTGCCCCAATATTAGCAATAAAACCATTTCTGGAATGTTGCTTGGAATATTATAAGAAGCATTAACTGACAAAAGTACTTCAAGAAAATCTCCTGGATATATAGGAAGTAAAGAATAAGCTGAGACGTCCCCTTTATCTGTTGTCCCCAGGAAATGTGACTGTCCACACAAATCAACATGAGACAGACACTGAAGGCCCCCTCTGTACGTGTGTGTACACACCACACACACCTATTCCCGTGACGCTGTGCCACATGACCTAGCCCTCCCCGGTGTCGGGGGCTTGCCTCGTTCCGAAAGCTCAGGGAAGATGTCACAAAGCAAGAGGGACTGGGCTAGTCCACCCCTGACTTCATCCCACATGAATCTTGCAGCCCTTCTTACAAAATCGTTGATTTTGAGCTAATGTTTCTATCAGCCTCAAGTACCCAAAGAACTGTTAAACATTCTGTATATATGGACTCGTAGTCAAGAACCTAAAAATAACTAACATATTCTTATCAAACTGGGTTTTGAAGAGACACAGAACTTTAACAATGCCAGGTTAGATGACAATGACAGAGAGAGCCTAAAATCAGAGAAGGGGAAGGAGGCTGCTATACCACGTCCTCCTTTCCGATCGCGGTGCGGAAAGATACCCAGATCCTTGATGAAACATTTATAGCTCGTTAGCGATGGAATCAGGAGTGGAATGTAGGTCTTCAAACCCCTCTGCTCCTTTCTACCCCCAAAGATGAAAATGTTAAGTAACCTATTTCAAATGACCCCATCACACCAGCAGAGCCGGAGAAGTATCTGCCCCCCTCCTGCACACTGCGGCCTCGGCAGGGCTCCTGTCTCGGCGCTCACAGCACAGGGACGCACCGACTGGCCCAGGGCCAGAAGGAGATGCAACACCCTCACCTGGGCCTGCGTGTGCTCCGCCGGGGGGGACGATGGCAGCGGGGCCTTCAGCTCCTGCACACAGCTCTCTATGAGGGTGGCATCGGCGACACTGTCAGGGACAGAAAAAAAACCCTTCTGATGATGAGCACGCCTCTTGTTAAAGACGAGTAAATCCGAATTTGAAGTCAGAATGTAACCCTGAATAGAACTCAAGAGAAAGGCTTTTACAGAGAAAGTCAATAAATGGCTACAAAAAGGTATTTCCGAGCACAGGAAAAGATCTTATCAGATACAAGTGGGAAGCAAAGAATTTCAAAGGAAAATGCCTTATGAAAGCGTAAGAAAAGCATCACTCATAACCCTCATGCTGACCGCACTAAACAGGTGCAGTCAGTGACACCCAGGGCCATGGCCACAGCGCTGCTAAGGGGACCAGCTCAAACCGGACCCTAGGGTGGGCTGATTCAATGCCGTTTTTATCGCACCGCACCAACGAGAAACCAGAAAACGTATGCCAGAGGCTCATTAGTATTTCAGATAAATGGAAGACCCAAATCATGACTTCCCTAAATCTTGTGAGAATTTTTTCTAATGAAAAGTTCAGTCTCGCATAACTAAATAAATCCAAATGAATTTTAAAAGTGATTTTTCGAACCGCCGACATTCGTCGGACATGACCACTAGGGAGCTAATCCCCCAGCTCCTTCACTTCCAGTCACAATGACCAAGGGGACTGGACAGTCCTTGCGTGTGATGGAGGACAAACAGGGTTCAGAACCTCTGAATTTTACAAAATCAGGACTTTTCCTGGGGGGGAGCCGAGCAGTCAACATAACGGACTGATACAAGTGGCTGATTAGATCTAAAACCAAGGCTGTCAGGACAGCTCCGCCGGAGCAAGCTCTGCGGCCAGAGGGGCCTGCAGAGGGGGAAGAGTTAGCCCAGGACACGGAGCCCTGCAGCGGTGCAAATACAGCCTAGGGGACCCGGCTCCCCCGAGGTGCCCCCGGTGCTTCTCTCACCTGCAGAGGAGCTCTAAGAGCCGAGCCTGTCGGAAAGCACATGCCGTGTCCCTGGGAGCAATCACCAGGAGGCTGTCGGAGAGGCTGCACATCGCGGAGAGGAGGGGTGGGGTCACCAGGACGCACGGTCGGGGCCAGGCAGCAGAAAGGGACGAATCACGAGGCAGCCGCGGGGACGCAGTTTCGGCCTGACCTGTGATTGAAAGCATGCAGAGAAAACATCCTACTTGGTTTACCCTGCGGTTCTGTGCAACAGTCACGGGTCTGACACTCAGAGGAAAGTTTCCGCATGTGTCAGGGAGAGACACGGCTGGGAGTCCCACGTGTGCCACTTGGGGCCGTCAAGCGGGGAGACGTATAGGCCCCACCCGAACCAGATGGTCAAGGTCACCACCACCAATAACGGGACAGGCAGGAATCATGGTTTTCCTGCGTGAGGCCCTGAAGGTCTCATCACGGGGGAACAATGAAACATCAGACCTCCTGCAGTGCCACTGGCCTGGGACTGTCACAAAAGGCCAGGGTCCGGGAAGACCACGCAAGACTGCGGAGCACTTCCGGGTCAGCACCCGGAAGACAAGGCAGCTGAGGGCGCAGCTGCTCCGACCTGGACCCCGGCGAGAAAGGGCACTTTTTTCCTCTGCTACCAAGGACATTCCTGGGAGAATATGCAATTTTTGGAAAAGGACTACAGAACAGATCATAGGCTGCGTCACTGTTAATTTCCTAGTTTTGTCATCATAAAAGACAAAATTTTCCCTCTGTAATTATTAATTCCTTTGGGGAGGCACTCTGAGAATATACATTACCGAGAAAATAAATCAAATAAAACTGGGAAAATTAAATTTAGGCAAGTCCCCAGAAATACTTCAAATGGTTTTGAGGAAGAATTTGAAATACTAGTCACAAAACATGTATTACACGCCTTCAGCACGTCTGTCTGGGGTCAGCACATGGAAGAAAGGAGACCAGTAAAATGGGAGGGGCACAGCATTACAGAAATTCACACTCACTCAATGTATCCAATGTAATTTTTACATTTTATCTGCACAGAATTGTCCCAGTTGTCTGTATGTACTGTTCCCAAACAGACGAACACTGTTATTTTGTGATGATTAAACTGTATTAATCAAATGTAGCTTATAGCTCGAAAGACTCTGGTAATGGTTTTCTTATAACATAAAAAAATATTTCTGTAACAAAGATCAGAAACTAAATGTAAAAATGAAGTCTGGAGTGGCCCTGATGCATGTGCTGGAAAAAATGCTGGTCACCCCGTTCTGAATCACCGTCCTGAATCGCGTTGGGACAGGATAATTCTCAAGTAACTCAAGAGGCACAGCACAAGCAATGAGAGGACTAACGAGCTTCACTGAAAAATCCTGCTAGATGTTCCAGCTGAGGGAACTAAAATCTCGTTATCACTAAAAAAAAAAAACAAAAAAAACCAAACTTGCATCTGAAGACTATTTTAAAAACACACAATTCAGAAAGACATCAACAGCCCTCAAAACCGCTCCAGTCTCGCAGCTCGCTGACAGTACAAGTGCTGGGTTCCAGCCAAGTTCAAAGACGTGTGACAGACTCAACACAGAGGCTAAGAAGCTTTCTGTCGAATCCACACACTACAGTGACTGGCAATCAGTAAAAGTGTCCATGAACATATGTCCTGAGCACAATCCTTGAAAATAAAATAAATTCAAATTGAGAATGATAAAACAAAATACCCATGCAAAGGTACAGGGGTGGCGAAAGGAGCGTTAAATTACCAGTCATTAGTTATTATATGGAAGGTAAATCAAAAATAAGGATATAAAGTAACAACAAAAAGACAACAGATCATACAATAATAATTAAGAATAAACTCTGGGTTTCACAGACTCACAACTGAAATCCACTTTTGCCCACCCCTGGACATCCACACAAAAATCTGCACAGAAGTGACTGCTGCATTATTACTCATAACAGCCAGACAGTGGGGAAAACCCCAGCGCCCACAACTGAAGAACAGGTAAACCACAGGGGTCTATCCAGACCGGGCAGCATCCTTCGGAAACGAAAAGGAACCAGGCACTGACACGTGCCACCGCACCGCGGGCCTCGAGGACCTCGTGCTGAGTGAGGGACAGCAGCCACAAAAGGGCACATGCTGTATGGTTCCATTCACAGGAAATGTCCCAAACTGGTGGCTGTCTGGGGCTGGTGAGAGTGGGGGCGGGGACGGCGAGTGCTAATGGACGCAGGGTTCCTTCGGTCAGTTCTAGAACTGACCGTGGTGACGGCCGCACAACTCTGTGAACTCACTGAGGACCGCTGAACCATGCACTTAAGATGGCATGTGAGCTGTATCTCAAAAAAGAGTAACAACACACATTCACAGGCAGATACTCCTGAAACTCGCCACCAAATTTCATTCCGCACTGTGTCCTTAGCTACTTACACAATCTGTCTGTCCCTTTGTTCTCCAGAAAATCAAGAAAGTGTTTTCTCACTTTTGTATACTGTCAACATAAACTACTAAAAATCCAACCGGGAATTGGTTTAGGAAGTTATGAGCAAGTACTGAAATAAAAATTCACAGTAATGTCTTAAATATTTTTGAAGTTCTAGAAAGCATTTTCTCAGCAGATGCTTACTCTTCAATGTTTAAAATTACCTTTTTTTTAAGATAGTATATTCTGACCTGGCTGTACGTGTAGCTCAGTGGATTAAGTGCCAGCCTGTGAACCAAAGAATCACGGGTTCAATTCCCAGTCGGGGCACATGTCTTGGTTGCAGGCCAGGTCCCCAGTAGGGGGCACGCAAGAGGCAACCATACATTGATGCTTCTCTCCCTCTCTTTCTCTCCCTTATAGCCTCTTACTAAAAATAAATAAATAAAAGCTTCTTTTTTTTAAAGATGGTGTATTCCTTACAGGTTAGGAATTTAATGTTAAGTTATAACCTTCAAGTATATATATGTACATGTACTTATATTGAGAAGCATAATGGAATTGGGAACAGTCCCTAATGCAAGGTGTAACACTGTATATATATATTGCCATTAATAAAAATAAACCCGAGGCTACTCATCATGCATTTGCAGTAAGAGACCCAGTGCATTCTGTGTGCTCTAAAATGGAAGCGCCGTCTGAGAAATACTTAGGACCCGACTGCCCTCACTTGGAGTGAACTACCGCAGTAACTGACCGTGTTCTTGGGAAGGAGGGAAAACGCAGTCAACAAATCTCCACCAGCCCGCAGTTATCTATGCTTAACTAACAAAGCCCCACGCGGCGAGCAGACTATTTAGTGGATGGCCAAATTCCTGCTTGTAGTTACAAGTATTTGTTTTGTTCCTTTCTGATATATTTATTCTAATTTATTCTATCACGTTCTGTGACATTTTGTTTTGTTCTTATCTAGACACTTTGTTCTGGAGCTTATTTAATTTTGCTCTTATCTGGACGTTTACTGTCAAAATATCTATCTGGACCGACTTGTCCTTTTTCCTTCTGAAAATACCGAACAGACCGCGAAGGGTACCTGGAGCCACCAACAGGCCGCGCGAGGGGTCCGGGAGAGACGTGGCGGAGGGGGGCGCCGTCGGTGACAGTCCCGAGCTCCCCGAGGAGGGCGCCACCTGCGGACCAGCAAGAAAACGCTTTTTTACTCACAGGGATCACACCTGCGTGTCACAACGCGGGACGTGAACACGAGCAAGATATACGCGGGCAGGATATCCGGAAACCAAAGGCTTGTAGCAAAACCACACTCGCTGTCTAACTGGGAAACGTTCTGTGTTTTGAGAGTTATCACCGTTTGGCGAGCGGCATTTTCTACTTCTCATGTAAGACCTGTTGCAGTTCCTGCATCTTCTGTTTTTTATGAGCTTCACTTACCCATTTACTTAGGTGTGGACTCCACCTATTTGAGAAAGCGCATGGTGTTCTCTTTGTCTGACTTACTGAACTCAGCGTGCCGCCCTCGAGTCCACCCTTGTCTTGCGTGGCGCGAGTCCACGCTCGCTCTGGCTGATACCACCCCCCCACCATCCACCCCCGGGGTCAACGACGCGGTACCGAACGTGGGCTGTACAGATCTCTCCGCGCTCGTGTTTTCCTTTCCTTTGGCTTAATTTCTGGATTTCTCAACTCATAATCAAAGGGGTTTTTTTAAGCTTCAAGTGGCACGCAAATCTTAATGGTGCTTATGAAAAAATTAGCTGCAGTATTAAAAGAGTTTTCTCTACCTCTCCCCATACTGCAAAAGAATTGTTTTAAAAATTAGGCAATATCCTGACAGTGTTTCAGTTACACTTTTAAAAATGTTAAACGTAACGGAAATTCTGTAGAAGGCAGACACAATTCCTAAAACTGGAAAAAGCCCAAGCCGGCGAGTTCTGCGCCTCCAACGCGAGAAACGCCTCGCCCAGAGAAGGGAAGCCGCCCCGTTTGCAGCTCCGCAGGCTCCGCCCACCCGCTCTCCCGAGACCGCGCGCCCCGGCACCACCGGGCGCGGCGCCCCAGCGCATGCGCACGTACCAATCAGCCCTGCCTGCACCAACACGGCGCAGCTCCCACGTGGACCGCAGAGCCACCCTAACCCCCACAGGAGGGTGAGGGTGGCTATGCCTTGAGGTAACAGAATGGAGCAAAGGCCACGGCTATTTTCATTTACCGTCGCCTCTGAGAGTACAAAGATTAAATTGGAAGGAAATACTAGATGAGACTAATATACAGGTTTAAAACCCACTGTTCAACTGTAAGACCTTACGCCTCTCTCACCCACTTCCAGTTGGACGTTTTGAAAAAAAAGAAATGTGACAGGAAGCTGTAACCAAAAAAAACTAGCTACACACATAAAGGCATACAAAAAGGAAACCTAGGTAACCTTCAGTCTAAATAAATAACACATAAACAGGATGTATACTTTATGCTTTATATTAGATCCAGATAATAGGGGGAAAACCCGATAATTTGTTGTTTTTTTTTTTTTTAAATCTGCCCACGACTGGACATAATGTATGAGACAGAAGATACACCTCCATGCAGCCGGGACCGCACCCGCAAGCTGGCACCGCGGCAGCCTGGACCTGCTCCCGCCGGCTCCAGCTGGCCCCAGCTGCCCGAGTACCTGTGGTCGCGCAAGGAACCGAGCAGAAGGTGCTGGAGCCCCTCCCTCTGCACGGACCTGCCTGGCTGCGAACATCCGGCAGCCCTCGCAGGCAAGCACGGAGGTGGCCTCAGGGCAGTTGTTAAGGGCCTGGTCTCAGAAGAACGCACGGCTGCAATTCCTGACCCAAGGTCAGGGGTTAATAACAGTTGTACTTTATATACTTGTTTTTCTCAGCACAGTCCAAGGAAGGGAAACAGAAATTTGTAAAACATGATATTACAAAAAACCTACCAATTAGTTGTACAGGGTTGGGCAAGTAAGTTTCCAGCTGTTCACATGGAAAACACGAATGATGAATAATAAAGGAATAAACTGTGCCTCACGTACTCACGACTGAACACCCACCCTGACCACTTGTGGGCTAAAGCTTGCACCTGTGGATGAGAAGACACAAGGACTTCTTCACACAGTGATATGCTGTGTTTTAAAAATTCACTACAGGTGACTTATATTTCTACTAGCCTATCTATACTTTGATGTTTGCTACATTAATATATTTTAATAAGACAAAAAAGTATTAGACTGAATTGCTCTAGTTCAACACTCAAATCCTTGCTTGTTTCAAAATAACTTTCAATGAATATTTATTGGATTATATTTACTGAGACCCATCAATATATAACGACGTTACTTGTCGTCTTGAAATCTGAGTGTCAGCTACTGGGAGGGGGAGGTTCGTGTGAGTCTCAGATGCCGCAGGCACCTCAGGCCTGACCTCGTCTGGGTCGTCACTCACAGGAAAGGACAAGCAGGGGTGTGCCCACCTTCAGACTGCAGGTAGGAAGGATCCTGGACCAAGACGGTAGTCACGGCAACACAGATCAACTCAAGTCAGAGGGGACCTGCTTTTCCAAGGAGAGACTCTGCTGGCCTGAGATTTCCACCCGTCCCCAGGATGTGGCAGTGGGCTTAGGTCACTAGCAAACTGAGCATGTTCCGTCACCCCCTCCCTCCCCTCCAGGGGAGAACACAGTCTCATTTGCAGTGCACCCACCCCACGAGGAGGACAGGCCCCCGGTGAGAGGCCGGGGTCGTCGTCCGGGAACAGGGTGTCTGACCTGTTCCTACTTCTTGCTCTAGTCATTAACACGGCCTCTGGACAAAAGCACAGCCTAGACTTTTCCCTCCCTGCCCTCTGCTACAGGCCACATTCTGAGCTTTGGAATTCACATCCCGCAGTAAGACAATGACACTGAGCTCTCCTTGAACTGAAGTGCACACACTTCCGGCCCCACCGCCCCCCTGGTGTTACAGAAGGCAATAAACGGCCACTGCACTGAAAGACTCAGACGTTGCTCATAAAAACTAAGAGAGAACCTCGGCTTCAATGTCCATAAACAGACACGGTAACTAAAGAACCTATCGTGCTGCGCTGCAACATAGGCCGTTCCAGTTTGAAGAGAGTCCTTTTGAAATAGCTGGAAATAGCAAAGTCATTTATCACATCAAAACAGAATTTGAGTTTAAAACTATATTCCTAATTTCCTGTTAGATAGACAAAATGTATCAATTGATCAAAAACTGTTTTCTTTGTGTTCTGCCTTACAGGAATGAGAGCTCACTGGAGGCTTCAAAAATTTTCAGAAGTTACTTCAGGAGTTGCATATTTTATTTTTCAAAATGCTTTCCTAATACCTTTCATCCTCTTTCATCAAAAACAGCATGGTACCTAAACACATTTGATTTAAAAAAAAAGTAAAAGAGAACAAAGGAAGAAAATGAGGGTCTGCGATGTGAAAAAAAGATAGGGTAGAAATCTACTCGCATTTTTAAAGCACAACAAAAATAAGATCTGAGAAGTTTCTAAGGAATTTCCGCTTCCACGTGGATACCTCTCTACACGCCCTAGGGCAGAAAAGCGCTGGAAGGCTTCACAACTTCCAATCATGAATTCCAGGCAAACTGCAACGGGAAGTTACATCGCTTTAACTGTATACACTGGAGTCGTCGTTCAAATGTATACAACATAAAAAAAGAGCTCAGAAAACACCAGGAAGGACCAAGAGGAGATGACAGGTCCTTCCCATCTGACTGCAGCCTCCCACTCACATCCAGACACCAGGACACAGGGAGGGTTCCAGGGGGACGGCATCCAGTTTAAGACCACAGCCTACAGAGCCTGTCCTGGCCCCTACACTAGCTCTGGGGCCCTGGGCCAGAGACCTCAATGCCCCGAGATGGCACCGCTTCGTCTGTGAGAGGCCACCGCCCTCCAGTGGTGCGGTCCCGACCGCCGAACATGCAGCTGCACGGAGCTCACGCGCAGGCCGGGCTGGCTCCACACGTCAAGGGTTAAAATAATTGATTTTTACCAAAATTCAGGAAATGTATTTTAGTACAAACATATAATAAGACCCAAACCCACTTCACCTATTTCAGTTAGAGATTACTGCTTAATAAAATTGCTGAAATCTAGTTCAAAATGTTTTTGTTGGCTTCTTTAAATGCCTGCCCTGACAGCAACGGCTGTAACTCTGTCATTACTCAGTTTGGAAAACTTCAAACACGTGAAAATGAGTACAAAACACAGAAAAAATACAATAAATATTATTGGCTCTTCCTAATAATTTTAGGTGAGGAGTAGTTATTTATAAAGTAGCATGTGCTATGCACACATAAGAGAATGAATGTTCTGTTTACAGCTGCCACTGCACTCGTCCTGAGCAGGTGTCACTGGGACGCACTGCTCTGAGGGCACGTGATGTCCCAGCACAAAGGACCTAAAGGCTTCCACACCGACAGAGGCCCCCTTATTTGAATGATGATTACGACAAATAACACATATCCAAAGCTCTTCTCAGAAAAACTGGTACCCTAATCTCTGAGATTTATGTCACAATAAAATTGAGAAATGCAAAAGTTTGACTTGCTTTTGCTTCTTGTACTTAAGTATTTTTGTACACGACCAATACAACTGTTATCTACAAAACAGCTGAGATAGCTCAAAACTAATCACAGCAGTTAGCATTTACTGGGGCCTTACTGTGAGCAAGCAACTGAACAACGTGCGGAGACTCCCAGGTTAGTCAGCACCCCTTTAACAGACAGGGCAACCCAAGGAGGACTGTTGGGCACAGGCTAATGCCATCCTTCTGTGAGTTAAATAATCCTCTTTGCCTCAGTCACAGCACTGCTCTCATTGAGACAAAGACGCGCAGTCTTTCTAGCTTGGAAAGGAAAGCGTGACACCTAGTGGAACGGTAACTGTTCCACTTCTCTAAGTAAAGGTGTAGTTTAGCGCTAAAAAAAAAAAGAGAACTCTTCTCTCAAGTCTCAAAAAGATAAAAAAAAAATCTTAAAACTGTAGTAAAGAGTACCAGTTTCTGGAGAAACTGTACCGTAAGTAGCCCCTATTGATGCCTAAATGACGGTCATCGTTCCCAGCCTTCTTTGCCCCTGGAAGCAGATGGCAGTTTGGGCCTTCCTGGTTCTACAACACTGTAATCATTCCAACAACACCGTACAACCGAACATGATGTTTTCCAGTCAAGAATAAGTGATTCTGCCTGCTTGTAAAACAAATGAACCTTAGGATCATTATTATCTAGAAATACTTAGTGTGCCAAATTTTGTGGAACCGAGCACCTAAGAACGGAAAGCAAAGGGGAACAAGGCGGGCAGGCCCTCCTAACTTTCCTGTGCTCTGCACCGCCCAGGTGAGAGCGGTTTCCGGACACGAGTGTGCAGAAATGTGCGCATCGGCACACCAAGTCATCCGAAGGGGTGGCTGTCTCCAAACTGCTGGGCCCTAAGCCAAAGGTCAGGGGCACCAGGCACTATGAACCCTGTGGGATCTGTGCTCTTTTCCTGCTACCACTGGAAACACTGGTAAAGTTTGGGTTCTTTGGAAAAGACAGGAGAGAGCTGGAAGCTCATCTCCGGGGACAGCCAGTGCAGCGGCAAGGGCTCGGCTCAGGCAGCGCTTCGCATCCACTGTGGCTGTCGGAGCAAACACAGCCTGACACCCCCGCATGACACCTCCCCACTAGGAAAGATTCAACTTTCTTCAGGGATCAAAGAAAGCAGTTGTGGGCCCTTTGGAGGTACCATTGTTTCCAAGGTGGAGAGAGAGCTTGGATCTCGATCTTGATGGGACGTTCTGGAGGGAGCACTCCAAAACTTGAATGAGTCTTCCAAGCCTGTGACAACAAGAAGACTGTCACCATGAATGTCTCCTGGATACTGTAACAATTACCAGAAAAACAGTCATTACATGAAAGCAATCAAGAACTAAGGAAAGGTGTACCTAATTAATCTGTGTATAGAGCTAGTTTTACAGAAAATGATAGACAATGAGCTGAGTGTGCTTTAGCTTAATCATATGCAGTGTATCAGGGGCACCAGCTCCCGGACTTCCGTGTGCTCGTTAAAGCGGTTCCCGGCGCCCAACCCAAGAACCTCGTCCACACCCAAGTCCGGGCAGCCGTGCACCTGCATGGCCGACACACTCGGAGTGGACGTCCCTGCTCATGCTCCATGGGCCGCGCTTCCTCAGTAACACGGGTCCAAAGACACCCAAACCACTGAATGGGTCACTCTCCCAGCAGGGACATTATTTAGAACACTCCTCTTAACTCCTCCAAGAAGTAAGCAGAAAAGTGAATCAGAAATTTACACTTAAATATTTCAAGGGAAAGAAACTTCATGTCTGGGCCCTGGATGGTGTGGCTCAGTGGACTGATCCACACACTGATGTTTTTCTCCCTCCGTCCTTCCCTTCTCCTGTCTCTGACAGTAAGTAAATAAAATCTTAAAAAAACTTCATGGCTATACTTTATTTTTCACTGACTCAGAAAAACATACATAAATATATACATGCACATAAATAAATTTTAATTCATAAACACATACACATACATGCATCACAGGGGGCATATACAATAAAATTAATTCCCAAACTCACATTTGGAAATTCTTTCTACTGTTCTTGCACCTTTTCTGTAAGTGTGAAGTTATGTCAAGATTTTTCAAAATTATATGAAATTAATTTTAAATTTCAATTTATTTCTATAAATAAATTATAAATTATTAAAAGATATAAATTACTACATGTTCTAAGATCTTATACTTAGGAAATCCAAGAGAATCTACAAATAGAAATAACGAGGTTTCAGCAAGATTTTTTCACAAATGAGTAACACGCCAAACACAAATGCATTTCTGGATACATTAGCAAAACAAATTACAAAATTTAGTGGAGAAACGTCTTACTCTTGACCTCTTAGGAAGACCCTTTTTAAAGTTCAGGACAACAGTAGCGGAAGCATAAAACTTGGCCGAAGGTCATGAAATACCTTATGAAACATTTATATATGATTTTAAAAGTGGTTTCCATGAAGAATTTGTAACGCAGAAAAATGCTTAAGCAATGTCTCGTGAAAGGAGGGAAAACAAAAATGCACGCGAGACATGAACACAATCCCGTGAAACACACCCAGCCACGCGGAGAAAGGGACTGAAGAAAACAGACCACGGGGCGGCAGCGGCCGGATCCGGGCAGCAGGACGAGGGACGGAATCGATTTCTCCTGTGTACTTATCATGTTTCAACATTTTGTAACAAACACTCAGGTTTCTAACAGTTTAAAAGGCATTCCGTTTCATAAAAGTATCAGTGTGCTCACCATTTAAATCGCTGCCGTCTGAAGCTCTGTCAAGGGCGGAGCCCTTCCAGTCACAGGTATACAGTCCGAGGTGACACTGTCTCACCATCTGGCCCAAGTGTTCGTAGAAATGGCAGTGATGCAAAAGGGCCTGCAGGGCGGGCTTTCCTATGAGCGACAGCCCAGAGTCCTCGTCATGGACACAGGGGCCCTGTGGGAGAAGAGGGGGCGACAAGGAGAGGGGGCATCGTATGGCTCCTTCGGGGACCTGGCGGGTCCAGGACCCACAGGCCCCGCCCCTGCCACGCCCACCGCAGCGAGGCTGGTGCGCCCGGTCACAGCCGCCCAGGAGGGCACTGCAGGCAGAGGCTCCCCCAGTCTCTCAAGGGGCCAGTTAGTCTGAAATCTGTCCGTGAAATGGTGCGACTTCAACCAAGTAATTATACACTTGAGCTATCAACACAAAAAACTACTACACAGCCTACACAGAACAACAAGTATTAAAATAACAGAAACAATGGGACCCAGGCAGCTACAATTAGTCTTCATGGCTACTGACACTCTAGATAAAAGGCAGTGACCCATCAAGGCCCACAGTCAGCGCTGCCTGACACTTAGCCAACCGCCTAACGAACCTCGATAAATTAATAAAAATACTGAACAAGTAGCTCAAACAGTATTTTTCTAAATATATTTCATAATTAACGCCCAGAACAATTAAAAAATGTTACACAGATTACATACAATTATTCAGAATTTTTACTTTTGCAGAACTACGTCTATATAATAGCTTCCCGGATGAGTTACAACCTCAGGGCAAAACTGACCCAGGTGTAAGAAAAATGCACAAGAAAACGGGACTGTGCACACGTCAGAAACCAGTCATTCCAGAGCTCCTACACCTGCCAACCTTTACTCCCAAAGACTTCCTCAGGCTGACGGTTGGAGCTTCTGCTACAAGGACAGGTGTTGGAAACCTACTGTACTCTAAGGCCCATCCCTCCCTTAGAAATAAGTATTTTCAAAGTGAGAAATTACACATGAAACTACAATGGAGAACTATAGTAGCTATTCTAGAAATATGTATAATCGTCTTAAAGATGTCTAATTAATCACATTTATCCTTCATGTATTCACATATTTTAAAATTGACTCTATAGTTCTTACTAACAGAAAAGAAAAAAGATTTACAAAATAAAGATAACAAAAAATGTCATGCGAGGCATAAATTTAAAATTAAATCTACCTGATAAAGTTTTAGAACCTGTTTTTTTGTTCTTTGCCTCGAAATCAAGGTGAAAATTATTTGGTTTACCAAGACTGAAGTTAAACTAATTCTGATATGAAACAAAGCATTAATATCCCAGAAAATAAAGATTAAGAGACAAAAATGTAAAAGGAAACAAGGAAAATCAATTCAGGAGGCCTAATATGGGACTCCCATAATTTGTGTAAACATAAAAAAGAAAAGAGGTTTTTAAAATAAGTATGAGAAAAACGATCTGAGCCAAGAGATATAGAATATCTACATCTTTTAACTAAGGAGCTTAACGAATGTCAAGCAAGAGAAATAAAAAAAGATAATCATAAGTTCTAAAATATCGGAGGTGAAGAGAAGATGGAGAAGAGTCAGCCAGAGTCGACGGGTGTCCACCTGGTCATCAGGACCCCGACGTTAGGAGACAGTGGCACAGATTCTCAGAGAACAGCCTGGTATCTGGTAATTAGCCCAAACAATCAATCCAGTGCAAACTTAAATAAATTTCCTAAAATGCAAGAACTCATGAAGTTCATCACTCATACACTGGTTTTTAGGTAAGAATACAATTATTTTGAGGCTGATTACTAGAAAAGAAAAACCTAATTAAAGAAAAAGGATGATTGTGAGCTTAGAAAAACTTGCTATGATAAAAAGTCACAGTGCAATATAAACTCCAAGGGGGAAAAAAATCACCCAAATAAATTCTGTAATCACACACACACACACACACACACACACACACACACACACACGGAAGCAACTCCTCTGTGGGCCAGTGGGGCCCCGGCCCTGGAAGTGGACCTGAGAACGTGCAACCCCAGCCCAGCTACTGGTTCTGTAGCAAATCGCTGGTCTTCACTCTCTGGAATCAAACCATATAGATAAACGGAGGCAGCTGAAGAGAACACAACCGTACCCAACCTTCAGGAGGGAAAGGAAAACCAGGCCAAGATGATAAAACTGGCACAGATTAGCAGCAGAAGGACGGCGTGGACACCGGTGAAAGGGTAGGAACAGCTCAGCCAGACCTTCTTACCTTTCGCACGGAGCCCAGAGTTGTGGCCCATAGAAAACGAGACCAGAATCCGCAGGGGCGGCCAGTGGAGGAAGTAAGAACAGCAACAGAACTATATTGGAGGAGACTGTTTGAATGAGCTACATCCTACGTATCCACACAGTAAAGCAACAAACATATTACTGCAAACACGCTGAAGAATTAAAATCAGTAGGAGGCGAAGCTGCCTCTGTGAATGGAGAGAGGCAATGAATTTCATTATAGGCTCTATTAGCTCTTTTAACCACATGTACTTAGTACTTGAAAAAAATCATTTTTTCAAAAAAGTCAGACAATTCACTCAAAATACATTTTAACTTCTCAAAGAAAACCCAGCAGTCTGGAACACGTACACATCCTTTTTTATTGGATTTATCCTGACTAAGCAGTAGGCCTGACCTGCCTCCCCGACAGACAGGCCCCAGCTTCCCGGCAGCCAAGGCTCTTTAGCAGCAGGAGGGACTCCCAGCAGGGAAGCCACACCCAGCCCAGGGCCCCAGGGGTTCTGGCTCCGACTCTCCACAGGTGACTGAAGGTCCGAGGGCCAGAACGTCACCACCTTCCAGGCTCGGCCCCGCAGAGCCACCGTGTGGCAGGGAAATGAGGTGCCTGTGTCCTTGCCAGCCCTGCCCTCAGGTGAGGCCTGGGCTGCAGGGTCAGCCAAGATCAGCCAGGGAACTCGGACAATGTGTGCAAAGCAGAACTGTTCAGACCACTGGGAAAATATGAACTAGGAGAACTCTTCAGAGCACGAGGAAAAGACTGCCAGCACTTAGCAACCATTCTGTAATAACTGCTTTGGACAAGGACGTCATAGGACACGCCCATGAATCTGAAAAAGTTGTGCTCAAGGACGCAGTAGCTGCCACACGCCATTCAAACACAGCTCACCCCGTGTCCAAACGCAAACATGCCCATTAGCGATGCTTCATAGGGAACTAACTAGACACAAAATGGAAAGTACATTTAAGAAGGACAGAGATTTAGTATGTTCAAGAAAAAAATTTTTTGATATATAAGAAAAAATTTAAATGTGATAATGCCATTTAGAGATTGGAAAAATGACCCTAATTATATAAGAAATCCCTAACTACGTATAAATTATGAATATAGTTAAAATGATACTGTTTCTCTGACACTAAGTACTCATTGTTTTGTGAAATCAACACTCATGACTTGTGATGAACACAGTAAAAGATGAAAAATATGCAATGACAGTATTACATTAACTATGAAAATGACCTACAACTGAAAATGACCCACTATCGAACACACACACCCACAAACACACATGCAGCCAGTTCAGGGCTGTGTCCACTGAGTGCAGGGAAGCAGTGACGGCCCCCCCACCCCACCCCCCCGCCCCGCCCAGCAACAGCGCGCACGTCTGGACACCAGGTTTCCGTCTGAAGAAACCTGGGCTCCCTGCGCGAAGTCTGAGTCCAGGCGGGGGCTGGGAAGCCCAGACGTCCGGCTGCACAGAAAGGAAGGAAGGGCTGGAGGTGGACGCAGACACGGGAAAAGGACACGAGGCGTCACGAAGGGGCTCCTCCTGGCCAGATTCGGAACAATTTCAACATCTAAACACATAACGACAGAAACAGACTCAGTTTCCTAGAGTGCATATTGCACACTGGTGTAAATAATAAAAACGAGTAAACAAGTGGGGAAGAAAGGAAAGCTCTTCCTCACAATAAGATGTAATAAATGTCCCAGAAGCGATGGAACCAGAAAGTCAACACTTGGCAATCACTCTGTAATAACTGCTTTGGACAAGAATCAATAACACAAAGTTAAAACTAAGAAAGTAGATGAGGAACAGACACTCATATAGTCTCAAAAGTATCTCCCGGCAAAGGGGAAACCTACAACAGAACTCCACAACGAAGGAAACAGGTGGAATTTACCTCAGCCAAGTGAGCAAGTCCCAATCGGCAGTAACGGGACAGACAACATGTCTCCACAGAGACCGCACTAATAACACACACTCCCACGGCTTTTCTGCAAAACGCACGTAACCTAATTAGAGAACATCACAAAAACCGAACGGGCTGCGCTCCCCGAATGCACTCCTGTGAGGTCTCACATGTTAATTCAGGCACTTTGTACTTCAGAGGAAAGAAACCAAGCCACGTGACCGCCCTGTGGGTGTGCACTCAGTCACCAGCATGGGGACGTCCACTTCTGCTCCAAGTCACCTCACCGCCCCAGAGGAGAACGCATAAACCTGACCAAGCACGTGAAAATTTCTATGTTTCCTTGTAAGAGATCCTGCTGCCTAGTACAAATTTCATCAGTAATGAAATATAAACATGCTGAAACTTACCATCAATCAACCTCAAATATCTACTAGATTGATAATTGTTCAAAGTCACCCACCTGCCAAGTATAATCCTTTATAATTACTGACGGCATTGGAATTACAAGGAGATTCTGAAGAATAAACGCAGCCTGAAATTAAAAAAGAAAGTCAATAGCGCCACCTTGCGGTCGTCTCTGGAACAACCAGCGTGCCCTAACTTAGTAACAAGAGCGCCCTCCCTGGGTGACTGCGGGAGCAGACAGGCCACTCCCAGAAACGCCGCCCTGCACCTCGGGTCTGGGAACCACCACCAGGGCTGAAACTGTTTCATCGGGAAATACAGTTTCTCCTACTTCAGAACTTTGTTTTTCACAAATAAAGTGGTCTGTATAAACAGTTCTGGTGGCAATGAGTAAACATATTTTCACCATTCTGTTATCCCCTGCACACCCACTGTGCGCACACACCCCCCCATCCTCGCCCCTCCCTCACACAAGCCGCTCTCCATAGAGAGTCCTATTTAACAAAGGTCGCAGAGTGGTCCAAAGAGTATAGGGACAACCCCTTAACTAAGCTTGTACACAGGAGAGAGCCATCAACATGGAGGTCACAGAAAGTACTTTTCCTGTGAACCTTTTCAGTGTATCGTCGAGTGAGGGTACTAAAACGACCCAACTCTGCTCTGCCCTCAGCAGAGCAGAGGACTCCCACATCCACTGTGAGTTAACACCACTGTCACGCTGCACTAGCACCTCGCGTGGGTTCCTTGCAGGGCATCAGTGCGATTCCGAGGCCCAGCCCCACACACGTCTACGGGGAAGGGGGTGGAGGGGACACGGGCAGCGTACCTCCCGGCGCACCAGGCTGCACTCCGACTGGTCCAGGAGAATGTTCACCACGGTGCCCCAGAGCCCCCCAGAAATGTTCTGGCAGCTCTGGGCCAAGGCCACGCAGCCGCTCTCCACGGTGGTCAGTGCTGCCCCCAACCCCAGCGACGTGAACCGCACCTGCTCGGGTGGAAGAAATGCTCTCAAGTCGAAGAATCTGATTCCCTAACATAAATTCTTCGTTTTCCTGGTACACAGAATATCACATTTTATACACTGTCTCGACAAGCCTAAATTATAAAAGACACATAAAAACAGTGTCCTATAAGTGCTTGAATAAATAAAATCCTATTCCACAATTCAAGAAGGCAATAATATAGGAAGAAAACTTAACTGAAAGGAAATGTCACAAAATGTCAAAGCCAGGTATAAGAAGGAATAAAAAATACAGCTCACAAGACTTTTTCCGAAGAAAGCAGAGGGTACTTACATATCTTTAATGAGGCAACCCCAGATCATTCCTCATTTTTAAAGAGACTACCTATTATTTTGTATTATCATCCTTAATTTTTTAAAGACTTTATTTATTAATTTTTAGAGAGAGGCGAAGAGAAGGAGAAAGAGAGGGAGAGAAACGTCAGTGTGTGGTTACCTCTCACACGCCCTTAACTAGGGACCCAGCCTGCAACCCAGGAATGTGCCCTGACTGGTAATCGAACTGGTGGCCCTTTGGTCACAGGCTGGCATTTGATCCACTGAGCTACACCAGCCAGTGCCCATCCTTCATTTTTAGTTTCCTCCAAATAAATGGCTTTAACTTTTTAAAAATTTATTTTCAAAAAGAAATAGTGTAGTTATTTTTAAAAGATATTTAGCATTTTCGCCAAAATTTTTTTTAAAAAATGTTTTCAAGTTTGATGTAGTAAAATCGGTGTGTACCACAGCTGCCCAGGCTACACATTGCGCTGAACTTCTCAACTCTCTGAATTCTAACCCCCTAGTACAGTTTCACCGATAACTACAAGGTAACAACAAATGTAGTCATGATATAATCACACAAGTGCAAGGCAGAAACTTGCAGAAGTCCAAGTTCAATCTGTCTAAACAATGTAACCTCTCAGTTCAGATCAAATAATACATCTGTATGTACATCAAGGTTTCTATTATAATGGGACGTGACAATTTCTTGCTTGAATTAATGGATGATGTATATAGTTACCATTACTGTTTTATATACTTAAAGTTTTGCTACGAGTAGATCATAAAATTAAACAGTGAAGAAGGTGGGAAGAAACTTTTGGAGGTGAAGGGTATGTTGCTGATGTGGACAGTGGCGTGGTTTCTCCAAACTCAAGAAGTTGTGCACACTAAGTACATACAGTTTTTTGTATGACAGTCATATGAAAACTCATTCATAATATAAAACTTTGCACCGCAATGGGACTATTCTACTAATGACACAAGTGTCACCTGGCAGCGATCCTTCTAAACTGGCTGGAAATGACTGGGTGTTTCCAATAATTTTCACTGTTCTTTCTAAAAGTGACAAATCCTGTAATTCTTTCATTTTTCATGTGTTCCACCCATGTGAAAAGGCGGTGCTGTGGACTGAAACGTGTCCCTTGGAACTCGCGTGTTGAAGCCCTAACACCCCGTGGACTATGTGTGAGGACCGGGCTCTTGGCTCAGGGGAGCTCAAGGAGGTTGTAAGGGTGGAGTCGGACAGGACTGGGGGTCTCAGAGGAAGAGGAGGGAAAAGTCACACATCCGAAAGCAAGAAGCTTAGCCCTCCCCAGAACCCAACCATGTTATCGACATCTTAACCTTGGACTTCCAGCCTCCAGAGCTGTGGAAAACAAACTTCTTTTCTTCAATCCCACCCCCACCTGCCCCCTACCCCAATCTAGAGTATTGTTTCGGCAGTCCAAGCCGATTACACGGTGGGGAACAAAGTTTGAGGTTTAGCAGCCACATTAATCGCCCTTTGGAAAATACGAACGTGCACATGCCGTGCTTCATGTGTTTCTTAATCTGCACCTAAAGGACTCGCTTCTCCTCGCACTGACCTCTGGGTCTCGGTCGACCCACAGTGGAACCAGCCAGGCCAGTCCCTGCTGGGCGGGCGCGTGCTCCTCGCTGGGACCACCCAACGGCAGGGACCAGAGTGACACCCACTCCTGCAATTGAAAAAGGAAAAAGGGAGCAGAGACACACGAGGTCACTTTCCAAGAATAAAATACAGAGAGTTCTAAGTAACTCTGAATTTTTAAAAATCAAAACAAAGTAAAAATGTACTGACGCTTGGCTTTAATTCATTCATTTAGCCAAAATAAGGCAAACAAAAGTACTGGCTTCTTCTTAAAAAGTTAAACATAACATTTTTCTTCAGAACAGCTATTTCCCATATGATTTTGAAGCAACATTGTCTACAATGCAGATGTCAGTCAAAATAAATTTCAAATAAAATTCAGATTTGTGGAATAAGCAACTTTTCAGAAACATCTTAGTCAAAAATCTCTTTTGTCTCCTAAGGAGAGATTTTCCCCGCAGTAGCCCCCATAAACCCAAAATGCCGCTGGGGCCCGGACTGCCGCCCACGGCGCACAACCCCCCTCCTCCCGTGCACCGCTCCCTCGCAGGCTCACCGGGCTCCGGTCCTGGGCCGCCATCTCGTGAGACAGGTGGAGCAAGCAGAGGACCGTGCTCTTGGTGACGCCCTTCCCCATGAAGGACGTGGCGTTTCCCCCACGCTCCACGTAAAAGGAGGTGATGACCTAAAAAACAGCGCCGATGACTTGACACAGGGGCTTCACCCAGGGTGCTCAGTACAGACAAACGCATCACTCGCCAGCGACGTGTCTGAACTGACTCCTGACCATAGCTTATACATTTAAGAATGGTTACGATGGTAACTTCTGTCATCTCACCACAATTAAAAATATGTCGTTAACAGTACTGCACCATATATTTCAACATTTGTTAACAGTAAACCATAAAATGTTTTTTCCTTTGGGACTTACATGAAGAATGTATAGTGTCCTTCTAAGAGATTTTAGTGATTCAGAAAATACCCATAACATTCTTCAAAAGTTTAATTCCTCTAAATAAAAGAGCTTATACATACCTTTTTTTACTTTGTGAAAAAGTACGCTCAGAAATTACTAGCTATATGACACTCCTATGGACTACCAGAGTTAAGCTAGATTTTTCTAGAATTATAGTTTAAATGTAAATGGACATTTCCCCACTTCTGAGCAATCTCAGATTTCTATGTCATATTTAAGTACGTGCTTATTGAAATCATTAGCTGTCAACTCTTTTTCGCCCACACCTCAGGGTTTAACACATTTCCATCAGTAGCAACACAATGTTTCTCATCTAAACGATACGACCTTCACATTACAAATGATGCTATAAAGCAGGTACTTGTACACTGACTTACATTTTAAATGCATTAGGGAAGCTTACTTTTTAAAACACATTGGTACGTCTTTAGCTAATATATCCGTTCTAAAACTTCACACATTTCTTACCACGGACACCTTGAAGCATGAGATAACTGAGTAATATACTGCACTTTTTCAGTACTTATTCAAGAGAAAAAATTATTTCATTAAAGGAACTACACGAAAATTCCTATTAAGTTTTATACCTCAGGTAAGAATATTTAGGATTTTGAAATCTTAAAAAGCAAGGTCTACTTTTGGGAAGAAATTCTAGATAACATCACCTGAAGCAGAATTTAGACCAACATCACCTTTACAAGACTTATTAATGCAGGTACAAAATTAAATGTGTAATTTACACTCATTTATGTCCCATTCCAGTATTCAAACTGCATTCTGATTTAAAAATCACACAGAAGACACAATACAACTTAAGTTGCCCATCATCTGCCCACTGTGGACGAGTCCTGCGGGGGCGGCCTGCGGGGAGCTCCGGGACGGCAGAGACGGTCCGAGGACGACTCTTACGAGCGCGGTTCTAACACATCAGTGCACAGACGAGGTAAGAACGCAAAGTGTCGGGGACGGTAACAGTGACCCAAGCTGCTACAGGTCAAGAACTGACAGAAGAGACCGGTCACAGAACCCACACTGAGCGTCCACGCCGGGAAGGGCAGGTTCAGGCCCGCTGAAGGAAGGTTGGGAGTAAGCGAGGGCAGATGGACAAGTGAAGGCAAATGGATAACGAGAGGTAAATAAAGGTAAACGAAATGATACCAGGCCCAATGGCGGAACCAAGGGAGACAGGAACATGACCGTCTGCAAGGAAGTGGGGCCTCGCTACACGCCTGGCAGATACGGAACCAATGAGACGATCTGATGAGTCCTTTTAGGGCCATGAGTTCAAAAGTCTGGGTACATTTCTAGAAAAACACAGCTTACTGCAGCCGGCACAAAAAGGTACAAAATCTAAATAACTCTAAAAATTTCATTTACAACCTTCCCAAAAAGAAAAAACTCCAGGCCCCGATTGCTTCGCCATTGAATTCTACTACACATTTACGCTGGAAACAAAAACCAATTCAAATAAGCCACTCCAAAGATTAAAAAATATTATATGAAGAAAAGGAGAAAACTACATACATATACACAGGACATGATTTTAATTGTAAAACCTGGTAAAAGTTACATGAAAAGATGCAACAATTCTGAAAACATTTTTGAGTAAGAATATGGGTAGAATAATCTTTAAAACATTAACCAACTAAGTCTGTTTATAGTATAAAAGAAATAATACATCATAACCTATTTGGAATTTTCCACAAACTCAAGGTTAACATTTTAAAATCAATACGATGCATCATTGTTAATGGACTACAGGGGAAAACATTATGAATATCTTAAAAGATACAGAAAAAGCAACATGTGTCATTAAAAAAAAAAAAACAACTCTAAACCAAATGAGACTAGAAGAAATATTCCTAAGTCTGATTTTTCTTGAATTAATTTAAGAAACTACCACAAAGAGTATATTGAAAGATGAAAGAGTAAAGCCTTTCCTTTGAGCCTGGAAACAAGGATTGCCGGTACATGATTAATATATAAGAGCTAAGTGTATTTCCACACATAAACACTAGTTCGAAAATAAATGATAAAAACTCATTTTCGCCACGACAAGAATGTTCATAGCAGCAATATCCAAAATGGCTCTGAACTGGAAAAAAGAAAAAGGATGTCCTTCGACACCGTGGTGGAGAGCCCAGAAAAACGAAACTACGCCCACTCCACCCCCAGGCAGCGAGTGAACACCTCTGACGGGGTCAGTGACGCAGGAGCCAGGGTCCCGGTTCCCGTTTACCCATCGGGCAAACCAGGCACTGGCTTACTGCGCGCGCCCACTTAAACGTGAAACTACCAAGCTGGCAAAGAAGCGTTTAGACGAAACTCAAAAGAGCAGCTCCCTCTCGGGAGAGGAGCGCAGTCTGGGGAGGGGGCGAGGAGCTGGGGGGCTTGTGCTCAGCTGGCTGTGCGGACAGGGTGGGGGGAGTGGGCGGGGGGGGGGTGTGCGTGGGGGTGTTGTGTGTGGGTGCCGCTGCGCAACTGACTGGGCTCCCTGTTTACATTTTGTGAGTTTTCTGCACGGTGCTGTGTCACACAAGCATACAGGTTAAACAACGTAAGTAAAGGAGCAAATGACCCTAATGTGAGACTTAAATGTGAGCCCTAGTTTGTTTTTCTTGAAAATCAGGGTATGCGTAAAAGTGACCTTACTGAGCAAAGAGTGGACAACTGCCCACTGAGGGCTGCTTCAGTGGGGGCGGCCCTGGGACCGCGACTTACTTCCAGCAGGCCCGACAAGTACTTCACGCAGATGTCCAGCGGCGTGGCGAGGGCAGCGCGGGAGCCCCAGCCGGGCAGCGCGGTGAGGTGGGCCACGCCCCGCAGGGTCCTCTCCAGGGAGGGCAGGCCGTAGAAGTGCGGCGCGTCTGTGACGCGCAGGCACTGGAGCAGCTTCAGCGCCAGCCGCGTTTGGAAAGCATGGAAAAGTTCCAAGCACTTCCTGCACACAAAGGGGAAAAATCAACCACCAGGCGAGCGCGACGGCGTGGCGGGGGTGGTCTTACAGGTGGCAGCGGGTTCCGGACAAACACTGTATCAGAAAAGTACAAACTAACAGAAAAGCCAGACAATATTCCCTCAAAGAAAACTTTTCAAAAAGAAAAGCATAGTTAAACTACCACCTTGGGTACAGAATGTAAAATACCAGCAAAACAGTGAAAACTACATAGCCCAGGCCGGTGTGGCTAGTGGATTGAGCAGCAACCCTGTGAACCAGAAGGTTACTGGTTTGATTCCCAGTCAGGGCATGTGCCTGGACTGCAGGCCACATGCCCAGGAGGGGACGCTTGAGAGACGACCACACAAGGATGTTTCTCTCCCCTTTTTTCTCCCTTCTCCTCTCTCTAAAAAAACCTAAATAAAATTCTTTAAAAAAAGAAGAAGAATATATAAATGGATATTGTAATTCCCACCCAATAATATGAAAAATTGGCATGGAAAGCTAAATGCATATTTTAAATGAGTTTAATTGCTACATATTAAATTGACATACATTTAAATTATTCAGTGTCATTAAAAAATTTAAATTTATTAGAAAATGTATTTTCCCAGAAAGCTAAAATAAAAGAAAATGAAAGGTTTTAATACATTTGACACAATTTATACAAAACCGTTAAACAATCAAGATACATTTTCTATTAGAAAATAAAATCTCTGAAATTAAGCAGCTAGGCATGGATCCAAAGATATACTTCCCAGAAGAAGTGATATCATTGTGTAAGAAAACACAGAATAAAGTGTAAATTTTCTTCAGCTTTATAGATCTTTAGACTCCAAAAGTGACAACTACTGACTATATCAATATTATAGGTGCGTGGCATACAATTTTTAAAGATCATAATTTTCATATACCTGTCATCCAGATGCTTTTAAAGTTTTAAAATATACACACAAACTCATATTCCTCACAGGTCAGTAACAAAGTAATCTGACTAGTACCATAGGAAAAGTTCGCGTCCCCGATTCCTCTCCCCACCCACTGCCCACTGCGTCCTGTCTCCTCCACACACATCTCTCCCCTCCTCGCTCCCTTGCCGCCTTCTCTACTTGCCCCCTCCCTCCCCCTCCCCCCGCCCCTGATTTTCCTCTTAGTCTAGTTTTCCTTTGCAGTAGGTGCACGACCAGCAACCTATAAGCATACACAAGTATCTCCAGTCCTGAAACAAACAGAAACCCTGACCTGTTCTGTGAAAGAAGGTGCTTCAAACACTCCTCTCCTGACAGTAAAACTCACCGAAGAACAGCCCACACCTGCATTTCTCAGAGTCCAGTCCCAGGACCCCCTGGAGCGCTGATCTAAGGGCAGCTTCCTAAGCTACTGACCCGACCACTTTAAGAACACGTGTGTAAGAGACCTCTCCCCCACTCCAGGTCCAGGGGCTCGGACGTCCCTGTGCTTGGACCCACCCTGCTCTGGCCTTCAGTGCTTCGCTCAGGCACAGCCTGCCTGCAGTGAAATTCACGGGTTCCACGTGCGCCCCGCACGATGGTTTCGTGTGTGCACATAAACATGTAACCACGAAGCACGACAAGATGGGAAACATCCCCAGTGCCTCGGGAAGCTCCCCGGGGCCCCTCTCTGGTGCCACCTGTCCTGACTTGTGTCCTAAAGTCACCCACCTTCTCTTTCACTGCGCCTTGTCCACTGTTAACCCCATGCAATGAATTCTCTATTTTAGGAACTTCATTTCTCGGTTGCAGAATTTGTATTTAGCTCTTTTGTGCACTCTCCATTTCTCTGCTGCTGGTATTCTGCACATTTTTAGTAATCTTGTCCACATGTCCCTCTAATATTTATTATGCTTATTTAAAATAACATTAGTTATAATGGTAGCTTTTAAGTTCTCATATCTGACATCAACGGGTCTGCTCTTAATGACTTTTTCCTCCTAACTATGGGAAAGAGTTTCCTGTTCCTGCACAGTTCTCTTCCTTTCTGGTTATGTGTCACTCTTTTTTATGAAGAGCTACTTAAGCGTGAAGTGCATAATCCTTTCTCAGAGTGACAGCTTGCCCTTTGGTCACAGGACTTGGGTCGAAGCTGATCTCTTGGACCCGATCAGGTGTGGAGCGGAAGCAGGCCTGTGCGGACACCACGGTTTGCTGAAGACGATGTTGCAAGTGTGGGACCAGGGCTTTCCTTCCACAGAGCCTTGGGGTTCAAGCACAGGAAGGCCTCCCCAAATTAAAAACTTCTGTGCTTCAGAGGGCACTATCGAGAGAGTGACAAGAAACCCACAGAACTGCAGGAAAATTTGCAAATCAAACATCTGAAAAGGGGTTAATGTCCAGAGCACAGAAAGACAACTCAACAACAGACAAACGAGCAACCCAGTTTAAAGCCGGGGGAAGGACTTGACAGAAGTTCCCCCGAAGAGTCTGCGGGAGCGGGAGCCGGTGAGGACGTGGGGACTCGAGGGCAGTCGGACACGCCGCAGGTGGGGCAGCGCCTGACCGCCGTGGCCGGCACAGACTCGGCTGCGTGCGCGCGTTCACAGCAGCACCGTCAGAGTCCTACGGGTGGAAATGACCCACGGTCTACCGACAGACACACGGACAAACACAAACTGGCACGTCCACACAGGAAGTAAGCACTGATACGTGCTGTAAAGGGGGCAGGCAGTCCTGGAACACACAACGTTAGGAGACAGAAGCAGACACAGGAGGCCGTGCTGTTTGATCGCACTGATACAAACATCCAGGGAAGTCAGATCCACAGGTACGGAAGGAGCGGTACTCGCTGCCACAGCCCGGGAGGGGTGACTGGGAAGAGGCTGATAAATTGGTACAGGGGTTCTTTGGGGGAAACGAAAATGTTCTGCGATTAAATAGTGGGAGTTGCAAAACAGTGTGAATACACCAAAAGTCATCAATTCTACACTTTAAAATGATCAAAATGACTAGTGAAATTTGCCTCATTTTAAAAATTGAGAGAGACGTGTCAGAACCACATCTGAAAAGCATGAAAGCAAAACTACTCACAAAGCCACAGAAATGGGTATGACTGCACAGCGCGACGTGCCGAGACTCGAGAGAGGACGGAGAACTGAACCCAGAGAGCAGCAGACTCCCCTGCGTGCGGAGCTGCAGAGGGGCAGCCCAGAGATCCCGCCCGCCCACCGGTGCAGAGGCCCTTCCTCCTCCTCGTCCACAGCAAGTGAAAAGTGAGGCTCTTTGGAACTCAAACAAGAACCTGGTCCTCTACCAACATCCCCAGACCTTTGGTGACGCAGCGGTACCTGTCAGTAACTGCCCCGAGACTGAGCAGCAAGGTGTTGAAAAAGGCCATCAGCTCCTTCTGCAGCTGCTGCCTGACCGCGGCTCGGACGTCATCTGCCTCCTCCCGTGCCTGAGACTCCGTCAGAACCAGCAGGTCCAGCAGTGGGTTTGGACTCTACGGAGTGAAGCGGGCAGGGAACATGTTTACTCTCTAATGGGCGGTGGGTGGCTCCCCAGGACAGCCTCAGAGGCTCACGATGTCCTGGATAACCCAGAGGCGCATGCATGCACTTCGCCAGCTGGTGGGGAACCCGCTGCACCCCAGGGCGGCTCGGTGCTCCGAGGTGCTTCGGGTATCATCTCAACAAAGGGAGCATCTCTATTAACAAAACTGAGGAAAGTACAGAGAAGCGTAACGTCGAAAACAGACCACCTGTGATCACACCTCGCAGAGACCACAGCTTCTAGCAGACGGGCACGCACGTCTCTTTGCATGTGCGAGTGTAAGTGTGATTCTGTATTTTTAACAAAATGGGGATCAAGCGAAAAAAATCCACCATTAAAATAATTCCTTTTGCTTCAGCTTGTTAACAAGAGTTCTTCAAAACCACGTTAGTATCTGATTGCTTTCCACCCCCGAGAACCAGCCGCAGTGGCGGCTGAGCCTCTCGACTCTGCCGGCGCCCTCCGCCCTTCACACGCGTTCCAGCCAACGCTGAGTATTGGGGTCTTTGCCAACTTGCTAGGCTAACAAACAAACAAAACTAATGCTATTTAAATTTTTTCCTGTTTTCCACTTTTAAAAAATGTAACTAAAGAAATGTAAAGGATTATTTCTAATAATATTGAAAGAACAGAAAATATCACATTAACCCCCAGCATTAACGATACATGCAATATTCATTAACCACCTATATCACCACGGGCAGTGTGCTACAGACAAGAAACAAGATTTCATGTAACTTTTCCACTGAAGGAGAAAACCTGCATTTTCTTATTTTACATGTGAGTGAAAGGGGTTGGGTAACCTGTCCAAAGTCATGAGTACAGGCAGAGCGAGGACTTGACCCCACAACCGGGGCAGTGCAAAGCTGGCTGACACTCTGGGCCGGCACGGCGTCACCCAACAGTGTACAAGCAACAGGCAAAGGGAGGCACAGCCAAAACGTCACTGCCGCTGTCACAAAGGCCATCCCCTGAAGAACCCCACTCAGGAGTGACCGTGTTCTCCCAGGGAAAAGAAGTGAGGAAACAGGGACCCCGGCTCTTCATGTCACGCACTCCAACCTGGTGCCCACCATCACAGACCACGTCACCCAGGGCCTCCGCCCGCGAAGCCCCGGGGCGTGACGTCTTGCTTTCACGTCACTCGACGACATACACACATCAGCGGCTTTCTCTTTTGCAGCCTTTCCTTTCATCTGGAGCAAGAACTGGCTCACATGGATCAAGTATAATTACGTGAAACATAACCACAATTTCCAACTTTCATACGTGAATAAAACAATCAAGGTACACGTTTAATAACATGACAACAATAAATGTATACTCTAAAGTACTCTCAGCCCCACATCACCAAGGGCGGACCCGGGCCCCCATTCGCACTGACAACACGGGACGCGCTGTTTTCCATGCCGACCCCATCTCGGTAAAACACGACCTCACTGTCAGGAGCTACTAACTTTGACATACAGATAAAACCTTAGTAGAAGACAGAGTCACTTATGAATATACTGATACAGCATGTATAACCATACATACTATGTACAGTACGTACTATACATAGTATGTATACTATGTACAGTATGCGTAAAATCAAGATTCCGCCAAAGAATATCATTCTATTTACAACTCGTTTTTGCTTCTAAGCTGCTGAGATTTTGCCCTTCATCTTCTGCCTTGGTTCACATGTTCACATCAAGATTCAGTGAACCTCGGCAGCATCACTACTAAAATGAGGCGTGAATTTCCATCCTCGGGTACAATAAAGAGTGGAATAGAGGTCTCTAATAATGCCTGTTCATCTTGTTCATCTCAGGTGCTTCATCAGACCTGAAGGCTCTGTCTTCAGACATCAGTATCCAATCCTAACGTTTAACCACCTACTCGGGCCATTGTTTTGTCACAGCCGACCTCCAAACGGCAGCAATTTCTGGAAAGATGGCGCATTTTCTTTCAGCACAGTTACCAGGCATCGCACCCAATTTTCCATCCATCAGCAACCTACAGAAGTAGAGCCTGCACTGCCCCCAGCCCAACGCCAAGTGCACAGGTGCCTGGGAAAGTCAGCCAGAGAGACACACACAGCGTGGTTCTGAATAGCCACCCTACAAAAAAATTATGGTTCCACTTTTATTAACTTCCATCCAAAAATTCATTCTATCAGGAAAGGTGTTAAAACTCGCCACTTCTAGGCAATTTTATATATTTACAAATATCATTACACTTCCTATTAGCATTCTACTGTAGAATCAAGTATTTATAACTGCCCATTTTTGTTAGTTTCTGCCGCCGACACTTTCGTAATCTTTTCATATTGTGTCTATAATTCCGAACAATTCCTTTGGAAACGCTGTTGTACTGACCACCTGAAATCACGTCTCACTGTCTCACCCACTCCAAACGGTCAACTTCAGGAGGCGCTGGGCTGCCCGAGGCCAGGCTTCCGATTTTGAGCCTCGGTCATTACAGACACTAAGTTAACTCCTGTGGCACTTAGAGAGGAAATGCCCCCAGAGGTGGGCACCGAGGTCCACTCCGGCCACCTCGAAGCGTGACTTTCCACACTAGTGATGCGTGACGTGTGAGGAGAGAAAGTCAAAGCTCTGCCAAGACAGCCCTGGTGCTACTCAAAGGAGAGAAAGTCAACTATTCCAAAACTCCTTCCTGAAACAGGATTCAATTACAGCATAACCATCTATAACCACACAGAAATTTCACTTTAATTTCCAAACTATGAATAAATGGTACAATGTGTATCTGTACTAAGCACACTACAAAATTCACAATCATTTAAATATAGAGCTTTCGTTATCGTTTCAGTTATACACAATTTAGGAAAACACAGTTTAATATGCAGTGACTTTTCCACTGTTATATAGTACATACAGTCTTTTATGCTAGTTTTTAATTAATGCACAGATTTTAAAGAAAAGCTTCTACAGCTGAAGCCCATGCTATCTGCTACTTTACAACCCAAAACAACCATCATCTTCGGAACACACGATCTCTAATCTAAGAAGGAGACTGTTTTGGAGCTTATTCTTTTTAAAAAAATGAGTAAAAACATTAAAGTTATAAAACATTTGTAGATCAAAATTCATTTGAGTTATCAAAAAACTCATTCAGATGGAAAGCTTTCTAGAGATTCTTTTAACAATATTTTAATACCCAATTTCCGAGATATTCAAACATGCTTAAAAGTAAAAAGCACTATAATCACATTAGGCTTTACTGTTTTTGCTTTATCGAAAATTCAGAAAATAACTGCCTCTGGGTGCTTATTTTCTAATATTTCAGAGATAAGAGAAAACTCTAAGTAAATATGGGTTTTTGCAATCATCCTGGAGAGAGTAACTAAAGAGCAAACGTTACTGGATGAAGAGTGTATTTACTTTAGAAGTTTAATCATCTTACTAGATTCAAAAAGTGCACTTTAAGAAGTTAATCTTTTGTCTCTCATTTGTAATATAAATATTTTTCTGAGTTCATCCTATCTTTTTAGCTGTGTTGAGGTATTTCTTGCCTGACATTCAGAAGCCAATAATATTCATCCACAGGACAACTGTTCTGTCCTTAAGTTTCACAAAATGGAAATAAAGTTAATCTGAAAGGAGTAAAAATGGCCAGAAAAATATAGAAAATAAAGTTTATTAAAGACAAATTGTTAAAATTATTTTAAAATGTAGTTCTCTAGAAAATACAGACATATCAAGGGCACACAGTACAAAGTCCAGCTAAATAGTCATGTACATACAGGAAATTAGTATGAGTGTTTTAATGGTGGCAGTTCAAACCAGGAGTAGACACAGCATATAGAGAAAATGCTAACCACTTAAAAAATAATCTACGTCCCCAAAAAAGAGAATTAAAAATATAAACAAAAATATTACTTAAAAGTATACGAGAAAACATGGGAGTATCTACTCAAAACTTTGGAGTACAAAAGACCTTTCCGATGAAATACATAATTTAGAACTTATGAAGAAACATATATGTGACTACATAAGAATAACATGGCAGCCCTGGCTGGTGTAGCTCAGTGGATGGAGAGAGGGCCTGCAAACCAAATGGTTGCTGGTTCAATTCCCAGTCAGGGCACATGCCTGGGTTGCAGGCCAGGTTCCCAGTTGGGGGCACATGAGAGGCAACCACACATTGAGGTTTCTCTCCCTCCCTTCCCTTCTCTCAATAAATAAATAAATAAAATATTTTAAAAAAAATAAATAAGTAATATGGCAGCGAATAGAAATACCTTGTCCTGTCCTTACAGAGTTTACTTTCCAGTGGGGTGGGGCACAGGTAAAAACAGCAAAGCCACTCTGCAGACGGAAGTGACAGGTGCAGTGGGGAGACACAAAGCAAGAGCTGAGGCAGAGAGAGACAGCGCGGAGGGAAGGGCGTCACACTGCTTGATGCCAGAGAAGGCTCCCTACGTGACTAACATTCGAACGGAGCACCAAGTGCGCTGGCAGTCAGCATATGGGTATCTAGAGAAAGGGTGCACCAGCCAGGGAGAGAGGAAGTGCAAAGGCACTGAGGTCACTGTGAGTCTCAAAACAAACACACACAAGTATCTCTGCCACGTGGAACTGCCCCAGCAGTCACAGTTCTGGGAATCGTGTCTGTAAGTACACACTCACAGGCGCAATACAGGCCATTGCTTCCACTTCTGTGAAAATTTAACAGGTTACAAAATGAAAGTTATGTTTTCTCATAATTAACCACGTAGATTCCACAATGTCAGAAGTTTACCACTGACTTAATAAATGTTTATTGAGAGTTCTCCCTGCGCAAGGTGCTATGGTATATAACTGTGAACAAAACAGTCCACATTTTCACTATCAAAAAAAGGTAGAAGAAAATGAGCATCTAAACACCTCTCACACAATCACACACACACAGACGTCTTAAATCTATAAATGCTTCAGGAAGTACTCTGTACTAGAATTTCTAACATAAACCAAAAAGTCTTCTCGGTTAGAATTTTTAACTTACACCATATCAGCACTTGGTACTTTCACAGAGAATCATGTTTTAAAATAAGCTTTGTAAATGTATTAACATACAATGAAATGTATTTGCGTTACAAAGTCTGCCATCTTCTCAGTTTAGGCCCTCTTTTCTCATTTTTATGTAGGTTTTTTACATGACCACTTGCATGAAGGTTTATGGTTGCTAGGTTAAGTAAATTCACGTGGTGTTTGGGGAAAAATGGGTAAACGATATATGGCGAGCCAGCGGCCTGGCAAGTTTCCCTTCGCGTGCAGTCAGCTGGACAGCTGGGCGCAGTGGGGCTGCAGGAGAAGACCTCGGTGGGCGCGCAGCCAGGCCCGAGCCCCCTGCACTCATTCTTGCCCGGCTCTCCACCACCACGCCCTCAGGCCTCTGTCCAGCTCTGCTCCCTGCCTCTCCGTACTCCTGTCTGCCCTCCCGTGCCCCAAGGCCCCACTTCGAAATATCGCTGCAGCAGGAAACTCGCAGGGAAAGAGGTGGTGTTGCCCAGCAAGACTGAGGGTCCCACTCACCGGCAGACTTCCAGTTGCATAAACCTGGTCACAACCACACCAAGAAGGCCACACGGCCACGAGCCCTCTGACACCACGTGAGGGCACTTGGCACGGGCTACATCAATATTTTACTTCTCCACAACATCGAGTTAATAATTTTCAAATAAACCACCTGTCACACCTAAATCCCAAATTCCTTAACAACACTTACAGGTCTAAGAAGTAATTCTAGAAGCCAGCTGAGAAGTTCCACCGATGACTTTTTCCTTTGTTCCTTCAATAACTTATTCAGAAAATGTACGATGTCTATCAGCAGTTTCTCATCTTCAGCGCAAGCAGGCAGCACCTGCAGAAACCTGCAGTGAGGAAGACAACACTCAGGGTTTCCGGCTCTAACAGTGGTGTGCTGATAAATACTTAACCACCAGCTGAGCAGTGGACGCTGATTTGCTGTGTCTGCCCACTTCCATGGTGTAAATACCCTCCACGGCTGACAGCCAGACACCAACGTGACACAGAGCCGTGGAGAGACCCACAGCATCATTTCGGTAACACAGAGCAGAAGTAACTTCGAGAGCATGGAAAACAGTGCCGTAAAATGACTGGGGAGTAATAACTTCTGTATAATCGTCCCCTTCATATTCACATGACTCATTTAACTGTAAGTTTGCATAATTTCATATTAAAGAGCAGCTCTGTTTAAACCAACCAGCGTGGCAAACCCCTGACCAGGCAGTGCTGGAGACACACGGTCAGAGGCACATGGTTGGAGCCTCGCTGTGTAAGGACCCAGCACCTCGGAACACATCCACCTCTATTTGGAGAAGGGCACACTTTATGTTAAACCAGAAAGTTGCCCATTCCCCACTGGAGTGACAGGAGGGCCAATATGTGGGGCCACTGCTGCCAACCCCTGCGCCCCCATCTGGCAGGTGCACAAGCCGTGACAGGGTCACAAGGCCGGTCTGACACCTCTCCCAGTTACTGACAGTCCTCCACACCGGGCCACCATCTTCACAGAAGTCACAGCAAACACCAAAGTGAGATCACACTCACGGCTAAAAGCAAGAGCAAAACCAAACAGCCTGCTATACGGGTAGCAAACCCACTACCCACCCACTGACGTCCTAAGTCGCATGTAATATGGACAGCAACAAACCCTCAGTTTGTTCATTCAAGTCTCAGCCTGGTCATTTATTGTATAAGAGCAAAATTTTCCATGATAAGGAAACTTTAAAAGCTGTTGTAAGTTGACTAATAATTCCTTCTAAAATGCAGTGATTAGGTTAAAATTTTTCTCTTCTGCTGTTATTAAATATACATTACAAGTAATAAAAACCCTGGGTTTTTCCTTCTACAAAAGCATTTTTCCCCTCACAGCATCAGTGAGACGAGATGCTCATATTGTCACAGCTGCGGCGACAAACCCGCACACAACCAGCCGGTCTCCGGAACCGGCCGACTGCAGCCCCACTGACCTGCCCAGGGCGCTGTGCCAAGCCAAGGACCTCAGCGAAACCCCACGGGGGCCGGCGCCGCCCTCCAGTGACAGTCTGTCATTCAGGAAGTAGAAACTCATGCTGGTGACCGCGGCCCTCACTTCTTCGTGGGCGGCAGCCTCTGTGACGGCCTGGAGACAGCCCTCCAGGCCGCTGGCTGCGTGTGTCACCGTGAGCACCAGGGTGTCCTCCGGGGATAATCTCAGGGTGTCTGAGAACCTGAGCGCACAGGAGAAAGGAGGAGGGCACAGCTGTTAAACTAAAAGCTCACTTTCATTATAAACTCTGCCTCCAAAATCCCGCTTTATCTCCCTTTCCCTTTCACCAAGGGCGGGCTCCCAGCCGCGCGGCGGCCTGGTCCGCCTCCGCCAACACGAGACTGGCACAGCCGCACCCGGTGCCCCGCTCCCCGGCCCACAGAGCGACCTCCACTCCGGTGGGAAGGCCCCGACGGACCACTCAGGGTTCGGGAGCAGTAACCCTCCGCCGCCTCGTCGCATGCGACCCCGCGTGTGCACACTGGCCTGTCCTCCAGCCGCCTCGTCGCATGCGACCCCGCGTGTGCACACTGGCCTGTCCTCCAGCCGCCTCGTCGCATGCGACCCCGCGTGTGCACACTGGCCCGTCCTCCAGTCCAGAGCCCTCGTCCGGGCGACTCTGCGTGTGCACACTGGCCCGTCCTCCAGTCCAGAGCCCTCGTCGCGTGCGACCCCGCATGTGCACACTGGCCTGTCCTCCAGCCGCCTCGTCGCATGCGACCCCGCGTGTGCACACTGGCCCGCCCTCCAGTCCAGAGCCCTCGTCCGGGCGACCCTGCCGGGCGGCTGAGCAAAGGCCACCCGATCACTGAGGCCCCGCAGGCGCCCTGTGCTTTCTGGGCAACTTCCTCGTGTGACAGTTTTTTAAAAGTAATGAGCACACGTAATCTTTAAAACGAAGTAAAAATTATAATCTTCAGAACAAACGCAGAATCAGGTGACAGGAGGTAAAAAAAAACTACTCGACTTGAAGGAAAAACAAAACCTAAGCGCCTAATGAAAGGTAAGTGCGTTTTCAACGAACTGTGACAGCTTACTCTGGGATGCGCGTTTCGGAGCTCAGGTGCCGCAGCAGGCCGTCCGGCCCGTGGTGCCAGGACAGGTTCCACGCCATCCTCAGCATGTCTGAGACCGGCCTCAAGGCCAAACAGTCGGCGGACAACGGCAACACCACGGAGTAAGGGCTCACGGCGTGGTGGCCGAGCACTTGCACTGGCAGGTGATACCTGAAGAAAAGGCACACGATCATCACAAGCTTCCAGTTCTTAAATGCCCCCCGAAGCGACGAGCCCCAAAGGCGGCCTCGTTCTACACGCCCCAGTCTGCGGGAGGCTGGAGGCGACGGTGCAAGTGCTCCTTCACCGCCCTGGAACCTCCCAAAGCCACCTCGTTCCACTCAGCCGACCTCACGGCACCGAGGCTGTCTGCAGAGAGGACAGTGCCCTTTGAACCCGTAACAGGTGTTCAGCTAAAACAGAGACGCCGCTTTATGCCCGGGGCTGTGTGCTGTCCCTCGTTCACTCATTCAGCTGCATGGCACGGTGATGGGACCCCACCATGCCTACGAGACCCCAGCGGTGGTGTGGGCAGGGCCCCTCGTGGTTGGGTGGTGGTCCGTGTACGAAGACGGCACAGCCCACTGACCAGTTCTTCCCGCTGGGGACAGGGGGGAGGTTTCTAGCTCTTGGCCACTGCAAGCAAACGTGTTGGAAACATTCTAATAGCAAGAAAAAAAGAGTGGGTGGGCGGATACCGACGGCTGGGGGGTGTGGAGCAGCGGGCACTGCCGCTGGGAACGGGAACTGCCGCGACCACCGGGCGCCTGTTTGGAGGCATCGGCTGAACACGAGAACACGCTCTGGCCCGCACGTGCTCAGAGCACACGCCCATCGATGACCGGGGTGGACACACCGCTGCACACCCCTACGCCGACTCCCACGGAGCGAGGAAAGTGACCGAAGGCAAATCTCTCCGCAGTGAGCCAAAGAAGCTGAATACGAGCACATGCTCTGTTTATGAAGTGCCCGACCCCGCAACACTATTGTACAGTAACAGAAATTAAAATGGAATTACCTTCGAGGGATGTGGGAAGCAGTGAGGGAGGCACGGGAGGGTCTCCTGGCCTGCTAGTAACATTCTGTGCCTTAACCCGCAGGGCAGTGACATGGGTGTGTTTGTCCGGAAAAATGTATCGAGCGCTCTTATGATTGTATACTTTATGTGTGTATTTTTACAGTGGTTATGTAGGAAAATGTCTGTAATTTATGATTTAAGGATGTGTAAGCTAAAATAATTGGGCGGGAAGTAAAATTGTGTCCTAAACTTATTTTCACATGGATCAGGAGGGAAAAGTCACGTATAAATAAACATACGGGGGAGGTAGGGAAAGAGAGACCGGCAGCCCACTTGCTACCAACTGCTCAATCCAGGCTGAAGGTGGGCCGGTGCTCACTGCTCGGTCTTTCCACGGTTCTGTGGACTTGGACACACTGTGGACTTGAATGTCCTGTGGCCCTGAAAGTGCTATGGACTGGAACGTTCTGTGGACTTGAACCACACCAAGACAAAAGCCTGGCTACGGGGACAGACCCTGACTGACTCCCCCAGCACCACCGTGGAGGACAAGCCACGACACCACAAGCCACGTGGGTTACACACTAGATGATCACTATGACAGATTTACAGGTTCTGATTTCCATTCCCGTAACAATAGTTTTCCTTCAAGAAAGACAAAGAGAAACATCCTTACCTTCTACAAACTGAAACAGGCAAACTGAAGACCGACGGTGAAGACGGTTTCCCGGGAGGAGCGACAGACCTGTTTCAGGACGGGAACACGGAAGGAAAGGGGCAGCTGAGTGGCTGTAAACCCAACTCGCTTCACCGCCTCGACCGAAACCCCAGGCACAAGGCAACCGGTCCCGGCATCCAGTGTAGCTCTAACGAATCCGCCACGACCTGGATTTGCGGAGGAGAAGTAAAGGACGCTTCCGTTCAGGAAGTGCGTCTCGCAGCTGGTTCATGTAACACGGGTGCTGTAGTGGCAGGTGGACCGGTGCCCCCGCCTGCTGACCCTGCTCAAGGTCAGTGTCAGACAGCTGTTACCATCCTCAGCATCTTCCTGAAGGTTTTTAAAAATAAAATATTAAAGAAAAACATGCAAAATTGAGTGCACTGAAAAATAGATCACTGACAAAATTTACTGCAGTAACTTTAAATTTTCTACCTCGTCGTAATGTTTACAAATAAAAGTTCAGCGTGACTCTGTGAGCCAGTGAGCTTCTGAATGCTGCTCACTCAAACCCGAAATCACCCCGAGGCACATCTACCACGGAAAGCACACGCTTCCTACACCGGGAAGTCCACGCACTGCCGTGAGGCTGCGTCACAAACCGCAGGTGGAGAACCGTGAGCAAACACTCTGTGATCTGTTAGCGCTCACCACGCGTCCATTCTCGAGACTTCATCAAATAACAGAAGACAGAACAGTGCCCCGACTTCAGTCACGACAGTGCAATCTTCCCGAAATATCAAGGACACTGGGAAGGAAAAAGAAGCATGATATCACAAAAGATCAGAAGCAATGAACTTTAAATGTAAAGTATCCTAACTCGGAGGGAAGAGAGGCCGTTCTCAGAGTAAACGTCCAGGAAAGTATTCAACAGTTTCTTCTGCGATGAGTTTTTTAAGTGACTAACGAAGTAAAATGGAAAGTTAACGTCCCCACAGTTCAACGTGCTCACCCACCTCTGAACAGCAGGGTCAGGAGCGAAGGCCGCTGTGCCAGGGCGTCTCGGGCCGCCGGGTCCGCGCACAGAAGCTTCCTCAGGAGCGCGAGGCTCGGCGGGATCAGACACTCTACCACCTGCGGGGGGAGCACGTCACTCCAAGTTCACCAGCTCTGGGGTGAGACCGAACACACTTCACTGTTATCCGGTTACATTCTCATTACCCGATTACAGTCCTGTTACCTTACTCTAAATTTCGTGCTTTATCAAAAGTGTGTGAAAAATGCAAATGAATATTAAGAATTAATTTCCACTAAAATTAAGCTTTGTATATACTTTTGTGTACGCACCAGATAGAAATTTCTAGACTAGCTTTTGTTTATAGAGCTGTCAATCAGAAATGAACAAACAAGGCAGAGGGTGTTCAGAGTTAGACTCCAAGGCAGAGTCAGCTGAGTTCACCCTCAGATCCGACCGATAAAAACACTGTATCTGAAAAATGTACCTCAACACCCATTAGTCTTACCTCGCCGTCCTGACCTACACATTCATTTAAATATTCAATTATCTTGTCAATTAGGCATAACTTTTTCACCACAGCATGCATTTTAATATCTGCAGACAAAAAAAATGTTACTAAAAGTTAAAGAATGTTTTCGGTAGTTTTAATAATACAGAACAGACGTCCACATGACTTTCAAAGTATTAAACATAGTCACACCTGGTGTCGAAACTAACGGACAAAACTTCAAGTTTTTTTTTTATTATTCAGTTACAGTTGTCCCACCTTTTTCTCCACTGCTCTCCCCAACCCCGTCCCCCAAGTCCCAGTCAACGCCCCACCGTCCACGCCCATGAGTCCTGTACTCATGTTCCTCTGCCTGCCCCTTCCCCTTAAGTTTTTACTTAATACACCTTTGAACAATTTGCAAACGTTTTTAAAGCAACACAGATTTTACTCTTGTACTGTTAAAAATAAAACAGTTAAAAAAGAATAATTAATTGAATGAGTCCAAACTCAAAAGTACTAGAATTTTAGGCATACAAATGAATCCTTTTATTTGTACATAACACATTATGGTATCTGTACTGTTTCATTGACAATTCTTTTTTCTAAATCCATTACCTGAAAATGTTTAGAATTCCTCACAAGCTCATGGATAAATATGGTTTGCAACATGATCATTTTTCTACTAGTAAGATCTCTAACCTCAAGGTGTTAACAGCAAACCGGAAGGGGAAGGGGGGGGTTGTAACATACTGTGTACATTTTAATGTGCGTATGTGTCCACTGCTATGGACCCGGTTTTTATGCCCCCCCCCAGTTCCTCTGTGGAAATCAAATCTCCAGTGTGATGGGGTCAGAAGGTGCAGCCTCTGTGAGGACACCAGGTCAGGAAGTGGGATCGGGACCCTTAGGAAAGAGGCCCAGGGAGCCCCTGCCCTCCTCCAGGGCAGGCCCGCAGCAGCCCCCAGACTGCTGGACCCGGGACCTCAGACGTCCAGCCTTCAGCACTGGGAGAAACAGAGGCCTCATTTCTAAGCCCCCACCTGGGGTGCCCGGTACAGCAGCCCGAACAGACTAAGACACATGCACGCACACACACACACACACACACACGATGTCGCCAGCTGCAGGAGACTGGGCGCTTATAGATTAGTTACAAGTACTTAATAATTTCATAACAAATTGTGTTAATCTGTTCTGCTAGATTCGCAGTGACTACCACACTGAGGAGCAAACACACACTCACGTCCGTACGGGATCAGCAGCTGTCACTGCAACTGTCTCTAGCCGACACTTACTAGAAAAGTAGTCTTCACTGCCCCAATACAGCACACGCCACAACTGTAAGTTGTAGTTTGGGAATGTTAATAATGCTAAAAGAACACTTTCTGAAACAGTTTTTGCAGCTTTCTTGTCAAGGCTCAGCACATTTTTAGAGACTTATTTTCTGGAGTCTGCGCAGCCACAGACAGGCTGCGTCTGTGTCTTTGAATCACTCTCATCCCAGCTTCTGCTGACGCCAGGAGAGAAATACTAACCAGGCCCCACCTTCCACGTCAGAAAAATCTTTTCATGTAATACAATGTTGTCATCTCTCTCGAGCATTAGAGATGTTACATATTTCAAATATAGGAAAAAAACCAACCCGAAGAATGGAATAACAACATTATAAAGTTAACAGTATAGTTTACCAGTTTTTAAAAAATAAGCCCTTAAAGAAAACAGTCACAGCAATTATCATCTTACCTACCCACAAACAGCACTGTTTCACTGACTCTCTAAGCAACACGGAACAAACTGAAAACGCCATCTACCAGGTCACCTGAGACAGGAGCCTGCAGCTGCTGGAACTGCAGCAGTCTCTCGAACTGCAGCAGTCTCTCGAACTGCAGCAGTCTCTCGAACTGCAGCAGTCTCTCGAACTGCAGCAGTCTCTCGAACTGCAGCAGTCTCTCTGAAGGACGGCTCTACCCAGTGACATCCTACCGGTAAAACAGTGACGATGCAGACCAGGGGTCAACACCCTTCCTTTGTAAAGAACCACAGGTGATAGGTTAACCTCTGCTGGCCACACAGGGCGTCTGTCCCATATTCTTTATTTTCATCTTTTTTAACAATTATTTAAAAATGTAAAGACCATCCTCAACTCAAGGGCTGCAGGAAAGACAGACCGGGCCCGGAAGCCGCCGCGCGCAACCCGGTACAGCGACCGGACACACTACCTTGCAGAATCACGGCCAGCTGCTCCGCGGCTGACTTTCTCAGCACAAGGTCAATGTCGTCTGAGATAAAGATTTCATACACCTTTTCAACAGTCTCCAACTGCAAATCAAAAGGAAACGAATTTCATCTACTTCCAGTTCTCCAATAAAATTTTACAGTTCATACTGTAAGAATAAAGCTCACACAGCCAACTTAAGGAAATGACATAATTACATACGTGTAAACTTGCAACACTAAGGTGCTGGGTCAGGGAGGAACTTAGGGTCTAAACAAAGAGCCATCATCTAAATAAGCCTCTCTTCATGGACACTTTTGCTGGGAAGTCCTTCCGAACCGATGATGCATCCAGAGGTCATGGTAAACTTCCCAGCAGGGACAGCAGGCCACCCAGACGGGTGGCCTGGCTCTGACTCCGGACTCTGACTCAGGAACCTCCCCTGCTCAGAAGCCACCCGGGGATTCCCTGGGCCCCACCCTGCCCTCTCTCCCTCCCTCCCACGGACCAGGAAGCACCAGCCTCCTGGACCTGTGACCCGGCACCTGGTGAAGCCACCATGAAGCTAGGCCCAGACTGTGTTCATGCCAGGACAGGATGTGAGGTGACAGCACTGAGCCGGAAAGGAGAGAAGAACGACGACACCCCTCCGCCCTCCCACCCGCTGTCACCTGCTGGCTTTAACAAGAACTCACGGGACAGGTCCAGAACAGCCACCCCTGCCTGCCTGCCACACGCAGGGCACAGGAGGGACGACCAATACTTACGATGCGGGGGGTCCCCATCAGGACCCCTTCCGGGGCCCAGGAAGGTTCTCCAACCCTCTCGCCACGGCTATCTGGGGGCCCCAGACGCTGAGGCGGGGAGAACACTGAACGTGCTCCCCGAGGTAGAAAACCCACTGGGCTATGCCAGTGGCCCCCAGAACCACCACAGGCTGGGAGCTGCTCTATCCTCAGAAGGGCAACTGCCTTGGCCCCCATATTATGTTTTTCCTCTTACCATGAAGAGGCTAAGGATTTTTATTACAGGAACTTTTTCTTTTTTGCTATTATAGGCAATTTCCAGCATGAGAACAAGAATTCTGAATAGCTGCACGTTACTGATCTTTCCACTATTTTAGCCTTATGCTGTACTTGAGACACTATTCAAATGAAGTGCATTTCCAGTGTCTGTATCGAATGAAAAAGCACGAAGGGCCTGGCATGTCGTAGGCACTCAAGAAAGTTGCCCACTCAGTAAACAAACGTATCCACGGGCCAGAAGAAACCAGACCACGACCTCAAGGCAGCCGCGCAGAACCACCCTCGAAGCCGCCACTGCTCTCCCTCTGGCATCGACCACCCACGGGAGAACGCGGCGCCAGGTGTGTGGGGCGCCAACGGGCAGCACCACACAGGGACAGGTCACAGTCACCTTGATAATCAGCTCTCTTCTGTCATCCAGTTTGAGGTCAATGGGCGTCTTCGCCAAAAACAAGTTGGAAACTCTGGAGAGGACTCTGGCATCCATCGTGGGGCGCTTCCCGCCGGCCCCTTCCTCCCCGGTGAGATGACACGCTAGCAGCTTCAGGGCCAGCGAACGGACCCTGGGGGCGGAAGCGTGCGGGTCAGCACCGTGCACGATGGGGACGGACCAGAAAGGGCTACAGTCACAACCGGTTATCACCTGTCAACACGAGAGTCAGCTGCACTCGCGCCGGCAATCCTGGTAGAATTTTACTTCTTCTGTCAGAATACTTACTGTAGGACTGCAACCATCCTCTCAATTTTGTGTATGTAAATAAACACCAGAAACAAGGAAGAACTGATCATCAATCACAAAGGAAGAAACAGACTCACGGAGCCTGTCAATGCCCCCGTCAGCATCACCGTGAGCGTGGGGCGGTCACACGGTCCCTCCCCTTCAGTAAGTTGACCTGCAACTGCAACTAACCCCGAGACTCCCAACGCCGAGCCTCACGCTCTGTCTCGGCCATAAAAACGGTCGCAGAGCCCTGAATAGTTTAAACGTTAGCTCCACACTAATGTTCAGTGCAGTGACCGCACTAGTAACTGACAACCAGCATCACAACACGGATAAAAATCTGATGGATTCCCCTCACACAAGGACAGAGGAAAAACCCTACTTTTCTGGAATGCACCAGGAATGAGGTCAGTTGAGTGGGAGGTGGCAGACCCCCGGGGAAATGACTTTCTGCACGCCGTGAGCAGCGTGGAAAAACAGAAAAACCATCCCGGGACGAAGGGCTCGGAGCTGGGAGACAGTGAGACAACAAAACACCTGCCGCTCCTCGGACAGGTTCCTGAACCACATGGAGCGGGGCAGTCTGAGTTGTGACACAAGGTCCGGGTCCAAGGACTGCTGATGAGACAGCAATGGAAATCCGCAGGCTCCCGCCACCACGGCCGCCTCCCTGCCGTGTTGCCCTGACGTCCCCCGTCCTAACACTGGCCCCGCTTTATCCCCGTGAATCAAGCTCCGCTGACGGGGCCTCTCTCCTCAACCCCACGCACAGGTCAGGAAGGGCCTGCCTGTGCTGGGTGCGGCCGGGTCCCCTGGCTGACACTCAGTGCCAGCCAACTAAGCAGAAAATTCCCGTACAATTAATTACTGATGAACATCATCTCCGCAGGATTAACATTTACCCCACGACAGTGTGAGAGGTCAGGTGGACGTTCTCCCTGCCCCTCCAGCTGTCCCCTCCGGCTGTCCCCTCCGGAGAGCTCGGAACAGCCGACTGTACACAGGCTTTCCCTGGGCTCCCTTCGCTCCCACCCAGGGCCGCCTGCTGGAGTCTGGGGCTGCCAGTCCAGGGCAGTCGGCGCCCCAATAAGAAAGCCGGGGTGGGGGGTGCAACACGCAGAGCTGTGCATCTCCTTGGGGGCACACATTCAGCGCCTTTCTGGGTTTAGCCTGGGGCCCCAGAGTCCAGCTATTCATTCCTCTATACTATTTCTTCCAACGAATACATTCTGAACATATTTATGTCCAAGGTCCTCTAAGAAGTGCTAAGGATGTAAAGATTAGCCAACAGACAGGGTTTCTGCCCAGTGGAGTTTAGGGTCTAGTGGAATGGGGTAGAATGAATCAAATCATTTAAAAACATATATGTAATCCAAGCTGTGTTGAGTTATGTGTAATAGAGCCTCACCCAAAGAGAGGCCTGGCCTTGCCTGCTAAGAATGTCTTTGTTTACCCAGAGACCCCGGGCCCCAGGGGTGATCAGAAAGTCAACTTCCACTGCACTCAATGGCCAGTTTCGGGGGAGGGCGTGTGCCACACCAGCGCGAACCTGAACGTGCGGAAGCCAACCCTGCGGAGCATCCACTGGACGGCCACCCACCTGCATTACCCGCAACTGGATGCTACACAGAGATTTTTACAACCGACCTTTCTGACTCCCCACACCCGCCCCCCCACCCCCAGTCTCTTAATATCTTATTTCCACCCATGGATTTGTCAGCCCCATCATCTCCTTATAAACAAGCCGATGCCTCATCGGGATGTGAGGTTTGGGGAGATCAGAACTGCGCACTGTCCGAGAGCACGCTGGTCCCCCAGCCTTCCAGCTGACCCCTCACTCCACCACAGATCCTCCTCCTCTGACCCTGAGCTGTCTCCTCTCAGTGGGGCAGAACCCACCCGGCTACCTGCAGAGCAACGGAGAACATGCCCACGGCACTGACGGAGAGGGAGGGACAGCCTACGGTCCCTCTGTCAGTTAAAATGACACTAACACTGACGATGGAGCAGAGGCCACTCTCAAGTTCCCAGAGGACAAGCCGGGCAAGATTAAACCGCCTGCACACTCTGCTATGTGAGGCACCGGGCCACTGCACTCCTGGGAAACACCTCATCTTCAGAGCGCATTTAGAGGAGGCCCACTTGCAGCGAACAATTTCTAAAGAGAAGAGACGAGGAGACGCTCTGTAACTTGTGACCCACTGGTGGCGGCGGCAGCGGGCACTGCCCACAGCACCACCAACGGCACCGAGCCCAGCAGCTCGGCCAGACCACTGCCCTGGGCGTGAACAGAGGTTTCCAGAAAGCACCTGAAACACCAGGATCTGCATAGAGAGCTTTACCCATCGGTTTCTTGTCTCTGTCTATTAAAAAGAACCGCTTTCCTTTACCGCCCCCAGCTCTGGTCTGCCGCAGTCCGATAGAATTACCGTGCTATCCTTTCTCGGGTCATCCCCATTAATCTTTGCCACGCATACGTCCCCGGTACTTACGACGGCTTCTTCACGAGCAGCAGGCGCAGCACGGACCTCAGCCGGGCAACGGAGGGCAGAGCCCCTGCGCCCGCCTCGGCGCCCGCCTCGCTGAGAAGGAGGATGCAGCTACCCAGGGGGTCCTCTGTGTCGGCGTAGCCCTAGCAGATGCCAGGAGAAAAGAAGGCATTGTTCGGGTGTACACACAGTTTCAACTTGAACATGAGAACTGCACTGGCCTGTCAGGCAACTCGTGCATTTCTTTCACTTTGGCTGAAAAGTCACTTTTCAAAATAACCTACATGATGTGAAAAGCCTACCTAACACTGTACTTCCCTTCAGGAAAATATGCCAACCTCTGGACACCTGCTCACTGATTCCCCGGGTTTTGGGGGTGGAGGCACCCCGGGGTCTTCAGACCTGTCCCCACGGGACAGACGTGGGCATGGCAGACACACCTGCACGGTGAGCCTCGAGGCCCACCACCCCAGCTCCTGTTCCACACGTTGTTCCTGGGGGTGGTACCCGCTGCCCCTCCCCGTGCAAGGGGCAGGAACCAGAGTCCCACAAGGGCTGCTGCAAACGCTGCTTCCGAGAGTTCATCATCAGAGGAAAGCTCTAGTCACACACATGCACAGAACTAGTTGGTGGACCAAGCTGTTACGTCGCATCTGCTTAACAGCCTGAGCTTTGCCTAAAAGCCTCCATGTAAGGCTGAGTTCTGTTCTTCATGTCACGGCTGAAGGCCCGCGCCCCACACCAAACCCCCCACCCAGACACAGAAGGGGACACAGGACAGCCACCGCTTGCTGCTCGCTCAGCCGCGGCACCTCCACGGCGTCTCTTCACCCCCTTACGATGTGTCGGCCCCGCCAGGGGCGCCCTTCCCACCCATCCCGCTCACCAGAAAGGGGATCGTCAGCGGGACGGACACCTACCTGCAGCACTGGGAGGACAGGACACAGAGACTGGACGAGCCTGTCCCAGGTCGCCGCTGTCATCATCAGCCGCCCCTGCAGCAGGTACAGCAGGATGGCCTTGGCCGCAGCGTTCACCTGCCCGACACACAGACAAGACGCCCGACAGAGTGAGGTGGCCGCTGGGTGGCCGACACACCTGGAACCTCAGACAGGACCTGGACAGGTGCTGTGATTGACAGCTCGTCCTCCCACAGCTCGCACTGCCGCAGCATCATCTCACACTCCTTTCTGTTTACCTTCAGGGTATGTTCTTCCGCTGAATCAAAACACCCATAAAGAAATAACCTGCTAACTATACCACTGCACAGCTCTCTGCATCTTGGATAAAAACCCTAAGTAAATAGTTTCATGAATGCTTTGAGAGATTATGTCATGTAGTTTGATTTATTTAAATAACTTGACTGAGCCCACACGTCAAAGACAAGTTTCTTCTCTGTTTCTCAGAATGCTGTCTAGTTCTATGAGGACATTACCCTGATATAGCTGCGTCTCTAAGGAATTGGTGCTCTGCGCTTACCTTTAACGTACCATACCTCATTCTTAGGCTCCTGTAGGCCGAACGCAGAGATTTCATACAGAACTTTTGGGTGGAGTAGAAAGTGAATTCCATTACAAAGTGAAGATACAGGTTCACTAACATTATGGACACCTAAACATTCCTGGAAAACAAAACCAAGATAATTTTACATACTAGTGACACTGATTTTTCAAGAGGACTCCCCTTTCTCCTGCTTAAAATTCAATTCCGATTTTAGTGTTCGCTTCGCTGAAACTTTTCTTTTACCCCAAGAGGACGAAAGACCCTCCCGACCGACAGTTTCTGAGGCCGCACGAGACGTGGACTGTGTGACTTCCGGCCGGCACTGCAGCCTCGAAAACCAGCCAAGGTGCTGAGACACCCAAATCCCTTAAGTTGCTCATGAAGACAAACACAAAGGAAATAATGAGCTACATACCCAAAAGAACTAAGGCAGGTACTCAGGCAGGTATCCGTATACCTGCATTCACAGAAGCATTGGTTACGATAGCTAAAAGATGCAAATAACCCAAATGTCCATCATAGATGGATGGATGGATAAACAAAATGTGCTCAATGCAGACGAAAGAATATTACTCAGCCTTAAAAAAGGAATGTAATTCTGGTCTATGTTATCACATGGATGAGCCTTGAGGATATTACATTAAATGAAGAAAACGTACCACAATTAGTCAAATTCAGACAGAGAGTGGAGTGGTGGTGGCAAGACGTGGTGGGGGGCCCTGGTGGGTGTAGCTCAGTGGATTGAGCGCAGGCCTGCAAACCAAAGGATCACGGTTCGATTCCCAGTCAGGGCACATGCCTGGGTTGCAGGCCAGTTCCCAGTGGGGGACGCATGAGAGACAACCACACATTGATATTTCTCTCCCTCTCTCCTTCCCTTCCCCTCTAAAAATAAATAAATTTTAAAAATCTTTAAAAAAAGACATGGTGGGGGATGAGGAGTCGCTGTACAATGGGCAGAGTTCCCACATGGGGAAGGAGGACGTTCTGAAGGCGAACCGTGCCGACGGCCGTGCAACGATGCGAATGTACCTGATGTCCCTTAACTGTACAGTGAGAATGACTAAAATGCTAAGTTCCACGTTGTGTGTATTTCACCACTACCTCCAACAACCAAACTGGACAGAGCTAAAGAAAGAACTAGTGTACTGAATAGCAGCACTGAGGAGTTCCATCCAAACAGAACAAAAAGAGATAGGAAAAATACTTTCAAAAGGCTTAAAAGGGAAGGTCTAACACAGCCGCCTGGAGGGAGCAGCCAGTCCTGAGAAACAAGGATGACGGAGAAGCATCCAGAAATGAGGGCAGACGCGAGGTTAAAGAATGCTAAAAGGACAAGGGAAGTTTTTAAAATATACATATATATATATATATACGCACAAAGACACATCGTAATGAGACAAGGAAAAGATCTTAAGAGCAACTAGAATAAACAACACAAAGCAACTGGAATGTAAATGACAGCAGACGTCTCAACAGTGACAAGAGGACGAGGCAGTTCTGCGCCTCGCGAAGCGCCAACGGCGGCCAACCGGCAACTCCACACACAGCCAGGCTGCCACTCGGGCGACACCGACAAACTCACGAGTAAGGGAGCCCTGAGGCTTTCAAACACATGCACCACTCGTCAAGACTGTAACTGAAAAACCTACTTACGTAAAAAGTGGACTGAACTCAAATATTAATTTAAAAATGAATGAGAAGATACTCAAACTAAACAGCAGTTAAGATGAAGGTACCAGGTAGATCTCAAATCCTACTACTACATGAAAACAGGCAGCTGAAACATGTTCAGTATAAAACAATAATATGTGTTGTGTATAAAGACACACATATGTACTAAAAACATATAAACAATGAACGGGAAGGAGCAACACCAACTTTGTAAGAGTGATTATCTTGGTGGAAGAAACAGTAAGAAGAGGAAAAGAGGCTTCAGTTATAACTATAATATTTTTATTTCTCTTAAAAGTAAAAATGGTAAAGTGTAAACATTTGTTACATATAGATAGTACTTACAGGAATGTTAAATGTAAGAGGACATTTTCAAGAGTACAGAGGAACATACATTTTTCAACATTGTCCTACGTATAATGTTCTTTCCAATATTGAAAAAGTTAATGTTCTGTGTATTACTCTATGTTGAAATATTTGATGACTTAAAAACACAGAAAACAAATGTTTCAAAAGAAAACTATGACAAAGGAAAAAAGACCTGAAACTATGTAACTGAAGCCATAATGACCTAAACCTTTCCCTGAGCATGGAGATCACTTTAAATACCTGGCACTTTTCCTGACGAGTTTCCATCATTAATAACACAGCATGAATGCAATTCTCACCAAAACCTCTAATAAAGCAATTCAACTGCCAGACTTACAAAATTAAGGGAAATGAATAGTACAAATGTCTTAGAGTTGACTAATAACTGCATCCATTTTCACAGTAGTAGTTCTTATATTTCATTTAAAAGGTCAAGTAATTTAACTTTAGAGTTACAGGAAGAGAATCCACTGTTAGTTCGCCCCCAAAAATCAAAACCCAGAGAACCCACCTTAACGATCTCCAGGCAGCAGCGGTAGGTCTCCGCCCTCACGGGGGGCAGGGGGTGAGACAGCATCCGCAGAAAAACCCGCTGACTCTCCCCCTGCAGCAGTGGGCTGGCCTGGGCCGGCCTCCAGCTGGTGAAAAGACAGAACGGCCAAGACGTCTGTAAGGCAAAGAAATGGCCATACAGCCCACGAAAAGCACAGTGGAAAGAGCTTCTTCCTACCCCGATATCTCTGACTGGGATCGGATTTAAGTAACACGATATTAGTATTTACCCAAACATGCACTTGTTTCAAGGCAAAGAATATTCTCTTAAAAGAGTATAAAAACACCCAAAACGTATTTAAAAATCTGTGCGTGGGACGTCACTTGGTACAACCATGACAGAAAACATATGGAGGTTGCTAAAAAAATTAAAAAGACAACTCCTACAGAACCTAGCAATCCCACTCCTGGGATTAATATGCACAGAAAATGAAATCAGGACGTTGCAGAGACATCTGTACTCCCGTGCTCATTCCAGCATTCTTCACAATGGTCAGTGGATGGAAATAACCCAAGTGTCCGTCCATCAGTGAATGAATTAAAAAAATACGGTATATGCATACAATAAAATATTGTCCAGCCTTTAAAAAAAAAAAGAAGAAAATCCTTCCATTTGCCATTTAGATAAACCCAAAGGACACGATGCCAACTGAAATAAGCCAGACACGGAGAAGTAAATGATGCACAACCTCACTTGTGTGGACCTGGAATGGTCAAGCCCACGGGGGCAGAGTGCAGGGGTCACTTCTTGGGGGAGAGGTCAAAGGGCACAGCATTTCAGCTGTGAGGGATGAGCACGTTCTAGGACCTGACACACTACACGGTCACTGCCGTCACGGATCCCGCGCTGGACATTTGGAATTTGTTAAGAGAGTGTATCTTAAATGTCACACACACGTGAAATGGTAATCACATGAGGTGAAAAATAAGTACATGTTAAAACCCCATATTGAATTGATATTTACCAACATGCAATTTGCTCTTTCCAAAAGCAATGAAAATACTAAGTTCTAATAGGAATCTGCTCTAACGATTCCCCCCAAAATTAACCAATGCATGCTTTCCAAAAATCCATATAAGGAAAGGGTAGGAAGTAATGCAACTTACATTAGAAAAATAATTGAAAATATTAATTAAAAATGTAAAGATAAATAAGTAAACTAATATGCCCGAATCCCTGGTTTGAATGGATACCAAACCAAATGTATAAGTATCCAAGGATAATTCACTCCAATTGTGGCATGAGATTTTTAAAGTTTCCTCCTGAATAAGTCAACTGTCCTAATGCAGCTACACATACACAGTGAAAAGGCCGGACCCACGTAAAAGCAATTTAATCTAAAAAATAGTGATGATACCGAGATTTAAGACCAAACTCAATTTTCATTGCACTTAACGTCTCTCTCTCTCTCTTTCTCACACACGCACACACACCATGTCCTATAATATAATCACATTAAGAAAGAAAATATTACATCATTGAACAAATGCGGATGATTTCCTTTATGAGGGGAAGATACTGATGATAGGAAAAGCTACGCAAAGCTTGGTCTGCCAGCTCCACTAATTCTAGAAGATTCTTCTCTCCCTAAGGAAAAAATCAGAATAAAGCAGTAAGTGTCAAGTTCATGGATAACCAAATAACAAAATTCTCCATAGTTAACTAGCAACTTGAAGAAACTAGGTTATTCAGAGGCCCTGAGATTGCTCATACTTGCTTTAAGCCCATTTTCTCTGTAAGCATCAAAAACTGTCAGTCCTGGAAGAAAGATGAGGGAAAACCCCAGCTAAGTCCACACAGGACTGTCCGACTCACCGCTGAGCAGGCCCGAATGGTCCCTTCGGCCACGGCCACCGCCTGCAGTCCCACCTCCCTACCAGCTGGAGCGCAAAGCGGGGCTCCGGTTCCCGTGCCCACTCCCCCTCCTGACTTCCTGCCCAATACGTGCGAGGTTGGCTGGCAGTGCAGAAAGCTACAGAAATAATTCAGCTTAAAGACAACTCAAAATCCTACCCTGGACGAAACAAGAAGCCAATGGCGTCAACACACGGCAAAAAGAGGGGGAAAAAAGCAATAGCGGATAAAGGAAAATCAGAAATATGAACTTCAGGCAGACTCCAACGTAAGGACCAAAACAGAGAATTTTGTGCCCAGTATTCTGAAGACCTTCAGGACCCAATTTGGTATTTCCAGACAATAAACAATTACTGCAGTCTGAGTCTGCTTTAGACTCGCTAACCCTTCACTGATGCGCACTGAAGAGCAACGCACTTGTTTTTCTATCACTGCACACAAAGGCCCCTGCGCCTCACGACCTGTTCACGGCTTCACTCAGCAGCGCTGCCGGGCTCCGTGCGTGAGGCAGTAAGGGTCTGTGACGTCAGAGTGGCAGGGTGTCCGCAGGGAAGCACTCAAACAGCCCTCACAGCCCTGTGTGCGGCAGTGCGACCCTCCACCCGCAGCGCGCCGCCTCCCAGAGGGGACGCGGTACTAAGACGCTGAGAATAATTAATGATCACTGATTTCTTAAAACCTCTAGTTTTGTGAATGTACACCAGTCATTAACCTAAAGTCTTCACCTTATGTTTTTACAAGTCATATCCTTACTTAAACCTGATAATTGACCCACTCACTAATTATGTGTCCTGTGTCTAACAATTCAATTGTTCTATGTCCATTGATTTGAAAAGTACAGGTTACACTTTCTAAGTATTTTATCACAGGAGTTTAAAAGAGGTATTAACAAAACTTTTTACCTCCTTCCCAACGTCAGACAGGAAGTTGCAGGCACATTCAATTGAATACACAGCCTCTGCGGTTCGTTTATAAATACTGTAGTTTTCAGAGTTCAGCTGTTCCAAATAGGCCACCACAGCTTCGTGAATATTTGGATATTCCAATGAAATAGGCATGTCCAAAGAAATGAGAAACAATGCTGCTGACATAGACTCCGGTAAAAACTGGCTTGCCTTGATGGATAAAAAAATAATAATAATTAAAAAAGCATTTTTTAGATAACCATGGTAAACTATAACCTTCACGTAGTTCAACTTTCTTTCTTTGCAATTCTCTATCACAAAGTCGATACTTTTCTAAAGAAAACTCTACTCCCAAAAACACCTATCTGTACGCCTTTACTGAATACAATTTTTCTCAGCCCGGAAGGTCTCGAGCCCAGATTCCAACTCTTTCTGGGTCCCCCCCACACCAACACCCAGAGTGACCAACTCTCCCCAGCCTGCCTCTTGGTTAAGGCTCTGCCGTGGGCCTTGTGCTCTGAGTGCCTCACACGCGCACACACAAGTCACCAAACTGATGCGCTGGCCTGGGGGCAAGGACAGCAGCCACGGCTGCGCACACAGGAGACCGAGCCTTAGGTCGTATAAAATCAACAGGTCCACATGAACTACTGTTCTATACTTTTAATCAACTGGTTTATGAAACTAAAACAACTGTTTTTATTTTAAAAGAATTCTAGTTTCATGATAGGATTCTATGTATCAACTGAGAAAAGAAAAAGGATTAAAAAGTCAACATTCAGAGAAAAATCTGGCAGACAGCACTCACTATTATGGCGGAAATGCTGTCTTTATTTTTAAAAATTGGTCATGATTTATTTCACAGGTAACCTATTTTAAAGGTAATCACTAACTGCCTAAAAGTCTAAGATTAGGAGCTAAGTCTGCTACACAACGCTTTTAAATCAAAGTTGCCACGTGAGCATCAGAACTACAGGACTCAGATGCTTAGGTCCCTGCGCGCACTGCACTCTGGGAAGCGCTGCTCCGCCAGATGACGCGCGTCCAGGGGCCTCTGAGGAAGCCACAGCCTTGGGGTCTAAGCCCCTCCTGACCTCCGCCGGCCTGCTGAGCGGGTCACAGGGGCTCCTAGGAGGGTCCGCACCCGCCTCCGGCACAGGGCCAGCGGTTCTACCCCTTATTCCCGGATGGTTCCTCCAAATAAAGTTACCTTCATTCATCTTACCAATTTGAATTAACCAAGCAGAACCTTTGTACAATATTCCAATGTAGCATTTTAACCTATACATGGGTTAGAGTTGCTGATTCTCCAAAATCATTTAAAAAAATTGGTTTTACGTTTTTCTAGCACTAAATTAAAACATATATAAAACAAATTACTGATTTCTATATTAACTTGTTTCCTGCCCAAATGAGCCCATAGAAGAGAAAATCTACATTCAAAAAAGCAATAAATAATCTATACACTACAATTGATCATTGTGTTTCCATCAACACATCAACTGACAGAGATTGATCATTTACAATATTTAATATCAAATTATTGTAGCACTAATTTTTCAGTTATATATTATTATGTAAAGTGAGACATATTTTAAACACAATTATGAGTAGAATGCTCCAATTTATGTTTATGCCTTGAAAAATTATCATTCCTTAAAATCAAACTCTTCACGAATACGACTAATGAATAAAAGTTAAAAATGAAAATGAACAGAAATGGTGTTATTCTCCCCAAAGTAAAACACTGTATTCATAATGTAATGTTTTACCCTTGTTTTTCCAGGTGACCTGACAGTGCTGCACCTGCAACCCACTTAAAATGGGAGTTTGGACTATGCGCTCTGCAGAACACCGGGAAGCAAGGGGCAAACGGTCACAGCGGCGCCACAGCGGGGCAGCAGCGGCTCTGAGAGCCGCTCTGCCATCACACTGGTCCCTCCAGGCGCCCTCCGAGGCGCCCGCACTGCCTAAGGGCGCAATGCGCCCTTGTGCACGAGCCATCCGAGATATTTCCACCATGAACATTCAAGTGCAAACATCTAACCTCCATTTAGAAAAAGTCTAAAAACAATTAAAAAAATATTGACACCTATGAAAACCACCTTTACCATAAAATCATACAGTAGAATACTATCTTACAATAAAAATTAACGTGCAACTGCTACAGCCAGTAACAGTGAAGAATCCTGGAAAAAAAAAAACCCTTGGGCACAAATTCTCACTCCATTAGTGTGATGTTTGGAAACAGACCGGTCTGCCATGTGAAGTCCACGGTGAGAAGTCCGAGAGGAGCAGGTGCGGGCGGTGGGGAGGCCGCGGAGGACGGCGAGGCCGTGCAGAGCAGGGCCCCGGACCCGCTAGCAGGGCTCCCTGCCCTGTGCTAAGTTTCGCCTCTGAAACACGATACACTCACTTACTAAAAATCCACTGAACTGTGTCTCTGTCTTAACATACGTTACACTATATTTTTTGAAAGTCCTTCAAAAAACACTTTACAGAATATGTTTTTTCCAACCAAATAACTGGTCAAAAATGCGGCTTGTCCGTTCCCACATTCCAGAGTGATCTTCGCACGTGGCGAAATGATCGGCGGGCACTTACGACACATCCGTGTGACACTCAGCGCACTGACTGGGGTGGGCAACGCCCCCGCCTCACCTTCTCCACGGGGAGCAGCGTCTGCAGCAGCCGCACCGCTAGCAGAGCCACGCTGACGAACGCCATCCGGTGCAGCCGCCACGCCGGTTCCACCTGCTCCAGGCCCACGCCGCTGTGATGGTGGCACAGGGTTTCTCCCAGGGACCCCAGCACCGCCAGCAATCTCTCCTTCTGCAGACAAGTAAACGCAAAACAGGAAAACAACCAATCTGTCACAAAGAACGCGAGAAAAGTGCTATCATTAAATTACAAAAACCCAAGTGCAACTAACTACTCCAATCAATAGCTGCTGAGGTAAGGAAAGAATGAGAACACCTACATTTTTAAAAAACTAACAATCTGTAAGCATTCGATCTGATGACTTCTAACTAATGAATAAAAAACAACAGAGGAAAGGTGAATGACCCATGAACGTCTCCTACTGTCCTATGCGTAACTGTTCCCACTTTGAACATCCCCGGGTAAATCAGCAAGTATTCGGTAAGCTCACCATATGCAAAACGCACTGGCTGGTATAATGGAAAAACACGTTAGTATAAAAGACATGACCTTCACCCTCAAAGTAAACCCAAAAGTACTAGAGAAATGAAACAGGGAAAGTCAAATAATTAAAAACAATTAAATATAAAATTGTATGAACGCTCTTCAAGTAATGAGGTTGTTTCAAGGGAAAGTGTTCTGCCATCATCAATTTCTAGATAACTCATTACTTAGATATTGTATCTTTTAAATTGAAGTACTTGAAATACAAAGAGAAAGCTAAGACACAGCCAACTTGCCAAGTGCAGCTACAGGTAATAGACCAATCACATCCTCGACCTGGGGACACGCCCCCATCAGCAGGTGGGAAAGGGACGCAGCAGGTCAGATACAGACAGGGAAGCTGTGGCTTCTCCCTCTCACCTTTCCACAGGGAATGTCAGAAAATAACACAGCACGGAGCCCGCAGACTAAGGAGGAAACTGTCCTGCGTGTAGTAAGTTGTTTTATTCAAGGGCCAACACATGGGAAACAAAACTAAAAGGTATGAGCACTATAAACATCAAAGCCACATGAGCTGCCACTTCTCACCCATTAGGATGGCTGCTGTCAGAAATAGTGGAAAATAATTTTGTGCACGGAAAGTTAAAGATTCAATGTTGTAGTGAAAAACTGACAATATGTGAAATATGAATAAATAATTCAGGGCAAAAAATAGGTAAAGGGGGCATTTTGTGTTGACGAAATGCGTAATTACGAGTAAAGACCCAACATGAATGAGTCTCTGTGGTCTGACTCACAGTATCAAGAAAAACCTGTTACTGAAATGAAAATGGATTTCATAAGTTTTAACTCAGTCTGTTTGAACCTAGTTAATAAAATAAATAGATTTAAACCTGAACATTTCAAAGGATACAACTCCAAGTTTCCAAGGACACTGACAAAGGACGAACCACCAACTTAATCACACAGAAAACTTTGACGTATGTTTATGGCTACATTCTCCTGATCCCAAGAAATAAAAGCTAAAAGTAAAAATTTAAACCAAAAGGAAGGCAACACTAACTAAATTAAAACAAAAAAACATGACAGTTGCACCAGAAATAACTGCCGGTCTACAGAAAACAACTGAGAAACACAGTGACAGTCTGGTCACACCGGCAGGCAATTCTCAGTACCCCTCCATTAACGCAGTACTTTCACATTCCACCAACATATCTGCTACTCAAGATTAACTCTGACAAATTACATTTTTAAATCAATAAACACGTTTAAGATCTCAGTATTTCCAGGTCTTTACTAGAAGTCTATTTGCTTGTAAAATTGTTTCAAATAATCCTGCTTATGCTCATGATGAATTAAGTGTGAATCAGTCTTGCAATTTTCACTACTTCCGTCATTTCTTCCATGTCAAATAAAAGTGTTCTTTAAGAAAAAAAAAGCTTTAAAAAAAGGGTTGAGGCCCTGGCTGGTGTAGCTCAGTGGACTGAGCGCAGGCCTGCGAACCAAAAGATAACGGTTTGATTCCCAGTCAGGGCACACGCCTGGGTTGCAGTCCAGTTCCCAGCAGGGGCCAGTTCCCAGCATGGGACACACCAGAAGCAAACCACAAACCGAGCTGTGGCGTTCCAGACGTGACCACTGTCAGCACGACTGGGAAAGATCTGGAAATCTGTACATCCAGGTATTCGATGTCTGAACTAGCAACAGCAGATTTATTATTCTGCTTCCTTAATCACAGAACACAATTATTACTTCCATCTTTCTTTTTAAACTTGGCAAAAGTAAAGACAATAAGAAATTCTACTTAACTATTTCTTTTTATTAATATATAGCCAAAATACTGAGATGTTTCCTGAGGCATTTATAAGTAAAAGTAAATCAAATATAATTTCAAACAGTACTGTTTTATTTAACATTTCTAACATACTGATTGGCACTTATACAACAGATTTAACCTTTAAAGTAAAAATAATTCAGTGAATCACAAAAGATTAGCAGCCAAAGATTAAAAGTGAATTACTAACTTTTACAGATGAATGTTCTGGCCAAGAAAATTGAAGTTAATTTAAGAAGCAACTGATGAAACAGTCTTCACACATCTGAGGAAAAAGCTACTTTTTGAAAACCTTCAGTGTGTGAAAATCTGTAAGTGCCATAAAACAGCGGGGCAACCGTAAAGACTGCAGCAAAACTAAGATTAAGAACTGCCTCCCTGTGTCACAGATAAAGAAACTGCAGGACTCACACAATGTACTATGTCAACCAAAAACATTTCAATGGCTCCTCTTTTCAAGAAACTCTGTTCTTAAAACAAAGTTTAGGGTTTTTACCCGTGAGTATTAGTGTTAAGAGAACATCAGTACCGCGTTTATTTTTCACGCTCTCACCTCTAGTCACAAGGAGTTCAGGCAGCACGTGACAAAGGTTAACGAAACACAGACAGACCCAGGTCACAACAACATACAGAGAAAACACTTCGATAACCATGTAAGTCAATAAGTACTCCTATGACTAATAAATTTTGCTTCTACTTCTCTAACGACGCAAGAAAAACAGGCTGTTGCTAATTTACATGAAAAAAAATAGAACACCAGTATTTCAAAAAAAAATCAAGGTTGATGAATAATTTCAAAATAAAATATATAAAATGACAAATAACTGATATATATTGAAGTGTCAAAGAGGATATGATTTATAACTGCATGGAGACATACTCTGGTAGTTCACAGATGTCTTAAATAATCATTTACAATATAACATTCCTAGAAATCTTGTACATGTGTTGATTACTCATGCAAATATTAATAAAAATATTCCTTTCAAAAAAAACAAAACATAATGTCATCTTTTCCAAAAAATATTTTTTTCCAAAAAATATTTTCCCTACTGAAATGCAAAAAACGAGGCATCCGGCAATAACATGAACTAATGAATGCGACAATATGGGAATATCTCAAAGGAAACACACTAAAGAAAACAATGAGACAAAAAGGCACACAATGCATTCATTCGGACCAAATTCTAAACAACGCAAGCTAATCTCGATCACAGGTGTGTCTGATGCTGAGAATTCTACCACTGAACCCCACACGTAGTGTATCTGCACGTTGAAATGTACCAACAAACTTTAAGAAACATGTGCAGCCTATTACATGTCAATTATATTCCAATAAATCTGTTAAAATCCACATAAACACATTCACACATATACATAAAAAAAGATAAGAAATGTGCAAGATCTACATGAAGAAAATACTCCTAAAAGACAAAAATGTAGACTTCAAGAACTGGAAAGATACAGCACATTTTGCCAAGGTGTAAAGAAAATCTTTCTAAACTTTGATTCAAAATACAGAACCAAGTTTCATTTTGTTTTGTTTTTAAAAATGAAAGAAGCTGATGAATCCAGTTACATAAAAATAAATAAATATCATTAGGAGAGTTAAAAAAGAAAAACAAATAGGGGAAAAATTGCAACTTGTTTCAGAAAGCCAATGTCCTTAATATATAAAGAGTTCTTAGAATCAATAAAAGAACAAAAGACTACTCAATGACCCCAAACAAAAATGGATAAAGGTTTGGACAGTTTACAAGAAAAGAAATGACAGTGGCTCTTAAAATTACAGAAAGATGTTCAACTCTACTCAGAGAAAATTATAAATTAACACTACCTTGACATACCACATTTCACTTATCACAATGGCAAAAATCTAAGGTTTGGCTATAAATCCTACTGCTGAGCCTGTAGGTGAAACCACATCCTAACCAACCGCCAGTAAATGGCTGCAACAGTAAAGCTGTCTAGGATAATGTGACAGTATCTACAATTAAGACTACATTCTAATACAGCAATCCCACTTGACAAAAATCTACTCTAGAGACACACTTGTAGAAGCAGGAAATGATTTATGCACATGGTTCACTTCATGACTGATAGCAGCAATAATGTCCAGCACCAGGAGACTGAGTGATAAGCACCAACGAAGCCCCTGGAGCTTAAAGAACAGATAAAAATCTCCACGTACCACACAGAATAATCTCTCCATGCACAGGGGATACAGTTTCAATTGTGAGAAGAGTGTGTAAAATCGTATAGAATATATTACCTTTTATTTAAGATGCGGGAGACAGAATAAAGCTCTACATACTTACCTGCTTACATTGCAAAAACTAAAATAAAAATGGAAAAAATAAATCAGAGAACAAAAAGGCAGAGGGAGATCTCTGAGTTAATTTTATGAAGAGAAAACTATGCCCCAAAGTGAAAACCAACTAACAAATCTAACTGTACATTGTGTTGTTAACAGAAAAAAGAATTCTTTCAAGAGACTTTAAGGCACAGTACTGTGACTCTATCTGATTAGTGAGAATGAGTCTGAGTGAAAAAGAACTGCAGGGAAATCCTGCACTTTATTCGTCATGGACCACGGTGATACGAACATTGCAATCTGAAATCAATGTGAGCTGAAGGTAACGCTGAAAAGCAATGATGTTGACACCGTTAAAAACTAAGACTCTGTGAGTGACAAGTACAAGCGAAAATAGGTAAGTTTAAAACCATAGAAACAAATCTGAACTTATGATTTTTAAAAAATATATTATTTCCTAGTTCTGTTACTAAAAGAGAAGAACGATATTCCTGTACTAGAAGCAGCCCTGGTGGCCTGTTTCCGCCTTGACATTCACCGCTCCTCTGTGACAGGTGACCAGAATCTCTGGAGAAACAGCCTGTATGTAACAACACGCAAAGCAAGCCTGGGACACACTGTGTCTGAGAGAGAGAATGCTTTTGAAGACCAATGGAACAAAAGATACCAGCTTAAAAGGACCGAAATAAAGTAAGATGCAAGGCTACTACTCGTAGCCCAAGGAAATCACTGATTCTCACCATATCTATAGCAAAGAGGCTGCTGTCGTCCCAGATGTCTGTTGAAATTGCTTCACCAATAAGTATCAAATCCTCTGCAAGCAACTCCAGAACTCTTATTAGCATCTGTCCACTACCTACAAAAATGACCAGGAGAGAAATAATAAGAAAGACAGTTAACTTTCAAATAAACAACTGAATGCCATATTGCTCAATCCTCTAGTTAGTCATACCCACAAATTCCTATTTCTCTTTTGATATTGCTTTCAGAATTGTAGAAAGAGATAAATATGGAAGTCACAATCTACCCCTGCCATTAGAGTTCTGTTCTGATCACAGCGTTATTTTACTACAACAAATTGAATGTACTCGTAAGTGGGAGAGAGACTCAAGAGTAGCAACAATTTAAGTATCATGAGACAGACTAAAATGATTTTTCGACTTCAGAGACCATCCACGCTGCACGCAGCATGCGACAGAGCACCAGGCTGGTTCAGAAAATGTGTTCTGAGAGTTTCACGTTCAGGACTAGCAGGCCTGCACCCCGTCAGGAACTCCTCCCCACACAGCAGGGGCCTGGAGAGCTTCACTTGGACAAGAGCAGCTGAGGGGCAAAGGTCCACGCAGGTCCTGGCTGGAGAGGTCTGCAGAAATTGCACCTGGAATGTGTTCTCCAGCCGCTGCTCACCCTAAACCCTGCTGTGGGAGCCACGCCACCTAGTGTGACATCCCTTCTCCAGAGAGACAGGGTAACGAAGGAACGCCAGGACCCGGCACTCTGAGTGAGGGGGGCATTGCATGAAGACCTTCCTGCCCGCCTACCAGAGGTCCATTTCAGATGAGTGCAGAACAGACCACCAGATCCTAAGAGTCTACATTAAGCATGTCATTAGAACAGCTGGAGAAAGTGCTTTCAGAAATCTCGATAATACTGAACAATTATAAATTATGCAATAATCTACCACAAAAGGGCAAAAGAACATTTAGAAATTTTTATATACCATGATACAGCTTTGTAATTATCAATCTGACTTTTCACAGCAAATTAAGAAAAGGTTAAATACGAAATCATTAAATCTAAAACTGTTCTTCTCCATTTACCATGCAAACATATACACTTTATAATGCCAGAGTTCAGATTTTCCTTCACCGCATTATTAGTACATGAATTAGTATGTACTCCTAAGTCCCAGAAGCAGAGTTACTCAGTCAGAAGGTCGGGATAACATAAAAATGTTAATGCTTTCCAGATAAATCTCTGCCTCCTGCTTTCCTCCCCATCACCCTCAAGCAGGCAAAAAACAGGCACAGGCCTTAAAGAACCAACCTCTTTGTCACTCAGCCAGCATAAATGAAAAAAGGCAAAATTCATTTAGCTTGCAGTAATATCTCAACAAGTTCATCAACTACTGAATGCATCGATTTATTGAATAAAACTCATCACTTCCACCAGATCAAGTCTCTGTCCGCAGCTGTCGGGCTCTGGACAGCCCCTAAACCGAAGAGGGCGGGGACGGAGAGCACGCGATTCTGCGTGGAGAGCCAGCCCGGAGCCGGCCAGCCTGTGCCACGGGCATCATTCCGTCCCTGGTCACTCGCATCACAACTATGCACGCCACACTCCGCTACTGAGACTGCACTAGTACTTTCAAAAAAATGTAACCTGTTCGCGTGTTTTGAGTTTCGTTGTTTGTTTGGTTTCTTAGGAAAAACTCCAGCAAAGGTAAGAAGCCAGCTGTAGGTGTGTTTCTAACATGTTTCAGAGGTGCTCTAACAACCAAATGTAAAGAATGAAGTGAGGGCAACTCGGGAAGTTTCTAAGGAGCAAACCGGCGGTCTTCCATTCCGGTCTGTTCAGCGGCAGGTGCACGACTTCCGCACCCACCGAGGGCTGCTCCGCGCCACCCACGGTTAATTACATGGATTAATGAAGGCCGCACTGGGATCCTGGGAATGTCTCCCCCAAAGGATAAGTAACTCTGATTCTCAAGGTCCTAACACAGACGGTGAGAAGGGAAAAACAAGAGTCCCAGAGAACACACGAAACACACACCGGTTACACGAGCACCACCCCCAAGGGCGAGACCGCGCACCTGAGCGCAGCAGCGGCGCGGCGGCCTCCAGCACGCAGACGCAGAACTGCGGCAGGCTCAGCTGCTGGAAGCGCAGGCGCAGCGGGTCCTCGGCCTCCAGCTCCGGCAGCTCCAGCGGCACCGCAGCGGCGTCCAGAGGCGAAGGCAGGGAGATCCTGGAGTGCGCGTGCGCATGGCTGCTGCTCCCGCTGTGGAAGAAACGGGAGCGTCCTTGAGGACCGGGCGGCCCACGCAGAGGCCCACGGCGTGCCTGCCGCCTGGTGCAGTGCAGGCCTCAGAGTGGACATCACTCTAAGGCTTCACGTACCCATTCGGGTTGGGTTTGTAGAGACCATGATAAGTTTATGAGAGTAAATTCCATCCAGATGGCTCAAAATTGTAAAGGAAACCAAAATGCCTTTACAGTTTGCTTTCAAACTGATGTTCCAGAAATGTGTCAAGTCTTACAGCAGCAATCAACATCATGCACTTGTTGACCCATTCATTCGCTTGTTAAGGAACGCAAGCAGATTCACTGCAAAGTTCTCTGAAGTCAACTACAAAGACAAAACTAAATGGTTCATACGGTGGCCTGGGTATTTCGTGATTTCCACCAAATGTGTGTTCTAAGTAGGCCAATGTTAACAACTGAGAAGTACTAAAAGATGCCAATAAAGAATGAGAAATGGATTACTTAGTACATTCAACATCACAAAATGATTTTGAAAATATACCAAAAGATGGAATATCCCACCTTTGTTGGCTTTCTTCATAAAAAAATTCTTACCTGTCTATAAATGGTACAGTAGGGACAAAAGTGTATAAGAGGCTGGAACCTACATTTGCAAACACCCTACAACCAGACTTTTGATGTCATCCACAGCAAAGCTGTCACGGGGGTGCACTAACGCCACCAAACACGCAGACTCCCAAAGGTTGATACACATTTTGTCTGCCTTCCATTTCAATATCCCAAGCATCCCCAGCTCCTCTCAAACTCAGAAAGGCCCGACGAAGCAGACACTCAGGAGCAGGAAGCAGACACTCAGGAGTGGGAAGCTGCCAGAAGCAGCGCTCTAGACGCAGCTCAGAGAGGGAGGCAGGAGGCTTCCTGGGGCTGAACAGACAGAACTCCGTGAGCAGCACCGACCGCCGGAGACCGGAGCGCAGGCTCTCCAATCACGCTGCCCAGACCCCCCCTTGCTCCTCACACACTGCACGAACTGGAGTGTGCAGCCCTGCCAACCTCGGGCTTTTCTGTAAAACTGTAACGACAGTAACGCCAACCCCCTCACAGGATTACTATGAGGACGGCTAAAGGAGACAAAAAGCAGGGCGGCACCCGGCACAGCGCCAAGCATACTGCAACACGACTCAAGGTCAGTAGTGGTTGCAGTGTCATGAGAACACTATCAAGCCAACAGAAACGTGCTCACCTAACTGTGCATTTATTAGAATGATACCAGAGATTCATGTTTTTAAGATGCTTGCAGCCTATGGATGAGGTAACAAAATAACACCATGTGACCTGGCTGGTGTGGTTCAGTGGACTGACTGCCAGCCTATGAACCAAAGGGTTGCCAGTTCAATACCCAGTCAGGGCACATGCCTGGGTTGCAGGTCAGGTCCCCAGTACAGGGCACATAAGAGGCAACCACACACTGATGTATCTCTCCCTCTCTTTCTCCTTCCCTTCCCCCCTGCCTAAATATAAATAAAATAAGTAAAGTCTTAAAAAAATATATCACACCAACACCTTTAAGAAAGCTTGATATATAAAAATCAGTATTTACACAAACAAGTAAAAGACCACACATGTACACCTTCAAGGAGTCTTTGTTTTACAGATTATCCAATCAGGTACTTGAATAGGAAACACTGTTGCATTTAAATTACACTTACAAAAATGGGTTTAAAAATACTATCAAAATGTATTTAAACCTATAATGTTAAACTAGATCACATTCCATTTGGGGCTGGTAAAAATAGTGGGTTGGAACTATCATTCTTTTTCTAATGAAATACAAAGAAAGAGAAAATATAGTTCGCTGTGTAGCATATGGAATCAGAGTACTATTTTGTGAACATTTTCTTGTAGTGGATAAACACACACGCACACACATACACAGAGTAAAACCTGCACCCTGAGCACAGAGTTACAATATAACATTTATTTCCTGCTGTGGGCCATGGTCAAAAGAGCATGTGAGTCACTGGTTTAACACAAGACTGGCCCTGGTGGTATGTCTGAAGCGAGAAGGCAGAGAAAAAAGAAGGAGCTTCCTCAGAACCTGAAACACACACCCGGGTCACCTGGCCTGTCCGAGCTCACCTGGATGACGCTGCGTCCCAGTCCTGGCCGTCCCCTCGGGGCCGCAGTCCCGTGCGTCCGACCACAGAGGGCCGGGGGCTGCTGCTTCCCGGAGAAGGATTCTGAGAATGATGAGTAACCCTTACTTCCGGGCAGTAAGACAAAGAAGAATTTTGGGAAACTGTGTCTGGGGGCAAAAAGAAAAAGAAAATTATCCCTCAGTAGAGCCAGATTACTGATTATGTAGTATTTCTAACTAAATTAAGTTGGTAGAAATGCTTCTAAAAGGGTAAAGATAAAAATAAAGGTCAGCTTTTCCTGCCAGTATTCACTGAGCACATTGGGGTTTCTACCTCACCTGATTACAGACACAACCTTCTAGCCAACGTCACTCACCTCTAGCATTAGAGACCGCCAAGGCTGAGCACCACATCATGCATGCCCCTGCTTAACACTCTCCAGGAACCCCCACCTCAAACCATATGCAAAAGTTAACTCAAAATGAGTCAATAACCTAAATATGAGAGTTAAAATCATAAAGCTACGAGGGAAATACAGGGATAAATCTTCATGACCTTGGATTTGGCAATGGGTTCTTAGATATGACACAAAAGTACAACCAACCAAAGTAAACGTGAACTGGACTCCATCTACATTACAAACTCCCTTGCATCAGAGGAAATTATGAAGAAAGTGACAACGTACAGAACGGGAGAAAGCATTGCAAACAGAACCCTTGATGAGAATTTAATCTCCAAGATACATAAAAACCTCTTAGATGCAACAATAAAAACTAAATAAAAACCTAATTTAAAAATGGGCTGTGGACTTTAATAAACATTTCTCCGCACACATCTACGTGTCTGAAACCAGTTTGCTTCTGCCTGTCCCAGCCGTATAAAATGTAAGCTCAGAGGCTGAACCTCATCCCAGTTTTGTTCAGTTGTACCCCCATCGGAGACTAGAATATTGGTTGGTATATAGTAGGTGGACTATAAATATTTACTTAATTAATGGGCAAATCTTCAGAGATATACACTATTCCTACCGACACTGTAACTCTTTTTGTGATGAAGTATGAGCTACTCAGAGTCTCACTAAGATCAGTCATCTGCCAGAGGCTGTATTTCAAGGGCAGTAACAGGAAACCCCACACCTCTGAGATTTGTAATAAAGCTAATCAAAGAACAAATATTCAAATGGCTGAGAATCAGTGAAACTCTCAACAAAACAGGTTATCTGGGACGCACAATCACCAATCCCCGTAAGGTGATGTTCGACTTTCAACGCCTGTTGCGTAAGTGCGTGCACAGAAACCCTCAAGTGTGAACGGTTTTGACAAGGCCAGCTTGTCCTCTATTTGTCCAGTAGGTGGTGCTTTTCCATGAAAAGTCAGGCACTGGGATCATATAATACTCTGACATCACAAATTGCATAAAAATCATTGCCATAAAATAAAAATTGATATTTTTCAACCAAACAATTTATTACATATAATTGCAAAAAACGCCCAAAGCCCCACGTGAATAGCTGGACTGAGAATTTCGGTGCCTAGCTTCCAACAACACGGACGAAAAAAGAGGCACACCTTGCAAAGGTCTCATAAAAACAGCATTGGCTCATGCGTGGTTGTGACGCGCAGCTCGTTTTCCACGGCTGTCATCTCACTACGCTGAGGAATGGGGAGTCTGCCCGCCAACACAGCAAGCCCCCACGGAAGGCACGGCCGGCGCATGAAAACATGACAATAAATACCCTGTTTGCTGGAGAAAAAGCCCGGGTCACGGTGGAAGTGCAGTCTGCTTCGTAAAGACACACACAGCTGCTGCAGGCAGGACAGCGACTGCAGCGCCAGGCGGGGCGCGGTCCCGGCGCCGAAGGCCAGCTTCAGCAGGGCGAGGAGGCTCTGAAATGAAGAAGAGCCGTGAAAACCACCACGGAACCAGGTGAGGCGCATCAAAGGACGTGGAGCTGAGGACGGTTAAGTGAATCGCCAAAGGATAGGTAAGTTGCTGGGTATTTATAAGACAAGCAACAGGAATGGGCAAAGGTGATTTAGCACAATGCAAGAAAACGGGCCAAAACTAGAGAAAACATGAGAACAGTCAGCGTTGGTCACACTCAGAATCAGTTAGCTGAGCACCTTCGGAGAGAACACAGGCATCGTTCGCATCGGGGACATCAAGTTTCACGGTACTTTTTAAAAATGGCACAAGGTTTCCCCATCTCAAAACCTAAACCACTGTGTCACATTCTGGTAATTAACGCCTCTTCTTCTGCTGTCACTGGACAGCAGCCACACTACGCGTTCACCAGTGGGTGCACAGGAGCGGTCTTCCGCACTGTGAGCGCGGAGTGAGGACGCCCGGGCACTACCAGAGCACACGAGACGGCGGACCCGCCCCACCCCCAGCCCTGGACCCCACGCCCCACCGTACAAGCAACGGAGCAGACTGCAAAGAACCCAGCTCTGCCGCTCCCACAGCGGCCAGCACTGTGCCTGACACACAGCACACAATCAGGGAGGGAGGTGCCATTCTCAGTGTTCCTAAGGGCTACTGCTGCCCCCTCTCGGTTTCCAAAGTCTAGTCATCACTGCAGGTGACCCATAAATGGCAAACTCAGGGTGGCCACAGACTGCACATGTCAAATGAGACTTCCTCCTATTAGAAGAACTACCACTACTGAAATAAGTCAGACTAAAGGGTTTAAGTAACCAAACACCCTACTGTTTACATATGGGAGTGCACATTTCCTTCCCAAGGACACCGAGGTTGCAAAATTCATTTCACTGCAACAAGTTCTCTATTTCCAAATCCAGAACAATGAAAGAGGATACACACCTGAACGATCTTCGGCCTTTGGAGGAAAATCTCAGCAGGAAAGTCTTGCATGATGACATCCTTCAACAGCTCACAGGTGTTCCAGATCAAAGTGTGGTTACTGCTCCTTAAAGAGCTACAAAGTAGGGCAGTATGTATCTTTAAAAGGTGTTTACCTGCACCAGACTCTGAGTAACCTACTGGTAAATGACTCCACTCACACCCTTCAGGTCTCAGCTGAGGCATCTCTCCCCTGAGCAGTGAACAACCCTGGGTAGGTGCTTCTCCCACCACCCTGCACTGTCCCGGTCACATGGTGACCACATGGTCACTCCGTGTCCCCCACCAGACCCTCCTCTAGACTGCATGCCTGGATTATCACTGTGCCACAAAATGCGATCAGTGAGGTCGAAGGGAACAGACTGCAAAGACATCTGTCGTGTGAACTAAGCAATAAGACAGAAAAAATAACAGTACCCATGGAGTTAAATTCCAGGAATCAGACCCCTTCCTGTTCTTCCCCACCCGAGGTGAATCGAGCTGGGATACCCCTGAACTTCCCAGACTGCATCTGCCCTCCGGGGGACGCAGGTGGCCCACCCCCCCTTCTCTCAGCCCGGCCCCAGCGCCCACCTCTCTCCCTCAGGGGCAGACCCAGAACTGACGGGTCGCGTCGGCCCTGCCTCTCTCCAAGTGCATTATCAAACACCACTTAGCAGCATCCTCCTCCCTCCAGCCCTCATGCTAAGAAGTTGGTCTTTATTTTCCATATTTTCTGCTGCCCCCCCCAAAAGACAGAGCATTTGTTGTAGAATTTATAGAAATTAAAGTTCTAGCAAAATAAGGAAACTAGAAATTAAGACACTCTCCAAACTTCTATAAATCAGCTACCTACTGTGGGGTGCAATGACCAATCAACATCCACTACGTAAAATCGCAAAAATCGCTGGTCCCCACCCTTATCACGAAGCGCATGTTCTAAAATATACCGCCTGCTAAGAAAACTTTGAGTGCGCTTAGTTTTTCCACTTTGTTACCCAAAGGCACAGCCACAACAGTGGTCAGGGAGAGGTGACCAAGGCGCTTTGGTCAGCTTCCACCTGCCCAAAGGCTTGCTTTCGGAAATGCTGGAAACCACCATCCACTCCCGTGACTCCATTCACAGCCACCTAGTAGCTCTGTCTTCCTGCTGAATGTGCAGGGGGGCACTGCCAGGTACAGCAGCTGGCGACGACCCGAGCCCACCAGGCAGCGTTGGGCACCGTACCTCTCGTTAGAGGAGAGAACATGTCTGTCCGTGGTGGTCAGGGGCAGCCAAGGGAACGTCGTGCACTTGAAGCACTTCGCGGTCGGAGTCACTGGTAACGGAAAAGCAAAGCTGAAGCCACCAGAGAAGACAGTGTTGCACATTCCCCTTTAAAGTAAGTCCCCAAATAGAGTCACATACACAGTAACCTAAAACATACCGAACAGGGTCAGCTGCAAACCCTTTCCCTCACAGGACAAATAACTGAGCTCTCCTTTTGAAATTTAAACAGAACTCACATGCTATTATTACAAGAAGAGCATTAAACACAAACCCTTATCAAATGATATTTACTTTCAATTACGTTCTCCATTTACTGGCTGACCAGAACACAGGGCTTCAATTTAACATGAAACGACCTGCCATTGGGAGATCTGTAATTATAGAAACCAAAAACGATAAAACATAATCACAGACTATACTTAACGTCATTTTCAAAAATCCTGAATGGTGTTAGATGCTTAAACTTCTTTGAAGATGAAGACCATAAGGCTGAAGATCAAGTATCTTCAACCTCAAAGAAGATTAAAAGAAATCTGAAAAACCAACACGATTTTGAACTTCCACTCTTCACATTATTTTAACAGGTTCCCCCCAGGTTTACTGCGACGTCACTGACCTATGCGTAACACTGTGTGAGTTTAAGACATAAAACATGATGATCTGATACCCAGGTGCTGCAAAACGATTCCCGCAGCAGCGCAGGTAAACTTCTCCAACCTCTCACAGAATTACAATTTTTTTCTAATGGTGGCAACGTTAAAGATCTACACTCTTAACTCTTTAACGTTAAGATCTTATATTGCAGAGATTAAAGGGCACACTGAGAAATCCCTTCCGAATGATAAACAGTCCTGCCAAACACTCTGAGAAGAGCATGGAATCGCTCAGTTGAGTTAATTATTTCCCAAATTAGAGCATGGATGCTTCTTCCAGCAATGCTAACAGAGAGGCGAGGTTTGCTTCCCAAGAGCGAGCGGTGAGCGGAGGGAAGGACAGGCTTACACTGCCATGTAAAAGTGCGCCCTAAAGCAGCCAGACCACCAACCCACAAGCTGCAACTCACATTTGAAAGCACCACCACCTGCAGGGTCCTCCTTGTCTTCGACGGTTCCGGCTCCAACGCCACGAGCCCAGCCCTGGGGACCTCGCTCCCCCCAGACACCTCTCACGGACACTCAGGTGAGCCTCAGCCACCACCCAGAGAACGACCACCTCAACACCAAAGCTCCCTACCAGCCTCACGAATTTCTCCAGAAAGGAAAGATACAGTATTTTTGCAGCTGAACAAGTTTTCTGTTTTTTCTTACGCTATTATTTCACCTGAGAGTTTTTAAGGAATCTTTTTAATGACAAGGGGCACCCAAGTGAAGTTAAATAGCATCCCCAACCTCAGCAATTATATCCTTAAACACACATTTTTTTCAACTACACAGGCAGGAAAGTATAAAAAATGTCTTTACTTACAACTCCTAACCGCCAGGGGGACAAGGGACAAAGGTCTCCTCCTTACCGGGCCTCAGTGACCCCATCAGAAAATGGGGACACTAACGTCCATCTCACCAGGCTCCGTGGGGACTCATTACTCAAAGAGTGTGCTCTGAGTACTTAATGCATTTTTGGCATCATTCTGCACATGGGGCTAAGCCATGTTTGCAGCTATTACTAACCTTATCATTACAAAAACAAGAAAGAGATATATAACTTCCGATCAGGACACGTGTTAGGAAGAAAACTAAACACAGAAAGTGACCACCGGCTCAGGTCCCCAGAAAGGCCTCTTTAAGGAGGTGGCGTGTGAGCAGAGACCAGACACAGCCAGACATGCAAAGACCTGGATGAGAAGTCTAAATCGGACTCCAGAGTCAGCTGGGTGTTGGGACAAAGGTGAAGAGACAGAGGTGACGCTGAGTCCTGGCCCCGAGTGACTGGGTGGGGGGCACACTGCACAGTGTGCCACCAGCGGGAGTGAGATGAGATGTGCGGGGGCACCGCACAGCCCGACGCAGGACTTGCGTTCCGTGAGCACTAAGCACTGCTGCTGCCGTTACGTTACCACCTGCCTGTTTATCTGCTCAGGTGCAGGTAGGATATCAGACAGTTTTACCAGTTGGACTCCACATCCTAGACTAATCTGAGGGAACTGAACCACTCGATTGGTACTGAAACATCATGTGGGAACACACTGTGTCCTCACGACAGTGAGGGAAGTACATTAGTTCCCGATTTTCCCGGAGAGCAGGGTCTGCCTCCTGTGTGCACTCACCCACGGCTCCGGGCAGCCCGTCCGTCTGCTGGAAATGGCTTTTGTCTGGAGGAAAATATCCTGTTAAGATTTCAGGTGGTTGTGGCAATTCTGAAAAGAAAACACAAATATTATTGCATGTGTTATTACTGACTCATTATTTGCTAAAAATGAAAGTTACTTTTTTCAAAATGAATGTTTTCTTTTGAGTTTTTGAGTCATTTTAAAAACTAGAAAAATAATCCAGTCTTTTTTCCTCTGAATAGTTTGTCTTCCTAAAGAGGAAAAAAATGTGAATTTCATATTGGGGGCTTTTTCTTCCCTCTCTCTTTCACTGTTAAGTAAATTATTTGTTAGAAGGAAAATACCCACAAGGTACAACAAGAATCTGTTTTAAGGTGTTCATTCAAGGACTGTCTGTCTCTGCTTCTAAGCCCACCTCCCCCCTCCCTTCTGCTCCAGTTACACAGTTCCTGGTCACAGCAATTGACATCAATGTCGTCTTTTAAAAGTTGTCCAAGTCAGAAGTCAAGCACCATTTTTTGATGCTTTCACAATTCTATCACACGTGATTACATGTTTAGCAGTACAGAGACAACGACATGGAGAATGACAAAAGGACTAAAACTAAATTTTCTAATTCTCTGTTTGAAGGGTTCACACCAGCAGTTCTTAATACAGGTGACTAGAAATGAGAGCCTTAGACCACACCTCTAACCTCACCTGTGAAGAACTAGCTTGAAAATTCACGATTTAACGTTCTACTTTATTTGTTATGGCTTAGACAGAAATTGTGAAATGTGTTGCTAAACACCACAGTCATGCAAGATGTCAATAAATGGCACCACCAGAGTTGTTGTTAATGGTGGTACCAACAGGCGTGGCAGCAGCAACACAGCACAGACACAGAGGGAAGTACCGTCTGACAGGGTAAGCAAGCAAGAACACTTCTTACACTTCCACACTCATCACATCAACTGCATGGGCCTTTTTCTCCCTTCAAATCAATTCAAATGCTTCCCAAACACAAGGCACCCTGTTGGGCATAAAACCAGAACACAGCTGGAGCAGCCAACAACTCTGCGCCTAACAGACGCCACGCCCAACAGATGCCACGCCCCCGCCGGAGCTCCTCCCAGGCATCGTCTCATTCAATCCTCATGACAATCTTACAGATGTTCTTTCTTACTGCCCCGACTTGGGATAAGAAAACTAAAACCTGGAGGAGTACTTAAGTGCCTTAGCCAAGGTCACACAACTAATGGCACAACTGAGACTTAAATCCATGTCTCTTTGACTCCAATTTTATCCATCATCATTTTGATTGGACCCCGTAAAAAAAATCATGAGCTAGGGCAGATACCCTCCTTGAAGAACAGTCCAAAAATGCAAGTCCAAAACACTGAGAACAATACCTCATACACGGTAATGAGTGCTCAAGGAAGATGAGTGTTATTATTGTTCAAGGAGTAATCTGTCAAACTGGTCTCACAAAGAGAAACTCACTACACCTCTTCGGCCCTTTTACCAAAAAAGCAATGAATACAAATGTATCCTCCTCTGAACAACAGTAGGGAAGGGACAAAAGGTCAAGCTCAATTAGTCAATACAAGAAAAATAAATTGTTTTTTTTTTAAATCTAAGGTTCCTTTCCTTAGAATTAACCATTAGAACCAATATATTTGTATTTTAACCAAAGGCATCAGAATGATTCCAAAGAGTTACCCGTTTGAATGGTCTGGAAAGAGGCAGAACACAGCGCAGGAACGTCTGAAGGAAGGATAAAAAGTCCATCCAGAATGCCATCGATTTCAGCCTGCAGACTGGGCTCCACATCAGCACGAAGTTTGGACAAGAAGTCCACTGCGCCGAGGTCAACCAAATGCTGGACGGCTGCGGGAAACTGAAGGAAGAAGAGAGTCATGACATTAAATAGCAACATTTTGGGACATTACCTTACAGCACTTTAATATACCAGACGTTCCTTCTTTAAAAATTAGATCATGCCCTGACAGACCCAAAAGTAAAGAACTTCCATAAATAGGACACAGATTTATAAAAACATAAAACGTTTAATAACAGCTCTGAAAAACCCAGACTAAACACCAGAAATGCACACCATCAATTCCTATACTTTCATTTATCAGAAGAAACACTTCTGTCCACTGACATGCACCCTATCGCCTCCGACCTCCAACCAGCCAAAATAATAATCACCCACAACTGCACACCGATTCAGTTTTGAAAAGTTAAACTTGCACCTTGACATCTGACTCTGGCTACTAACCAGTCTCAAGATACAGTGAGGAACATAAATCTAAAAAACAGATATGGAGAAAAACAACTTAACACACTTGTCAATTAACCATGGTCTGTAATATTACCTTTAAATGTGTCCTGTTTCACACAGACACGTCCGATTTTTAACATGCAAATAACAGACCAGACGGAAAAACAGAATGACAACTATTAACCTCCCTGGGTGACTTCCAAAAACCAGAACCTAACAGAACTCAGATCTGGGTCCCTTAAGAGCACAACGTGAGGTTTAACATCACAAACCAGAGAAAAGGAAGACTAGAACCGTATACCCAAATGAGTTCAAATTCAACGTCTTTTGAAGAAGTTGTTTTTCAAAAGCTGGTAAAAGTGACTTTTCCAGCAGTGCCGCGATGAGATGACTAAGACACACTCTCTCCTGGGTCCCTGTGTCAGGATGATCGTACCTTGACCAGCGTGCTCAGCAAGCCAAGCACCTCTGCTTGCAGGGGAACCGACGGGAAGTTGAACCACTGCAGCAGGTGCACGAACAGCAGTCGGTCTTGCGCCAGGTCCGCGCCGCCCACCAGGTTGAGCTCTACCTTGCTGAGAATGGTGCGGAGCGCGCGCTCTCGGATCTCTGCCAGCTGGTGACCTGCGGAGGAAACGCCGCTCTCAGCCATGCCCGACACCCTGGAATCGCCCACCCAGAACCTGCCCGAAGACCGTGATTACGCGGGGCCGAGGGCAGGGGTCAGCGGGAGTCAGGGGGACAGAGAAAACCAATGTTTTCCACCAGCGGGGCCGTGCACGGCGGCACCTACTCAAAGTCCGACAGGGACCCCCGGGGGCTGCCCTGGACAAGCCAGGACCAGAAAGAAAGGACACGGCCATTCTCAACACATGGCCACGCCGGGAGGGCGAATCCAGCGAGGGGCAGCTCAGACTATTACCGAGTTTCCTGATGAGCCCAGTCAACACCATCCTGTCCCGCTCAATCAGCAACCACGGGAGAATTAAACTGCCGCGCCACAGCGTCCGGCCACGATGATGGTCCCCCCGGAAACTCGGGCAGTGTGACTGCAGGTTCCGCCACGCCGGGGTGAACCACCCGACCTGTGAGAGGCATTCCGTGGGCTGTTCCCGGCCCCCGTGCGCCTGGAGAAGCTTACGGTTTTTCTGTGATTACCACCACGCAGTTCCTAGACAACCATCTCTGAAGCAGGAACGGGAAAGATTGAGGAGGCGAGCAGAAGTGGAACCTGCTTTGGCCGCCGTGCACGTCGGGAGTTGTAGTCTCAGCCCCGTTGTGCTCCTTTCCCGGGATTCCGGGCCCGCCACTGCGCCCGCCAGCGTGGGGTTCCCGCGTCGGAGCGCGCGCTCCAGGCGGAAGCCCGGCTCCGCCACGCACCGTCGCTCTGCATCCTCGCTCTGCGGAGATTCGTTCAGGATCCTGCCGATCTGAATTAGCAGGGCCCAGAACTCCACAAGTCACAGTGCAGGATTTTGTTTTGTTTTGTTTTGTCTGAATTGCCTCCACCCACGTTACAAAATGACTTAACCACTAACTGTGAAGCGTACCCAGCAAAGTCAAGCTGGGTCTTGGATAAGATCAGTATAAACAAGCAAGCCTCTGAAGGAAAGAGAGGAGAGAAAGGGAATAAAAGAACAGAAGAGAAAAAAGGGGGATGCAGACAAAAAAAAAAAAAAGCGGGGCGGTAAAGGTTTGAATTAGTATTTGCACCAAAGTTGAGTTTTGCACCGTGATAGTTCTAAGCAAATAAGGGAAAAATTCTAAGCAATGGGAGAGCAACAACGACAAAATTTAATTTGTAAAATGATTTGCACTTTTAGAGAACATTTCATCTCACTGAGCCTTTTCAATCTCCCGTGGTAAGAAATGCCAAGGCAGCTATTTCTGTTCTTATGTTGAAAAAAAGCTGAGGTTGAGACGCGGGGGGGGGGGGGCAGCTGTCTTAAAACTCAAAGAATTCGAAGAAGTGCCTCACCTAAGGTCACACCGAGTGGTAAGTGGTGTATTAAGCACCTGACTTTAATTTCCTTTGTAATAAATATTCTGAGAATCTTGCTGTCTGCATGTGTAGAGAGGGTGGACCTATAAGCAAATCTTGAAGGGAAGTAAGGAGGAGTCTATTTGCCAGGCAAAGGAATGGAGTAAGGGGTTGCCTGCGGGAGAAAACACCACATGCAACAGCAAGGATTCAGAGGGAGTCTATCAAAGAAAGGGAAAATGAGAGATTCCAGGGGACCAAATTACCTCTGGACTGAAGGAGGAGGGGGAGGGGACTGCTGGTGTGCTGGTTATTTTCCACCTCACCCCCACCTCTTTATGGGCAGAAAGTGGTCTGCATCTCCAGCCTCCAAAGCCCTTAGCTTATAGTTGCTGCAGAAATCAGAGAGCTGGAGGAAAGAGAGGTTTGGGTATTTAATCGAGACTCCAGAAGCCCGTACCTAAGCCTGCCTCACCAAGATTGTAACAGCGGCTGCCTTCCTCCGCCCTAGGGCACCAAATGGACCAAAAAGTGGAAAACGTGGAGGCCCTTACACCAGCTGAGAAGGTCCTGGCATTTGCCGGGCACGAAGGTTTGAGTTGTGGATTTGACATGACAGAACACAGGAATAACAGAAATAACTTCTCGGTGATATCTCCAAGATGAAAAGAAACTGGGAATTGGGGATGTCAGAGGGTAAAGGGTGCTAATACTGTGGGAGAAAAATAAAACAAGCAAGTTGAAAGTAAAATGGAGTCAAACTAGGAAATGGTCTCATTTACGTTGCTTTTGTTTTTTAATTTGTATTGTTATTTTTTTTAATATTTTATTATTTATTTTTAATCAGAGGGTTAGGGAGGAAGAAAGGAGAAACATCAATGTGTGGTTGCTTCTCACGCACCGCCTACTGGGGACCTGGCCGGCAACCCAGGCACGTGCCCTGACTGGTGACCCTTTGGTTGGCAAGCAGGCCCTCAACCCACTGAGCCCCACCAGCCAGGTGTATTATTGTCATTGTTGAGCATATGTTGCTTTTAATAACACAGACTCATTAGGTCCTGCTTCTTACATTCAAAACAAAGAAACTCTCATTTTCCTGTTAGACTAAATAGTAGTTGCCAAATTTTCCTCAAAATATCAACATTTAATTTGTTGATTCTACTGCTAGGAATCACACATACGTATTCTAATGTATTAACTATATTTTTATTTACTATCAGTTACTTTATCGTTCTTTGGTTAGGCCCATTTCTCTGTTTCTTTTGTAAATTCTTGAGCTAAAGGTTTTGTTGCTTTATTTTCATTCTTTCTAATTTAGTTGTAGAAAATTTGAAGTCCATGAATCTGCATCTAAAAAAAGCTTTAAACAACACATTGTGAATTTAGATTTATAATGTTCTAACTATTGTTATTCACAACCACACTGTAAGTGCTATTTTGATGCTTTCTATTTCACCTAAGATCTATTTAGGAGGGTTGTTTTTTAATTGTCAAGACTTTCTTGCATATACATTCATTATTTACATTACATCCCAATCAGCAACTGCAGATTCTGTAATTTTGAACTTCAAGGTCAAATGTTTTAACTGATACTGAAGAACTTGAAAAAATGGGCAACATATATTTCTGTGGGTGAACTGTAGGTGTATGTAACTTTGTAACTTTCTACTTGTATTTACAATAGTTTTTGTTCCATTTACTTAAATGCTATCTTGTAATAAATCCTGTTGACTTTTACATGATGGAGAATGATAGTCATTCAGCTGGTGATACATATATAGATGGAAAAGGTGCGAAGGGTGGAGGCTGCATAGGCTGAGGTTCGCTGTCATCACAAGCCAAACAGCAACACGTGGCCCCAGAGCAGAGCACAGGTCACAGTGAGGTTGTGACTGAGCTCCACAGAATTCTCAGAGGTTCTTCCACCTCTTAGTCAGGCGTGGGAACCACTGGCAGTCACTGCCACAGTCTGCTGGGTCAGATCATTCGGATTAGATGGAGTTATCTGTACCCAAAGTCACCGGAAACACTCAGCTACTCTCCTAAGAACTCATATTACTGTCTGTGGTGATTTATTCTAAGAGAAAAATAAATGCTTTATTTTCTCCAGGAAAGGACATGCATTTTTGCTCTTCCTCCTAGAGCAGACATGAATTTTAATACTTGGGGTCAGGGACAGTAGTTCTTTTAGTTGTCGTCAAGTGCATTCCAAACCCTTTGTTCCTGTTCCTTGACTGACTTAGAATGTCTGGCTCACAGCCCGTCGGCAAAGTGTTGCACAGAGCGCAGAATTCGGAGCCACGCAGGCCTGGGTTTCAAACCAGCTTTGCAGCCCCTTCATTTCACAACAGTGGGCAAGCTTAGCTTTCCTGTCGCAAATGGCAAAACTCTCCGTTGGAGAAGTAAGCAAAAATGAGTTACTTCTCATCTCACTCTGGAAAAGGATCTGGCCTCAGAGACTCTGAAAACTATCAACATTTTCCTCTCCATCTCTTGGCTTGCTTCTCTCGGGGCTTTTGTCTCATTCTCTTGTATCACTGGCAGGATTCTATCAAACTGGGGGGCGGGGGGAGAAGGGATTGTGGTCCAGGCTTCCACCCTTCCCGGTAATGAGCCGAGAAAAAAAAAGAAAGCTTCTCTCTCAACGCCTGTGTATCAAATCCATGGGGGAAAAAGTCCCCAAGTGAATCACCATTACGAGATTTCCTGATCCTGCATTGCTCATTCACAGTCTGAACAGGAGGGCAGGATATTAAAATAGGATTACAGGGATTTGGGCAGAAGACTCCCACTAAGGAAAGAGAGGTATTAACAGAAAACCGGGGAAAGAGTCTAGGGGCCTGGGCAGGAGTGGGAGAACCTGATGCCTCCATAATCTCTCAACCTCAGTCTCCGCAAGTAGGAGTTGGGATTAAACAGTACCTACTGATACAACTGTTTTAGGACAAAGGAGATTACTTAGAGAAAGCACTGACCCCAGACCCCCGTGACAGGTAGTTACTGTAACAGTTGTTGCAGAAGCTGTCAGACTTGAGGTCGCCTTGTTGCTGGGGACTGCGTATTTGTATCACCCCCAAATCCATGTTAAAATCCACCCCCCACTGTGATAGTATTAGAGGCAGGACCTTTGGGGTTAGGTCATAAGGGTAGAGCGGTTATAAATGGATTTAAGGGGGGAAAAGCCATCTATGCACCAGGAAGCGGGGTGTCACTAGACACTGCGTCTACTGTCATCTGGATTTGGGCTTTCCAGCCTATAAACAGGCTGTCTGTTGTTTATAGTTCACCAGCCCATGGTATTTTTGTTATAGCAGCGCCAATGGGCTAAAATATTCCTCTTTCTGGGCATCAAATGCAGTGTCAAAGCACATCCTAGTGCCACCTACAAGTAGAACCACAAGGTAGTAGCTCTTCCTTCATCGCAGGGATCCCAGGGCCCAGAAGGAGCCTTGCCCTTGGGTAGGGGATGCTTTGATGATGGACGTGTCTTGTTCAGTCATATTTAGGCAATCTTTCTAGGAAAGAAGGAAAGGAAGGAAGGAAGGAAGGAAGGAAGGAAGGAAGGAAAGAAGGAAGAAAAGAAAGAAGAAAGAAGGGAAAGGAAGGAGAGGAAGAGAGAGAAAGAAAGAGAAAGGGAGGAAGGGAGGAAAAGAGAGAGAAAGAAAAGAAAGAGAAAGAAAGGGAGAAAAAAAGAAAGAAAGAAAAGAAAGATGGGCTCTGACCCATTTTTCCTTGTTTTTCAAAGGGAAGAAATTATTGGCCCAAGGGGATGTCCTTTTACAATTAATACAAAAGCTACATTTACATTAATTTGGCTACTAATTTATTTATGAGAACTGTTTTCAAAAGAAAAGGAAAAAAAAGAACGAGCAAGCAGGATTCCCAAACAAGAGGTGTCCGATGCGATAGACCTGTGGAAGGAATTCACGGTCCCCCAGGGCAGGCAGACAGTCTGTGTCCGTGTGTTTTCCAAGAAGGTCACCAGGGCTCCAGCCTCTTATCTGACAAACAATTGTGATAATTCTGATCTCTAAGGAGGAAAAATGGTTGAGACATGAGGTTTCACCCCCCTACTTATGAATTTTCCTGCTCACGCCCCATCACTTCATCTTATAAATTTATATGATATTTAATTTTTCAGGGCACTGTCAAATTCTAATTCATCTTCCCAATGCTAAAATAGAAAGTTAATAAATATTTCATA